ATCCTGGGGACCTCGCTTCTGTTCGGGTCTACGTCGGCCCATGCAGCAGGTACCGAACGGGTGTACAGTTATCAGAGCGCAGACTTAGCTCTGAGGATCGCGCTACACACACACACAGAGATATGTGCGCAAAAGCCTGTGTGTCCCAGAGCAGCAGGCAGCGCCATGTGCAGTCAAATCAAGATGTCACCGAATTTCCCTGTCGCCAACCACAAGAAGGGAATCAACAGATAGGCTGCTGAATCTGCATCTCGAGTCTACGAAGGTCCTTGTCAACAATGGGTTTCTTCCTTAGCGCAAGTTGTAAAGTCTTAGCAGCGAGAAGTTCCGAAACTTACCGTGCCCACACATCCCTTCAACAGTGGCTTGGCGTAGGCCTGCCCATGACAACAAAGGTAGAGCTATAGCAGTAAAAAGGAAAAGTCTGTTTTGAACCCACAGATCGCAGGGCTCTCCACCTCAGCCTTCCGTCGCCAGGTTTTTGACTTCTGTGCTTCTGTACGGTCTGTACGGCTGTCAGGAAGAGTCGCACTCCGAGGCCGTGGCTTCCGGACTGGAGGCTGATGAGAAGAGGGGTTGGAAAGGTGATCGGACCCTCGGACCCTTCACGGCCCTTCTCTGTCAGGGTGTGCAGCCCGCGGTGCCACAGGACATGGCTACAGGCCCGAGATGTCAAGAGCTACACTTCGGTCTCATCACGTATCCTGCGACCCTGTGCAGGACCCGCCGCTGGCCTGGGTTTGCAGCCCAGCCGTCCCCTGGCTCAGCCGTTTTGCCTGTACTCAGCCTTCCTCCGCTCAGGCCGATGCCAATCGGGGAAGCGCTCGCCGAGGCTAGCCAGAGCCAGTGTAGCTGAAAGTCGACACACGTTATGCTGGAAACGTGTACATGCGCCCATTTCGAGAGTTCAAGGCTTCTTCTGCTAGTGTTGGTTTAAGCGCTGTTTCAGCCATGCTTAGGTCGTTCGAGCGGCTGAAACACCAGGGCGAGCTTCCTTACTGTCTCTTTTCTTCAGTGCCAGGGACGCCTCTGCTTCGCCGAAAGTCGATGCACTGCAGCGCTGGCTCGTCGCCAAGGTGGCAAGACGATCAAAGCGAGCTATCGGAATGCCGTTCGTACGTCCCTGCCATGATAGGAGCAGGCGCTCCAGTTCCCGTCGTTGCCAATTGTGCGAGCCTGAAGTCTGATGCCAGCAAACTCCTGTACGGCAGCTCAACAGACTCACATGGAGGCAATACCAAATCATTCGCCCAGACAGCGGCCAACCAAAGTCTGAAGCTTGCTCTGGATTTCTGACCTCCCTCTTGTGTCAGAAGCCGAAGTTTCAGGCTGTGGGCAGATTGATTTGCGCAAGCGCTACTTCGTCGCGAGCTCAGTTTCAACGTTCGACACCACTCGGGGACCACACGAGAGGCCAGGCGTCCTTAAAGTCTTTCCAAGTTGTCTTCAGGCATTTCACCCACAGGAACGAAACCCCAAAGCAGTAAAGCTGGATGTGATGGTCATCGGCCGTGGCTGCGACCAAGGCCACGGGAGGGGCAAGAGCAGTCCTTGGAAGTGCAGGCAGTGTTCTTGTCCTTCAGTCAGATTCTGCAGCACAAAGAGAGTAGGTGAACACGGTGAACCCGACGAACCTGGCCCCGAAGAGGCGGCCGTCTGCATCCCTCTGCATCCGCAGCATGTAGTTCGAGCGAGGCGAGATGGCCCGGTCAGGGCGCCTCAAATCCGTGACAAGGCCTTCGGCCATCTTGCAGACTGCAGACATGTGGGAGGGACTGGCAACCATGTCTGACTCTGAGTTGCCGGGGTGGACTCATATGCGAGGACAGGGAGAAGTATCCGTCAGGCTGGGCCGTGCTCAACTGTTCGATCGGCAGAGTTGTGTGGCTGTAGTCGATGGCACCCCTAGCGCAGTCCTGACGAGGCAAGCTTATGAGACCCGTGCGCAAAGCTAATGCCGACAGTTGGCAGAAGCGCGAGCCTTGGTCTTGTGCTGTGACCTTCGCGGACTACAAGTACGTAGCACACAGTACGACACGTGAGGGATATGCCTTCTCAGGTTGACAGAGGTCCTCGACAGCCCAGGTAGGATCAATGCGGTGCGCCTGGGAATATGATGCTGTAGGAGGGTGGTGGCTTGCGATTGAGCTTTTGCACACCAGTGAGCCCCGCGCAGAAAGAGTCGCATCCTTCACGAGCATTCAACGTGGTTCCGAAGACGAACCTGAGAGTGGTTTGAAGCCTTGCAAAGAGCACCCATGATTCGCAGCGTGGCAAATGGCCAGGGCTAAAGCAGTTTTCAACAATTGAACAGGATTTGCTCTCGCTCGTCTGTACTGCATGGGGTTTGGTGACAAAGCCGCGGCGCCGTGCAGAGACTTGTGGGCGAAGGCTTAGTTTCGGAGCTTGAGACCGCAATCTCAGATGATCACGAGCTGCTTCTCTTTCGCGCGTGGCCAAAGGCCGGGTGCGCGTGTGTCCATATCACAGCAATAAGATGTAACTAACACGAATTGCTCGATGCCGTCAACAGTCTGTGTGTGTCGTCAGTTTTTTAGAGAGGAATGCTCAGTCCAAGCCTTGCAGGGCATAGCCTCACCCGATGAGACACTCAAATCCGCCAGTGTGTTTCCGAAGCTTTATTGCGTCCGAAGAACGGAGCAAAGACTGATGACATGCATCACTCACTGTGGATGCTTTGCATGAATTGACTGGCACTGCTGCCTCAGCCTCCAGTGATTCGACTGCATCGGAACGGCTGCTAGCATCAACTCTGTAGGACTATCATTAAGCATCTTCCATGGCGCAGTCCGGCTCCGACACAGAGGAGCTCCTGGACGGGTTTGAACACCGGACGCTCTCCCTGCGCCGGCTCTTCCCGCGCCGGGTGGTGCTAGTGCTTACTGGGGTGGGTTTGGTGGCCGCGACACTTCTGTCGCAGAGAGGCACTCGCAGCCTTCGCAGCAAGAGGGAATTTGTCCGCCTCGATGCTGCATGCTTGGAGATGGGCATGTTCTATGCCGACCCGCACAAGATGGACAATACGGAAAGGACGGTCGAAGCTTCGGCAGAAGCTTGCAAACAGCGATGTGGAAGCACGCCTGGGTGTGAGCACTTTACGTTTTGGCCAGATGGCGGCTGCTTGTTGACAGATGCGTCGTCCACAGCGAGGGCTGCCCCTTACATATACTCCGACACCGTTTCCGGCCCAGTTTCTTGTCAAGAGGAGTCCTCGACATCTGACACGAAGACATCTCAGGACAAGGCAAAAGACAATCTTGTTGAAACGGTGCAGCCTCTCGTTTCCGCCGTGCCCGGCATCAACGGTACTTTGTGTTCTGCCTACCCTGCTTGCACGGCGGTGGGGATCAATGCCGGGAGGTGCTGTCCGAACGACGACAAGGTGTCTTTGGGCTGCTGCAACGGCTTCCCACCTAAGCTTCCGGAACTGAAGGTTGCAGCGGGGACCGAATGCAGTGCTTTCCCTGCATGTGCGAGGATGAACATGACTGGCGCCTGCTGCCCCGCAGCAGATGGCGTGCGGCTGTCCTGCTGCGACCAAATCACCTCTGTTTAGTGGGATGGGTGCCGTGAGAAAGGTACTCGGTACCCTTGCAGCCCTTCCAAAGGCAGAGCAGCTGCAATGACAGCTGACAGCACACGTACAATGTGCGAGGCCATTCGGCGTGACCAAGTGAAAAGTTGTGGAGCGAGAACTGTGTCTGACTGTCTGATAGTCGGGGGGCGAGCTGATAGGTCAGTTCAGCAAGCATGCAAAATGCGCCGTATCCTGCACGAGGATCAAGGGAACGAACACTTAACACCGTAGTCCACTCTTGCTTTCTGTTGAGTATGGCACCGTCCGGCTCCGACACCGAGGAGCTCTTGGATACGCCCGGTGAACGCAGCAGCCCGGCCTTCCCGCGCCGGGTGGTGCTGGTGCTTACTGGGGTGGGTTTGGTGGCCGCGGCGCTTCTGTCGCAGAGAGGCACTCGCAGCCTTCGCAGCAAGTTGGGCTTTATCGGCCTGGACGATGAGTGCTTGGAGATGGGCGTATTCTATGCTGATCCGCACAAGATGGACAATACGGAAAGGACAGTCGAGTCCTCGGCCAAAGCTTGCAAATTGAGATGTGGAAGCACGCCGGGGTGTGAGCACTTTACTTTTTGGCCAGATGGCGGCTGCTTGTTGACAGACTTTTCGTCCACAGCGAAGGCCGCCCCTTATCAATACTCCGACACCGTTTCCGGCCCAGCTTTCTGTGGAGGACGACCCGGTGTGGACGGAGTGATGCCGGGTGCACAGGCAATTGTGGGCGCGGATCCTTATGCAGAGGAAAAGAAACCTGCCACCGCCGTCGTTCCTGGCATCAATGGGACCACCTGTTCAGCATATCCTGCCTGCACGGCGGTCGGAATCAGTCAGGGGTCGTGTTGTCCAAACGACGACAACGTATTCCTGGGTTGTTGCAACGGATTCCCCGCGCCACAAACGAAGGTGTGGCCCTGAATAAGCTCGCTTTGGCGGCTCTTTGGGTTACGGTTACTTGTGCATGCCATCTCTTGTCACTGGACACGAATTTGGAATGTGTCCCTGAGGCTCTGCCGATCTTGCCGGGTGCCCAGTGCGACCTCTTCCCGGGCTGCGTGAACATCACTGGCTCCTGTTGCCCGGCTGCCGATGGTACCAGGCTTGCTTGTTGCGATGCACCTGTAATCTAAGCTCGGAGAAAGAGCTCCAATACGCATCCGGTACGCTGCATTCTTGAGACTTCTGCGACATGCCACCAATGCGCGGCTCATTACAGCCTTGCCAGAGCTTCAAAACATCGGTCAGCCGAACTCTGGCTCATTTTGAGCCTTCGTTTCCTGATGTCGCAAACCTGGGAATGGCCAGGGCACACGGAATCCACTCACCGATTTCATGCATCGCTCGGAAGCCGCTCAGTGCTCTAAGTGCTCTAAAGCCTAGTTGAGGGGCGAGTTTGGGTGTCTACTGCAATGGAGGTGCCCCTGTGTGTTCGGAGACTCTCGCACTTTGGACCTTGGACCAAGCTTTCGGTTACAGGTCGCCTTGCTGATGGCCGGAGCCTCTGTCACTGGAGCCGTCTTCGGCATCCTTGCAGGACGTGGCTTGAGGCACGTTGATGGTGTGCCATGTGCGCCTTTGTCCTCCGATCCGAACGTCCTGGCCCGCAGGCGGGACCGCGACCGGGGCAGTGCCACGGTCTCAGCGCCGGAAGATGGATGTGAATCAGTTCGATTCGGGTGCCGGGGGGTTGTCTGCAATGTTTCGGGTTGGGTCCTGGGAAACAGCATGTAGGCAGGCCTGCGCGGGAGCGGTGTCAGAGCTGTAGCGGATGTGTGACGGCAGCTGTGACGGAAGCTGCAACAGGAGCTGCAACCGAATTGCAACGGGCCTGCAACCCGAACTGTAACGGAGCTATGAGACAGCTGTGACGAGAGCGTAACGGAAGCCATAAGCTATACCGGAGCCGTCGGGTAGCCGGAGCTGAGCCGTAACGGTGCTGTACCGTACCGGAGCCGAACAGATTGCCACGAAGCTTGGAACGGAAACACACAGATGCATCACAACATACACCGGAAGTGTAGCAGCATGCCCACGCCAGACGGTTACCACCCCCCAAAACCAAAACCCTTGATAAAAAGGTCATAGTAAGTGACGGTTGATCACACTCCCCCAAGAACTACAAGTTTTTCAATGGGTTGCAGCATTCAACTTATCTTGCCATGGCACCTCGTAAGGCACGCAGCAATTTAGTCAAGAACCCTCGTCTTGTTGAACGATGCTTCGATATTGCAGCCGAGATAGTTGATGTTGCCCCTAGTTGCAAACGGATCATCCGCAAGAAGCTCCTTGTTTGTTTTGCAAGGAGCCTGAAGCGTTGGTCCCTTACATGGGAGAGCGCCCAGCAAAGGCCGGGTTCCCCAGCAACAGCAGCGTGCCATGCGCGTTTTGAAGGATCCAATTGAACCAGATCTGTGTGAGGCCCGGCGGCTCACCCGAGCTTCCGAGGCTTGAAGACATCCTGTCACCGTGTCTTACCGTGTCCCACGGCGTGAAGATGCGTGAACCAGGTTTCCACGGAACTGCACCGCATGTTCCTCGATGTGCGAGAAGCCTTGGGTCCGCACTTGGAACGTGGTTGAAACGCGATTCAGCATCCGCTCCCGCGAGCAGCCCTCAGCCCAGGCGACCACGCAAATTGCACAGGAGATGATCACGTTGAGACAGGTGCCTTGCTGTCTGAGTATGCAGCGGCTGGTTCGCGTAGACAGTTGGCTTTCCCTCGGTTGGCTGGCCAGATCGCTAGAGCTTGGAACTGACCAGATCGCTAGAAGATGGAACTGATGACCGGACTTGGGTGGCGATGTCTGAGGATCTTCAGCTTTGTCGCTGCGCCCAGCTTCAAAGCTGCAAGCAGCTCCGTATGGGTCAGCTGGACACGAAAGAGGTGCCATGTACTTTGCATGAAGATGTAGTGCGTCTGCTGACACTCGTGACTTCAAGCTGTACTTCCTGGCAGATTCAAGAGCACGTGGCCATGCTTTCGCTCCTGGGAAGCAGGCCTGCCTCAGTGAAAGGGTTGCTCAGAGACAGAGGCTCTACTGGTACATCTGTACATCTCAGAAGTCCTATAAGGCCTAAAGGATTTTCACGTCTGTGTGACCACTAACGGGCAAGCTAGCAACATGGAGCAGCCCGTGGCATGATCGGATTATCCAATAGCTGCTGCAAGGCTTGGCATTGATCCAACATTGTGCGCAACCCGTTACCGGCCACTGCTATTTTGTTCCTGGGGCCACTCAGCTGCCCAGGATAGCTGCCCTTCCTTCTGCAGCTGCTGGAGTAAGGTGCAGAAGGGTTCTGTAGCCACATCCTGGAGACTCCTCCGAGCCAGCATCTGCATGTGATTGCCCCACCATTTCTTTCTGTGCAGCCTCTTGCCCTCCTCTGCTTTGCTGCTCTCTGCTGCATGCTCCTGCCCACTCCTGCAGACCCGGCATCACTTTGCAGCTCTTCCTGCGAGTGGCCAAACCTGCCGCCGTAGGTCTTTCGGTGCAGCCTTCTCAGCTCCTTTTTCTGGTCCATACTATTGGCGCGCTTCCCGGTTTCCTTTGTCCTGAGACTCCCACTCCACTAACTTTGCACATTGTTCTTGCCCAAAATAGTTTTGGAGGAGGGAGGTGGCTCCAGCTGCTGCGGCAGCTTGCCATACTCTACTCTGTTCCACCTCTAGACCTTGCAGATCTGTATGCGGCGCTTCTGTGCATTCCTCCACGTGCAGGTGTGGGTCGTCCGCATCAACGCATGTCACCGGCTCGGAGATGGCTGGCTTCAGAGTTCCTGCAACGAGTCTGCACTTGCCCGCGGAGAGGCCCTGTGGTTGTGCCTGACAGTTCAACCGTGATCGCATGCAACTGAAAATAAGCAGTTTGACAATGAGACATTTAAGCAACCACGACTGGCAGCCAACTCCTTCGTCCAGCAGCAATACATTCCCACAAATCGAATTGGATCTGGTCGCCGGCCGAGTGGCAGTGATGGCGCCCCCAGCAAGTTACAACGACAAGACCTTCGCGGATGTGCCAAAGAAGGACTTGGCTCTAACATGCCTGGCAACAGCTCGCTTTGCCATTCACCTGGTGCATTTTCTGCTGACATCACTTGAGAGTTATGGACCCCGACGTCTTAATGCTGCTTAATGCAATGCTCGCTCCAGAGCTTTGGTCTGGCAGGACACGAAGCCGGGAGTCGGATTCATTCTGTGTTTGTGGGCATTCTTCATTCTGACCCTCAGCACGTCTGGATGAAGCCCAGGCCCTCATATAAGTCGGGGCATCTTGTCCTTGTGCTCAGGAATCGAGCACTTCATCCCTTGGTCATCGACCTCTCCAAGGCTGACACAGCGACGCAGCGGTTTCAAGTTGGACATTGCCACAGCTACTGGTATATCGCATCATCGCCCCTGCCAGGTTCCCATCGTGCCCGTCGATGACACCCAGGCCAGATGCCGGTGTGCCAAGCTTTGATGCCCTGCGTCGCTGCGTCAGGCCGAATATCCTGTAGGCCCGCTGCATGGCTGCACCTGCCCACGTTCTGAGTTCTGATTCCAACTGTAATTGAGTGGATCTGATACTGGCTCAATCCCGTTGCAGCGCATGCTGCGCAGGCACGCGGGTGTGTCTGCGAGGAACCGGCAAGTATTACAAGTGCCTCCTCTCAGCATGCTGTATTGTCTTGTTCACGCCTTGACTGTGTATTTGTGGGCTGAGTTTTGAGAGCCCACTATGCGGAGCATGTGGAAGACTAAGACGAGGCCCTGGAATCACTTCTATGCCGATGTCGTAGATACCTCAGGAGATACGACAAAGGTGGGCTCGCCATGCCATCGCTTTTGTCCGCGTATTTTGCGTGTCCTGCAGAGCCGTCGTCTGTGCAGACTCGAGACAAGCTGCCGTAGCTGCTGCTCTGATAGGTGAAATACATCGACGGCGGCTACAAGCGCTTCAGCAAGAGACAGTTCAAGAAGTTGTTGATCCGAGTGCCAAAGGCAGTCGGTGAGTTTTGTACGCACGATGCGCCAGCGTTGCCCGGGTCAGGCAGAAGCTGGCAAGTACGAGGCCTCCGCAGCTGCCGCAGCTGACAGCTTGAGCCCTGGAGCACAGCGTATGCCAGGTCGGGATGCGGGTCCTACTGCACGGCACTGGCAAGTGGTCACAAGGAACCCTTGGGGCCTTGAGCCCGAGAGCCGCTTTTCTCCTCATAGACGCGTCTGCAGGACAGAAGTTTCATGCGGACATCGTGGACGTGTCTCGTGATACAGTGAAGGTGCGCTTCACTGACGGCGCCTCGACTTGAACCTTCTACTTGCAACATGTTGCAGCAATCTGCTTGTGAGCATGGCTTCGCCTCCAGGATCCTACAAGCGCTATGGCAAGGATGAGTTCGACGAAGCATTTGCTACCAATTCGGCTGACAAGGACCCAAACCGTCAGCTTACAGTCCCTTTGCAAACGGTACTTGACTTGTGAGGGCCAGGTGGCCAAAGAGCTCCCCTACAGGCGGGACTGGACAGTTCGAGCGGAGCTAGGCTTGAGGTTAGTCTCCTGGGGCTATGAGAAGAACAGCGCGATGCTAGCAAGACCAACAGTAGCGTAGCAGTTAGAGCACTCGATCCGGTGCTTGCTCAGTACCCTTTCGTCATTTCGGATGGCTTGCGCTGGCATTGGATTTGCCCCTCATCTACCTTCAGCCTTCGACAGCCATGTTTAGAGGAAGAGACCCGTGTCTGGGGAATATCTGTAGTCTTCGCGAGCTGCTATACATACAGGTTGAAGCCACGAGCGACCTGAAAGACTATGGCCTGCACTGCGTGCCAAAATGAAGTCAAGAACGATTGCAGCATTCTAGGCAAATCGACTAAGAAATCGACTAAGGCTGCTGCCAATGAATTCAACCGACTTCGACCAACAACAGTCTTCCCCGCGACCCGAACATGCGATTCAAGTAGGATTGCAGCTGAGCCGTGGACAGGAAGATGACCCCTGTCATCGCGAAGTCGTTCATCTGCATTTTCATCTTCAACCTCCTGTCGCTTCGGGATCCGAGGTGCTGCAAGGAGTTTGAACGCTAGTTTAACGATTACAACGAGAACGCAATGCCATGCCAAGACGGGCATGCAAAAGTGAATATTCAAGATTCCAAAATTACTATGTGTGAGGAGACGACGGCACATATTGCGTGTATGCACACAAGCATCGGAGTGTGGTTGTTGGCGCAGGGGATGGAAGGTGGGGCTCATCAGCTGCTATACAGGCCCCTCCATGAAGCAACTCGGCTATCTTTCTTGCTGAAGTGTTCCTTGCGGTGTTCGACACCGCTTGGGCTTTCTTGTGCACTCTGCACAAGATGCATGTTTCACTGGTGAGGATGTACTCCTACATCGGCCTCCTGTGCACCGCTGTTGGAGACCGGGTTCTGAGAGTTCCGTTGTGTGCTTGCCTGCCAGGTATGCGGTTGGGGATTGGTTGGAGATGAAGTCGATGGGCTCTATGGATGGGGCGGCATACCAGGCCATGGGCACGCAGCAACCTGCGACTCGCTAGTGAAAGCCGGGATCTGGCAGGTCCTCCTTCAGTCCAAGCTGATCATCACAGCGCTTATTCTGTGGGCCATCAAAGGCACCACCACGTGTTGTGGAAATTCGGGGTTTGTTTTGGACTGTGGGTCACCTCATAGATCCTGAACTCCTTTGTGTGAGACTATGCACAAAATACTTTGCACGAGCTTTGTCTTAAGTAGAACTGGTAACTGCCCCCTTTTTTGAGCAGTGGGTGTCGTCCTCTGCTTGCGAGAGGGATTAGGGCAGCTGTCGGCAGCTGCCCGGTGCCTCATCTGGCACTTTCCCTGAGGCGACAAGGCGAAGCAGTCCAAGACGCAGTGGTCCACGCTGACAACACTGACGATTGGCACCCAGCCTGCTAAAACGCCTTCTCACGCCTGACATGCCGCATGCCATTTTCTTGCTTTCGCTGCGCTCATCAAGCCGGTTCTGCAGCAATGGCGGAAGGTATGATCATCTTCATGGTTGCCGAGTCTGGCGCTTCCAAAGGCAGCGCTTCCTCAGCTGCACTTTGCCGACTACCTCTTGTACTCAGCACCAGATGCCTGAATGACTGCAGATGTTGGCCAGTGCCCGTCTCACCGAGCTCTGAAAGTGACTCTGCTTTCTGGTCCCAGCAGGCGCTCCGAAGCAGAGGCAGGCTGCTGGTTTCCTCGGGACTTTCTTCGTCTTGATGAAGGCCTCGATGGGTTCCGTTCTGATTGAAGTTGCAAGTTTCGGGACTCTTTGACAGGTCCTGATCTCCTGCTACGGCGCCGTCGTGACGGACAAGGAGCTAAAGCAGTACAAGGACTGACAGCGTGTCACTTTTCAACTGCGTTCGCCAGCTTTGTCTTATTCTGCACTTCGTACTCGGCACTGACGTCTTGGTTCATGCTGCGACAACATGTTTTGTCGACGGTGTTCACGCAGATTAGCGTTGCTGCAGCTGGTGAGCAGGACTTACCACTCTATGTTCTGATCTTAGCTTGCTGCATCAGCGCGTTCGAGAAGTGTCATGAGCCTCTTGAGCCCACAGCCCGGGCATTCTGTCCATAATGTGTGCGTGATCAGGCCTATGGGCCTAATTAGCATTTCCTCGCTTCCAGATCGAAGTGGTGCAATTGCCAAGTGCATTATGGGGTGGGGAAGGGGTAGAGCAAACCGTGCGAAGCTCTTGCTCCAAAAACCAGGTCCAGCTGAACCAGATGTTCTTTTCTTGGGGCGCTGTTCTCAGAAGGACTCCGGGCATCCATGCTGTCGTCGACGTTCACGACCCAAGTGCCAAGGTGTGTTCTCGCTGATTTTGGCTGCTATGTTCGAACCGAGAGTTACCTGGGTGCAGTGTGAGGGTGCCGCTGTCCATCCTTTAACTAGGCGGCTGTGGTCAACAGGTTCTCATTTCGTCCTCTGCATTCTTCCACGGGTGGAATGCAGCAACATGGCTAGCGGCACGACTGCAGACAGACGTGTATGGACTTTGTCAGCTTGATAGATTCTGATGGGCGACACGACTAGGGCGGTTCGGAGCACCGTCCACTACAATGGCCACGGGAAGTGCAACACAGATTCAGCATTTTGCATAAGACGAGTAGCCGCCCTGGCCGATGACCGCTGTAGATCACGAGCCTCTCAGGAAGAGTGTCGGTCAGACAGTGGTAAAGGGTTTCGCGGCACGGCAAACCGTGACCATCGAATGTATGGTTTGCCGGTCACCAGGGAGTTGTCATTCTGAAGGTCGTGCTGTCTTTTTCGGTGAAGACCGTCCTGACCATGACGCTTCTCAAGGTACGGTCGCTCTGATTCTAGGTTCGGGCTAGTCCAGGTATGCTCGGGTGCTGGTGCTGATGCATGTGAGCCGGACCATGCAGAATATGTGGTGCCACTCATATGCAGGTTCTGGACTCTATCATGAAAACTATCGGGGAGGCGGTGGCTGTTCTGGCCCCCATCTGAGATGCGACAGCAACCTTTTTGGAGCATATGCTGGAAGCGGGGGACAGAAACTTCTCGGAGTTGAGAGCCAATCTTGAACAAGGTCATCTATGCTTTCCAAGTTTTCTTGCCCTTCTTCGGCAAGGAGTTTGAGGCGCACCGACCTGACAGGTCTGCACTTGAAGTGCCGGCGAAACTTCCTGTCATACTGTTGAACTCGTGTGATGAAAGCAACCAGTCGCTGGGCATTATCAGCCGCAGTTTAGCACACAAGTCAGCCACTGGCTTGTGCGAAACAACACTGAAAACGATTGATTCCGGGCAGATTCAAACCTTTCTGGCGATGCTGGCAGTGGTGATGACGGTGCTGCGCTCGGCTGACAGCTGACTAATGTCAAACAGCAAGTTCTCCATCAGTTCAGAGCATGCGAAGACTTCTCAAGAGTCGGTGTTTGGCTTCAGGTAACCACCTACATGTTCCTCAAGGCTTGGTGTCTCTGCACAGATGGCCCGTTCTTTGCACGCCGACGTCCGACGTGACAGGAAGACAAGCCGAAAGAGATCGAAGCCAAGGATCCTCCCGAATGTGTTAAGACTCCCGTGGTCGAAGCCCCCCCCACTTCCGCAGTGTGTGAGATCTGAGACCCATGTCATACGATGCTGTGGGTGCTGCGGTGTTTCTGCGTGACAAAAGATAACTCGTAGCGTTGCCGTGCACGAGCGTTCCTCGACATCTTAGTTTTGCCTCGCTTTGTCCCAGGGCGAGTTGCAAGCTATCGAAAGTGCATATGTTTTCTCGGTCTCAAGTGTGCTGTTGCTGCAGCCATTGCGGATGAAGACTGTCATTACGGTCATCATTGCTGTCTTCCTTACCATCGTTCTGGTAGCGTGTGTGTGTGTGTGTGTGTGGCTGGTCGGTGTTTGTGGTCGTGGTCGTCGCTACCAGGCCAAAAGCGAAGTCTGAGCGGCTTGAAGGGCGCTTCTGGCAGCGTTTCACCACATGCCTGCATGCCGGAGACGTCGACAGGCTTGGATCTGCCAGCTTCAAGCACTGGTACGATCTTGCAGGGGTGACGAGACTGCAGGGTCATGGGTCTACATGTCCCAGAGATGCAAAGACTCGCACTCCAGCTTGGTTGCGGAAGCAGTGCTTAGCTGCATTCGTTGCCACACAGATCAGTTAAAGTTTTGTGCAGCCGAAGGGCTGGACCAGCAGATCTGTTTCAGTCGTTTCATTACGCTTGCTGCTCTGGCCCTTTGGCAGCTTGAGACAAGGTTCGTCTCCTGAGCAGCGGGGTACAGTGCGAGAAAGAGATTGCGTTGGTGAGTCGACGAAGCTCGCTGAGCTCGCGCAGATGACTTGGAGACTTCTTGCGAGTGTGCGAGGTGCTGGAGGTGTTTGAGCGCAACCTTCAGAGCCACGAGATCTCTTTGGAGGGGAGGCAGACGTTGCCCGCCTCGAGTTCTTGTGGAACGGGTGGTTTTCGCCTGTCGCCAGGCTGGCAGCTCTAGCAAACCAAGAAGGCCTTCTGGAGTCGTTGAAGTAGAAGCAACCGCAGCTTAGGGCTGCACCAAACTCACAAGCATTCTAGACCCATCCGGCTGCACTATGCTTGTTGAGCAGAGGGCATTTCTTCCAGGATTTCCCAGGGTGGCTGGTCTCAAGGCTGGAGCCATGTAGCGCACCAACGATTCGGAACGGACGTTGGTGGTACTGTAACCTCAGGGCGTGGATGTCGGACGCTGGTGCCCCAGCTGCTTGCAGTGAGCAGGCATGATCATGCTGTTTCGAAAGAGGCAGCAGTCGCATCTCAGGTCTCAGGACTTGCAAAAACGTTTCCTGTTTGCATCCTGAGGTCCTTCCATCGCGGAGGCTTCTGCCAGGGCCCTCAGCTTCCGCAGGGCCGTATCCGTTCGGTTGTACAGGGTAGGCAAGCCTACATTCGCCTTGTTGCAATCCGGCCGAGATGCAAAACTTCGCTTGCCGAGCATGTCCAGGTCGCCCCGCCTGCACACCAAGGATGTGGAAGAAGAATTTGAGGGCTGCCCTACTCTCATCTTGACGCACAAGGCTCACGGAGTGTAACATGGAGCCTTCATTGAACCGAATAACTTTAAGTCAGACGAACTGCCGTCCTGCAGACGTGGAAGCTGTGTATCATATGGTGTGGCACAGAAGCATTCAGTTCTGCCCATGACTTTCGGGATGATTTTGTCAGGATTCCGATGGTGAGGCCAGCAGTACTTCGGAAGGGCGGAGCTATCTTTCAGGCCCGGTCTGAACAACCAGAGCTTTGCAAGCTCTGTCTGAAGCTCGAGGCCGAGGACCCTCACCGATTGTTGAAGAGCTGGTCGACGAGGAGAGCATGAGTCTGATGGACTCATCGATGAGTCTATGGCCTATGTGTTTTAGAGAAGCCGTCCCAGTCTGCAGGAGCCTGAGTTTGCCAGGTCCTCAGGGACCTTCGGCTCTCCGGGTTTGGGCCCGTAGATGTTGGAGCCCAACAAGGTGAACTTTTGGGAGAATGATCTTGAGACCAACAGCACCAAGCCGCGGCCTTGCCCTGCATGCCAACAGCAAACGACTGCACTGCATGTCGTGCTAGTTTTGAGGCTGGCACTTGCGAAGCCTTGCGTGAAGCAGGACGAGCAGCCCTACTGTAGACCCTGCTCGAAGGAATGGTGTGCTGCTTGGCTGCTGTGCTTTGCTCCTCTATAGTCCAGACAAGGAGCTCCAAGAAACGGCGCCGACGCGTGGCAATCGCTTCGTCCTCATCTTTCATCGGACCTTCGTGTTCGCGCTTTGAATCAGCCAGGTTCAGTTCCTTCACCTGCCGATTCTGCGGACAATACAGGGGACTTCGAAGAGGCAGCTCGGGCCAGGGAGTCAACAACAATCAGCAACTCACCTTGCAGGCGTTTACTGTTCAAAGGGTTTTGAAAATTGTTGAAGCACGTGCAGTCGAAAGATCCTGGAAAGCTTGCAGCCCTGGCCCTGTTGCAGCATGCCAGCGCGAAGGACGGCAACTTAATATCGCTGCATTGACCACTTGACCTGTCTGGGTATACGTCCGGTGCACTCTGAGGACATGTCTATGATCAAAGGGCTGAAATCTGAGGACATCAAGAAGGCATTCTTCTTGATTTCGCGTGTTGTCTTCGACAGTCCTGAGTCCTGAGGGATGCCAGGGGCTTGCAGAGATCCGCTTATGACACCGAACCGGCTCAAGGGAAGGACTCTGGCTGTAGCACGGGCAGAAAAGTGCAACTGCGAAGCGCCATGGGGATCGACATTATTGCCGGCGGTCGTGTGAAGAACAAGGTTCGCACAGCAAAGACCGACAACCCTTACATCCTCCTGCTGTGCAAGCTGTACAAGTTCCTTGCTCGCCGGACCGACTCGAAGTTCAACAAGGTGATATGCAAGAGGCTCAACATGTCCGGCCGCAATCGTCCGCCCCTGTCCCTGTCGAAACTTGCGAAGCAGATGGCCAACAAGGAAGGCAAGACCGCAGTTGTGGTGGGCACGGTCACCGATGACAAGCGCTTGTATGATGTTCCGTCGATGTCGGTGTGCGGCCTGCGCTTTACCGAGACCGCCCGTGCTCGCATCACTAAGGCTCGACTTTGGTCAGGTTGTTGACGATCGTACCTGAGCGCTTGTTGGCCCGACGTCGCTAGGCGGGTGGCGAGTGCATCACTTTCGACCAGCTGGCCATGCGCTCCCCATTGGGCAAGGCGCTATCATGCGGAAGGTTTGCTTTCAGCCCAGATGAGTCAAGTTCAAAGTTAGATCCGACAGGGCACGGTGCTGCTACGTGGCCCTGTCAAGGGTCGCGAGGCCAGCGCCACTCGTGGAATCTTCTCTGCATCTCTGTGGCTGGCTCACTCCCTCACCCTCACACTCACTTTCGTTGCCAGTCTGTTTCACCGTTTTCCTCCAAGTTTGGCCGGACCTGCAACAGCAAATAAGCTGTCAAGAAGCGACGCTGTCAGGCAGAACGCCACTTCGGCAAGGCGCCGGGCGTGCCGAACAGCTCCTCGGAGAGAGCATTTGCTGTCTTCCTTTGCTACCGCATTGACGTAATGCAACTGCTCTCGGGAGTTCTCAAGGCAAGACTGCGCCACACGTTCGCTCAAAGGGCCGCAAGTTCGAGAAGAGCCGTGGCCGCAGGAAGTCCCGCGGCTTCAAGGCACCGTCGCCCTTCTTGCAAAAGCGCACGGTGTACAACGACACCCAAACTGCAACCGTCGTCAGCGTTTGGAGCTTTTGTGCAGGTGTAAGCAGCTGCAGCCCACGCCGGCAGCCCACATCAGCAGCCGCGACAGCCAAGAGAAAAGACTACATGCATGCCTTGATTCCTTGTCATGGACATCATCATGTTTGAAGTTTGCTGTGGAACATGCTGTGTGGTTCTGTCATGTTCTGTCACAGGTTGTGGCGCATCGCAAAAAGCATGGACCATTACGCCAGTTGGACGCGTTGCCGGGCATTCTGGGGCCGGAACACTCAGCTGTCAAGCAACAAGCAATGAGCAGTCCTTCTGCTGGTTGTGCAACGTCTTGGTAAGGCACATCGAGGACAGAGCCTGATTTGTTTGAATCGAATTCTTGGTTTATGAGCCCGGTAGTTCCAGGAGAAAGTAACGCTGTGCACTGTCAGTGTTTGTTTAGCGGCTTGTGTTGCACGTAGTTCCAAGTCGCAGTCAAACGTCAGCCCATGTTTGCGCATTAATGCCGAAACTCGGAGTGCCTGAACGGTTTGGAAGTTTCTGGTCTTCTCTTGAAAGGCTTACACTCAACAGGTGTCAAGGCTTCATTTTGGGAACCTTTTCTTTGATATGTTTGATATTTGCTATGCCAATGGCTGTCAGAAACAATGCACCAATCGTTATGGACAGCTCGCTGTGGCCATCCTGTGTCTGGAACTGACGATTGCAAGTTCCTGCAGCGGCTGTGCACCCGCTTGCTTACCAGGCTTACTATGGAGGATCAACTGGCACCAACAGTAACGGCTTGAACACAGCACGTGAAGCAAACGTCACAGGTCAGCATCTCCGTGCAGCGCTAGCAGTACGCATGCACCGGTGATGCTCTGCATGTCGTCGCAGTCTTTCTGACAGCTGAGTCTGCAGCCGTGACTGACTCTTTCCGTCAAACCATTTGTGGTAGTTTGGCGGTAGCCATCAGAAGCTGTGGACAAGTTTTGCTGTAAGACATTCAGCTGTACCCGAGGCGGCGAATTGCAATCAAGAAGCTGACGATCTGATCGATGATGAAGTAGTCAGCTGCACGTTACTGCATGAGGGCCAGGGTCATCTTGGTGTCTGCTTTCACCGCACAGCTGCATTGCAGCTGGCGGGGTGTGAGTCAAACGCTCCAGTGCGTGCATTGAAAATTCAATTTCTGCAGGCAAACAAGGAGCTCGATCTCCATTGCTTGCGTTCTACATGAAATGAAGCAGATCGGCATGAATTCGAGTATCGGTCGCGCACAGCAAGTACCAAAGGTTGAAAGGCACAAAGATTTGCAAGCGCGTGACCTTTCCATTACAAAACTGAAGCCTTGCACGGCTATCAACTGATGCAAAGCCCGGGAAGGCATTGTGGAGTGAAGATAAAACAAATCGCGCGGAGGAGGGGCTTCGAGCTGCAGACTTTTGCATCTTGCTCGCCCAAGTACTTAGCAATGCTGCCGTCGCAATGCCCGTGTCTCAAATTGTGGAGCCAAACAGCGTTTGGATAGATGAGCACCTGTTCGCCATCACATTCAATGACTAAAAGCTCGCCCCATGCAGACATTTTCGGTTCCCGTGCTCAGTTGCTTCACGGCGCACGTACCAAGAACTGTTACGACATGTAGTTCGAGAAGAAGGAGGAGGATAAGGAGGGGTCCTGGCTTCAGCTCAGACCTGCTAGCCACCCCAGTGTCTGACCAAGCGGGATCAAGTGTCGATTCTTGATATTGGCGCTTGATGTCGCTTTGGTGCTAGGGTTAAGCGGTTGTTCTTTAGGGTCTGTTCTGCAGATGCCAGATGCACTGCAAGTAGAATCTTATGCATTCCTGACCCCGTCAATTCAACATGCATGTAGTTCGGTGCCCCTGAGCCGAGGAAGAAGAAAAAAAGCAAGGAATGCTACCCAAAGGTCCAGGTCCCATGTCTTCCGTTGGTGGCTTCCGGACGGTTCTTTAGGCAAGGCTTGAGGTTGAGAGTTCAGCCTCACTTTTGCATTGAGTTTTTGTTGGGCTCAAGCTGCAAAGAACAATGCTGGCCCATTCTCGCAAGTTTTCGTGGAATGGAAGCAGCATATTCATGGGCGTGCAGTGCCAAGACGCTGTCATCCAATAGAGAAGCTGCCGCAAGACTTGTTTCACTGAGTGCCAGATCGTTGTGTCCGACGGCGAATGCTGCAACGGCATTGCGAGTGGGGAGGCGATGCCTCAACGATCTGGATGGTGTTTTGGCGGTTGCAATGAAGATCCCCCCAGCTGCTGAAGAACAGAGGCTGCGTGTTTGCCGTCGACGGTCCTGCACACGACCGTTGGTTTCTTTCCGACATGCTGACGACACGAAGCAGGCACGAGAGCGAGAAAGACTGGAGACCGCCAAAGAGCGGTTAGCACTCGGAGGCATTGACAATGCGAAAATCCAGAAAGCGGTCTCAGCAGATGATGGTGGAGACTGGCCGGCGCCTCAGGACTGGAACTGAGAACTTGGGCGTTTCCGGTATGCACGACAGTGTCGGACGATTTGCCGAGCCTTGCACCATCTTGCACCCAAAGCAAATCCACAAACCGTGCAGCATAAACTGCAGGCTCCCAGAACCATAGATTGTTGGTTAGTGTCGTCTCTCCTCGGGTCCTTGTGCCTGTGGCTTCGGGGCACCAGAGCAAGCACTGCAGTTTGACGATGCTTGTGCCTGCCGAATCAGACAAATAGAAGACGACTCTCCACATCGGGTGTGTGGTCAATCTGCTTTCGGCAAGAGGAGCAGATGCAAAAGAGCATTCGGAGCCCGGGTTTGCAAAACTGCTGCCCGCAATGGGGCATGGATCACACTGCTCTTACACCACGGCGAGTCCTGATGAATCTCGCAGAATCCCAAATCAGAAGATTCAGATGTTTAGGATGCTGCAAGATTCCCGAAATGAGGTTCGCAGCATGTGTTCCACTCAGCTGCCTTGGCCACGATGATGACATGCGCAAGTTCGTTTGGCAGCTGTACTGGCTTCGACTTGCCAATGATGCATCTGGCAGCCAGGCAGGATCAAATTGAAGAAACCGCAGAAAGTGCCGTGTCAGCGATTTGTTGAGGCTTCCGCAATGGAACCTCTCGCAGCCAGCGCTCAGCTCCGCATTCTGCGAATCTTCGGCTCGGGAACTCCTCCGGCGTTTCCACTGCGACCCCTAGATCCCGATGGACTGCAGGAAGCAAGGGATGCAAGTCCGTTAAAGGATTTCCCGCTGTACTGGTATACTCTGAGGCACCGTCATTTCAACTAACACGAGCACTCCCAAACGCCATCATGCAGCAACATGTAAAACACGGGTCAATTGATTCAGCACGAAACAGTGCAGGGTCAGGGGACGAGAAGAAGGCGAAGACATGCACTCCTTGTCGTGGGTGTATGTGAGCGGTAGTGACCGGTAGTGGTAACAGTAGCGGTAGTAGTACTGGTGGTAGTATTAGTAGTAGTACCGCACACGCCCACACTGGAGGTTTCAAGTATTTTTGCTCTAGTTTACACGTTTGGGGGGTTGGGCGGTGGGGGTGACGTGATGACGTCCTGTTGCAGTTCTTCATGGTGATGAATGAATGGTGCAGTTCTTCATGGTATTGTTTACGTGGGGAAATCCCGAAGCTTCCAAAACTACTTTGTGAATATTCTGATTTCTACACCCTGAGCCGAATTATGCACGAATTGCTCGGCCTTGCCAGCACTGTCGGCACGCCAATCGCATCATTTTTTCGTTAATAGCGATTTCGGGTTAGCTTTTTCAGACTCGAGTTTAGGGATGTACCTTGGCTTCTGCTTTCCTATGTGAACTGTTTGTGTAAGACAAAGAAGGACTCGCGCCCATAGCAGAGTACAAGTATCCCAAACCTACAAAACTACTTTCGGATTTCTGACACCCTCAGCTGCATTACGCACGATTTCCTCGGTCCTGCCAGTACTTTCGGCACTTGATGTGGCCAACCGCGCCATGTTTTGCACATTCCTTTCTTTCTTGCTGCCCAAAACACCGAAGTGGTGCTCAAATCTGAAGACTGCGTTCACTCCGAAATGCATGAAAACACCAGGCCTCCTATGGGAGCCCGACCTAACAGTAGTAGCGGTGCGCCCCCAGTGGTCGCTGCGCCCAGGAAATTTCCCTGGGTCCGTCCACGGCCCGCGTCTAGTCATGTCCTGGTCGTGTCCTGCACAATTGCCATGCATTCACCCACCCACTCCTTTTAGGGTTTAGGGTTTCGCACCCACCCACTCCTTTTTGGGTTTGAGGGTTCAGGGTTGCGCATTTAGGGTTTGGGGTTTCGCACCCACTCACTCCTTTCAGGGTCTGAGGGTTTGGCAGCCACCAACTCCTTTTAGGGTTCAAGGTTTCGCACCCACCCACATCTTTTGTGGGTTTAGGGTTTCGCAGCCACCCACTCCCTTCGGGTTTGGGGTCTCGCACCCACCCACTCCTTTAGGGTTTGAGGGCTTGGCACCCACCCGCTCCTTTTTGGGTTTGAGGGTTTTGCAGCCACCCACTCCTTTCAGGGTTTAGGGTTCGCAGCCACCCACTCCTTTTCGGGTTCAGGGTTTCGCATTTAGGGTTTGGGGTTTCGCACCCACTCACTCCTTTTAGGGTTCAGGGTTTCGCATTTAAAGGATTTGGGGCTTAGGGTACTCAGCCACCAGGAGAGGGCAAAAGAACAAGCAAAAATGCAAAAAGCGCGCACGCAGAATCCTTGAGACAGTTGTCATTTTTGGATGCGAGTTGCTCGTCCGCGTAACTGGGGCGTCGCCTGCCAGCAAATCGAGGCCCCTCCCGGATCCGCAGACCCGGTGCGTAGGCAAACCGAACACTTTGCGAGCAGTAGCACCAGCAGCAGCAGAGGTAGCAGCGGTAGCAACAGAAGGAGTCGTAGTCGTGTCGTAGTTGTAGTAGCAGTAGTAGTAGTAGTAGTAGTAGTAGTAGTAGTAGTAGTGGTAGCAGTGGCAGTGGCAGTGGCAGTGGCAGTGGCAGTAGCAGTAGCAGTAGCAGTAGCAGTAGCCGCAGCGGTAGCGGTAGCGGTAGCGGGAGCAGTAGAGTAGCAGTAGTAGCAGCAGCAGCAGAAGCAGCAGCAGCAGCAGTAGCAGTAGTAGCAGTAGCAGCAGTAGTAGTAGTAGTAGTAGTAGTAGTAGTAGTAGTAGTAGTAGTAGTAGAAGTTAGTAGTAGTAGTAGTAGTAGTAGTAGTAGTAGTAGTAGTAGTAGTAGTAGTAGTAGTAGTAGTAGTAGTAGTAGTAGTAGTAGTAGTAGTTGCAGGAGTTGGAGGAAGAGGAGGAGGGAGCAGCAATCGTGGTCGGTCGTGGTGTTGCTATTCGTGAGCAGCAGCCAAAGGGGCTTTAGGACCTTAGGAATGCTTGCTGGGTATGTAGGGCGTTGACTACTTACTACTAGGTACTCTTTGGCATACTCTTGATCTTAGCAGATGCTGGTCATGCAGGATCCTGGGCATGGCCCGTTCGACCTCGTGACCGTGACCGATGCGCCCCGGCGGGCGCATGCACTGCGCTCCTCTGTGCGGTGGCCCCTCCGCTTGCGCCTACTCCAACCGCCAGAGGAAGAGAGGCCGTGGCAGTTTGGCTTCTTTGATGCCGAGAGATACTTGTTGCAGCTTGGTCCAGACGGAGCAGTCTTAGCCGCTGCATCACTGCATGTCGGCCAGCGATCAGTATGTCCAGCATGCGACCAAAGGTCCTACGTGACTCATCTTCGCGAAATTGGCCTTGGTGACCGTCTGGTCATCTACGCTGATGCATTCGATGTTGCAATGTTTGATTGCCAGCGCAATCTCAGCAAGGAGCGCCAATGAGAGCATAAAGTTCTTCCGCATGACTCGAGTAGCAGCGTAGCAGGCCTTGGACGAGCTACAGCGCCCAATGGTGTTCGGAATCGAGCAACCTAGATGCAGTTGGACTCGCGGCATGGAGTGTCCTTGTTGCAGGATGTTGCAGCAAAGGTTCGATCTTTATCCTGCCGGCATGGACGGATATCCACGTCCTGCTGCAGCGAGCCATGCAAGAGTACGTGAGGCCAGCAATGACATTGCCAAAATTCATCGTGTGACGAGTGGCTGCTAGAGGCCAAGATGATGGGGCTGTGCCGGAAGCAAGCTCAGATGCCCTATGTGTGGGAGGGCAGGCGTGGAGAGATCCTTCGTGATTTGCCCAGTTGCCCAGTGCTGAAAGCTTTGCTGTGAGGCCGCCTGACGAGCATGCTCCGTGCTTGGCAATGTCCGAAACAACAGGTGTAGTGAGCAGCGGCTCGGATCCAATAGCAGCTCGGAGCATTTCAGAACATCAGAGGGCCATTTCTTTGGATCCCGGTGGGGAAGGTTCAGATTGTCGTTTTCAGCTGACAGCTGCCTGCGCAGTCCTAGTAGCAAAGGCATGAGCTCATCGATGTTTGTCAGTCAGGGACTAGGCGGCAGGCGACAAGGCCAGTGACTCCGATTGCTGATCGCACTCGGAAGTCGCCGTGCATGTGCCACCACGTGCGGCGGTGATTGAAGTGCTACGATAGGTTGGGGTCGGTCGGATGATCACTTTGTTTCTCCAGCGCACATTACATACCCATATGTATATACATATATATGGTATATATATATATATATATACATATACATATTATGTGTGTGTGCACACATATGCTACTCGAGTCGAGTAGCTGGATATGATATTTTTTGGTTGCTGAGATCGTCAAGCTTTTCGGGACGGACCGTGCACGAACGATCCGTCTTTTTGTTGTGTATGCAGCGAACAACCTGGAGCTTCCAACCTTTTCAGTAAATGCAAGCTCAGCACCCGGTCGCCGGAGAGTTTCTGAACGGCGGCTTCTATGGGGGTCGCGCAGCGGAGTTGGAGATTGCCTTGAGGCAACTTGGCGGCCACAAGAGAACATACGCGATGTCGGATGTGTTGTCCTGGACTGCATGGCACACGAATCCTGCCGAGGCGGCTGCTGCACGTGCAGGCACAACTACCTGCATTCGCATGCAACGGAGACCCGTTCCGCAGGGCGGGAAAAAGCCATCAGTACATGTGGAACCAGTATTTGCTGGACCATCCAGAGCAGGCGGGCAGCGAGCGCCAGGGTTCGTTCTTCCGCGGCAAGAAACTTTAGGTTTCCATAGCCCGGGGAGTGTGGTAAGTCGCGGAGAAATGACGCAGGTCGCATTGGACTACGGCGGCGCATTCGTGGTCAACTTGGCTCGGCGTTCCATCGTCCCACGGCAATTTGGAATCGACGAAGAAACGGGACAGCTGAAGTCAGTCTTGTTCCAGAGGCCTGTGTGCTTCATCCATGCAAACGCAGCCGGTGTCGCTGACAGTACCTTCAACCTGCTACGGACGGCATACTACCTGCAAGCTGACACAACCGCCTGGACCGGATATGGGGTCCCTAAAGAGCTCAATGCTCTGCAACTGTCCGGTCTGCAGGCAGACAGGGCACGTCAGGATCGAATTGTGGTGGACTCCAAGCTCTGCTTCGGTGCATTCAAGCATGCGCCTAAGTGGCGCGGAATCTTATCCTACGTTTACATGGTGACGCCGTTCAACGAAATCACGTTTGCCGGCCTGCAATTCTTCATCGCTCGTCCGCTAAAGCTTCAGGAATCACGGTCTCATGGAGCTGAAATGATGTTCGACGTCGTCTCCAAGATGGCTTTTCCAATGCGTACCAGGAAAGAAACCGGACGTGCGAAGCCTCCAAACGGCACGCAGACCTGGTTTGAATCGCGAAATCGCTTTGATGCTGCGGTGGGGCCCCTACTAGCATGAGCTGCAGTGGACATCGACCACGAGATATGGCCTGTCGTTATGAGATCCGAGGTCTTCGAAATAACAGTGCGCAGTGGTGATTGCCTGGCCTGGCGCTGCGAGCAGCGTTGTGATCTGACGTATGCAGAGATCAACGAGGACAGCTGTCTCGACTTGTCCAGGCTTCTACAGTTTGCTTTCAACTTTTGCCTAGGACGCCTTGGCCACGTCATGGGACGCATCCTTCTCGGAGCCGCATGATCGGAGGCGGGCAGAGCACGGCTGGGCTCTTATGTTGCCCCTGCAATCCTCACCCACGGAGGCCAGACGGAGTCTGGATGGGAGAGACTGGACCAACTCGAGACATTGTGGTCGGGACGAAGGCAGGATGAAGGGCCACTTTCGATGTTATTTGACAACTTGTTTAGCGTTGTAGTACTGGGGTGTGCATTGCCCTCGGTATTCCGCTGAGATCGTGCTGAACACCTGGCTGCCCAGAAGCTATGCTATCGGCCGGCATCCAAGCAAATATCTGGCCCCTGCTGTAAACTGTGGCATGCCAGTTCTGTGTCCTCTTAGGTGCAAGCGCTGAGATTCATGAGTTTGGCTTCTACGAGGGCGAACGGCCACCACGGTTCATGCCACCGGCGACAGCGAAAAGCTTTGGATGCGAATACGCTCAAATCGTTCAGCATGTGCTTTGCGAGCTAGGCTACTCCCTTGGCTGCCTCCGGTTTGGCTCAGACGAGGAATCCTTCAATTAGCTGGGCTTTGCATGAGCATATCGCAACAAAGTGTTGTGCAAGCCCAGCCTTTTTCAGCGCAGAGCTCAGAAGATAATAAGAGGTGATTTGTCATGGCCTGGTCTGCTGTGGCGCTAATCCCGTTCCGCATCCGGAGCCATGCTTGCGAGGGTGTGTCAAGTGGGGCGAAGGTGCCCCAGCATCGCCGGCGCCGCGAAGCAGCAGTACAGAGCTTACGTTTGGGCAACAGGCGCACCAGGGCATAGGCCCCACAGGCCTCGCCTTGCATTTTGCCAGGCCCGAAGTCCAAGCTGTCCAAGCTGATAGGCCGATGGGCAGTAGAGCTGGTGCTGAGCAGAGTACTGAGCTGAGTGGCAACATGACAAGCTCCATCGCGCAGCCGCCCCCACCAAGGGTTTGCAACTCAAACTAGTGAGACACTTCTTGGTCGGCTTGTGTAACTGTGGACGCAGTTGTGATGCTGTGCCACTTCCAGCTTGCTTGAGCCATGGCATAGATGGAGCCCGCGGCGCTGAGTTGCGACCTACCTGTGCTCGTATGCATCCTGGCATGAAACCTTTTGAGTCCTAGAAGCTTCAGCCATTGCCTCCCTGTCTTCACACACATTGGCCCGAGGTACTCTCACCTACCTGTCTCTGGAGGAGAGCGCCTGCGAGAGAGAGAGAGATCATGCTTTGGGGAAGAAGAGATCATGCTTTGGTGGTTGTGAATTCGGTTAACGATTGCTCAGTTTTTTGGCCAGGGCCAACCCAGCCCTAGGCCCTTCTGAAAGGAAAGTGATGCTGGGGGAGAAAGCAAAAGTATCACACGGGCTAAAACGCAAAGCAGCTGTGTGTTTATCGATATGCTCTACTGTCTGCTCCCGGGAAGCCATCAACCAATTGCAGCTGCTGCCTGACTCCACACAGAAGCTTGTTGCGTTTCGCGGTAACTCATATCGTCCGGTGACGCGGCGACTTGAGTAGCTAAATCGAGAGATGATGTCGCGTGACATGGAGAACCATTAGCCACATCACAAGATTGAGTTCATGGACGATACTGAGAGCACCAGTGCCGGCTGATGCCAGCTGACAGAGTCTCTGACCTTGCATGGCCACGTGCTCGAAGACAGGATACTCTTCGGTGTGCTCAAGTCAGACACACCTGGCACCAAGCCGCCAGCCAGCCGGAAGCTTTGGTTCGGGAACTGCATCTTCCAGGCTCCTAATCATCATCGAAACAGATCTGGGTGTCCGCACGCTCTTGTTTGTGTATGTGTGTGATGTTTCTTTGTTGATTGGGAGGTGACGATGGCGATTCAACTCCGGAAGGCCTTCGTAGACTGCTGGGCAGAGGCTGCCTGAAGCATGTGGAGCTGGTGGAAATTGCTGGCGGATGATGCTTGGCCCAACTTCTGTGGATGTGCTGCGGGGCAGCCTGAAAGGTAGCGCTTTGTTTGCTTGTTGCCCATTAGAGGCAGCTGGTTCCCTGCACTCGTTGGAGAGCTGCCGGACTTGCATCAGCTTCGAGTACGCGCAGCCTGCAGTGCGTGCAGGGGGAGGCTCGGCAAATACTGCAAGTATGTATGTATGTATGCATGCATGCATGCATGTAAGTGTATGTACGTATGTACGTACGTACCTATGTATGTCTGTACGTATGTATGTCTGTCTGTCTGTCTGTATGTATATATATATATATATGTGTGTGTGTGTGTGTGTGTGCGTGTGTGTTTGTGTGTGTGTGTGTGTTTGTGTGTTTGTGTCATCGTACTCCTTGCTGGCACCAGACCTCACCTCAGGCCCAAGCTTGATTTGGACCTGGCCTTGAGAAGCTTGGCCGCATGCGAATTCCTACCAGCAGGGTCCGCACATCAGGCCAGCAGTGCCTCAGGTAATATTCTCGCTGTCTCATCGCGGCTGACTCTTCTGGACTTCAGCTACGACGGTTTTGGTCCCTGGAGTGCATTATGTCATTATGCTTGTCAGACGTTGAGACGGCACGTCTAATAGCCGTTGCGCATCAACTACTGCGACAATTCCTTTCTATTCTCACACGACTGATCGTGTGCCACATGCTGTGCATGCCGAGCTTGTTAGGCAGACTCATGCAGACTCACAGCTTTGCTTGACGTTCTGCTCTCCGAAGCCGTGCCGTGTTCGTGGTCAAAACTGCGTTCGCTGTTTGGCCAGCCGTTTTGACCGCCTTGGACAGAGACCGCCGGGCGACTTGGACTGCCCACCGAGCAACATGGGATCAACCACTCCCGTCCCTCAGGCCGGTTTTGAGTGAAAAGGCTGCCGACTTTGCGGTGCCATGTTCCTGATTGCAAATTGTGGTGATCATCGTCTGGGCTGTCGGTGGCGGGCCTTAGGCCCAGAAAAAGTTGTGGTTGGCCTTGGCTCCTGCAATGACGACCGTGGTGTAGCTGTGTGAGCCACAATCGGGGTTCCTGAGTTTGCCTCGGGCATCAGCGCAGACGACATGTCGGAGCCGCAGGCCAATTTTTGGCAAGGACTACCCCAGTCCAGTGAACTCCTGGAAGTCCAGAATCGTCCATGCAACCAGCCGGTCGTGCATTCGCAGAAGAGTCAGGGAGACCTGTGCTTGCTGTTCAAACAGGAGCCCAGTCCGATAGCTATTTAAGCAGGCAAGAAGAAAAAGGAGACATCCTTCCTCAGCATTCTCGCGGCATGAGCTCAGAGCAGGGCAACGGCAGCGACAGACACCAGGGCCACAAGCGGGATGCCGAGCAAGTTTAGAGGGTGCTGTCGTGCCTTCCAGGTTTGCACGCGCTCATATACGAGGGGCATTGGCGGAGGAGCACTGGCGCTCATGGGCAACCAGGTTTCGCGGGCAGCATGTCTTTAAAGACAAATGTCATGTCAGTTGGCACCAGCTCACAAGCTAGTTGCCGCTCAACAAATTCTCCTATGGATGACTCCATCGGAGACTCCTAAGGCGTTACAGGCCTCAGAGTGCAGCGAACTGCTCGACCCTATGAGAGCGAGCTGCTGTATCTCCGCCCAACACTTGCCAGGTAAGTTTATGCAGAACCTGCATTTTTCTTGCAAGCCATGATTTGGTTCTTGTAGGCTGTGCAAGCAGTCCGACGTTTTTGCAGGTTTTTTTCTTGCAGTTCGACTTCCGTTTCTTCCTGAGAAGACGTGCTGGTGGCCGTGCCCGTGTCCCTGTCCGTGTGTGTGTGTGTGTGTGTGTGTGTGTGTGTGTGTGTGTGTGTGTGTGTGTGTGTGTGTGTGTGTCTGTGTGTGTGTGTTTGGCTTGAGAACGAAGATTGGGCCTTCGCTCGATGAGTGTCGGAGTGCTGCAAAGTCGGGGTGAAAGACGGTGGAGGCTTCAGACTTATACCAGCACGGCTGATTGGCAAGCCTGTCGGCAGGGCGCAGGGCTTCTGCAGTCGATGCCTCCGGAATTCTCCGGACACACGGGCGCGGTTGCGCTTGCGTGAAGGCAATCACGTTGAGGCAGACAAAGCTGGCAACCAAGTACGCCAGGTGGTGGGAAGTTGAAGGGAGGCGGTTTTGGCCAGGTCCCCCGCTCGCTGCTAGTGCTCTCGCCATCATGTGATGCGTGAGTCACTTTTGCCTCCATTCTGCAATGCCTTGCGCCGTCCATCGCGCACTTTGAAATTGCAGGGCGCTGAGCACCTGCAACAACTTGTGGCGTCGACAAACAAGGTCTCCCACCAGGGTGTCGACCTGCACTGTGTCCCAATGCCACCTAAGAGGGAGAGCGTGCTCTGATTTTGTACATGTAGCGAGTATAGGCGTCTGTTTAGGTGTTTGCGAATTGAGAGGTATTGTTGTGCGTTAACAACGTTTCCTTTGGCGACAACTCCCCTTTCTTTTCTTTTACAGCTGACGCTATGTGGGCAGTTGTGCACGCAGATGGCATCGTGTGTTATGTGCTATTAACACGGAGATTGTTCCACGGACTCGCAGCTCTGCGCGGCTTTCTCCACCCACCCGCCCTGGGAATGGGGACTGCCTCTCCTTGGGCGCTTCAATGGCCAAGTGAGGATGCACCGTGCCCAGACGCCGCATAGCACAACCAGCATGCTCTGGCTTGTACGTGCTTGAATATAAGAATTCAGAGGACGTGTTTGCATGCACTTGCAAAGTGTAGCTTTCGACATGTGCAGTTTGCGCAGAAAAAGTTTTTCTTACTTAGTTTACTTAGATTCAGACTTAGATAGGCAGTAGTTGCCTAGGGCTCGTGGAGTGTGTGCTGAAGCCAGCTTCGGACACTTTCTGTCTGTTGCCGGAAGAATAGTGCTCGTTTGCGACGCTTCATCGATGCTTCTCCTCGTATACTGCTCGTTTGCATTGGCATCGTTGGCCTTTGGATTCGCGTTTTGCCGGAACATCATGGAAGGATTCCGCAGACGGCGCACGACCAACGCCCTCCAACATTTCCCCTTGGAACCATGAGCCAAGAGCCCCAAAAAATTACGACAGTTAGAAGCTGCAGAGGAAAGACCGAAGCGAGAAGATGTCACTTGACGATTCATGAGTGAAACATGTCGATGTGATGGCATAGCCGAGACCCGGTAGCACTGCAGTGAATGATTGCGAGTCTTCGCCAGGCTCGGAACGAAGTTCCCACTGGCCGGCCATGCCGTCACTGGCAAGACTGCGTGTTGCTCGACTCAGTGTCCAAATATGGCAGGGCCGTGGCCTGACAACGGGATTCAATGACAAAGCATCTGTCGCAGATCTCCAAGGTACAGAGTCTGCCGCTTCGTTTCTCAGATCTGCCAAACCTTTTCACGGCAAAAGACCTGGAATGGCTGGAGCTACAGGCAGCGGATGCCGGCAGTGCGCGACGCATAGGCTCAGGGCGAAGGGCAGCATAACAAACCTCCAGGCATGCCCGCTGATGAGCTCTCAGACTGGCATTGCCTGGAACTCAATACCCTTGTGGCAGGTTGAGACATGATGGTTTAACAATGTGCAACATGCGTAACATAGCGCAGTGTCTCATGTCCAAGGCACGTGATGCAGTTTCGTTCTTGGCTGCATGCAAAACTATGAGGTTTCGTACGGGGCCAAAGTTCAGCCTCGCCATTTGAAAGTACTTCGCTGCGGTGTGCAGATGGCCAGATCCACAGCGGAGTCGTTGGGTACTGTGTGCATGCCTTTTGCGCACGCGACCTGACATCTTCCAGCATCTTCCAGCCGAGGCTTTGACGTTGCTTCTCTCTGTGTGCCTGGAGCGGCTGAGCTCTCTGTACCTGGATCCTCCGACTGACTCGCGCGTGCAGGCGCACTGGGAGTTAAGACGCGCTAAGATCAGCTGGGCAAGCTCGGTTCTGATCGCATAGGCAGCACGTAGCAATCGCAGCCATCGGGACGTCAGCCGACATCTGCCGAAATCGAACTTGCATGTGCTCTTGACAGTCTGACAGTCTTGATAGTGCGGCAGCGATGGCTGCTTCACCAGTGTTTGTGCCAATTTCAGTATGGAGCCCGGGTGCTGTGTCATTGCTTCGTTTTCACATTGATACCATTTCTGAAGCGGCATGGAACTGCTAGACTCGCATGCAGGACGAGCTTGCAAAGGCTTGTGCACCCCAGCTCGGCGGCAATGATCCCGATGTGGATGCCACGAGCCAAGCTATTGGCGAAGGCAAGCCAAGCATGTGGGATCGAAAAGGATGAAGTGATGCAGCGCAGCTCAGGCTTGCACAGACCTGCAAGCACAGGCCAGTGTCTGTTGACGCAGCTAACTAATTGAAGTCCGATATCGTTGACACTGGCGATGCTGTTGCACAGGCTCAGCGGGAACTGCTTGCTGAGCTGCGGCGAGCATCCCGAGCATCAAGGCCAGACGCGTCAAAGGCTCGGAGATGTGAGACAGATTGTGCCCACGCTAGGACGCCGGAATCCGGCGGTCTCACACCTTGGCAGCGACTCCAGAAGTGGATGCAGGCGGGAGGGGGGGCTGAAGTCGGTGTGGAGTCCTCTTTGAGAGCCCGGTGGAGCATCGGGACAGGCCTCCGAGAGGAGCACTGATGGTCACGGGCAGGTTCTTTACAGGACATGTCCCTCCCCATCACTGCACCCACGTGTGTGTGATCCAACGTTAGGACACGTGTACCTGGCATGGTCGGTTTCCTTTGAAAGGAATCTGCGAGCATCAGCGAGCAAGAGCGGCTCCGTCTAGCATGCAGCTGGAGAGAAAAAGGTTGTCTCGGTCAGCAAGTCTGATGCAGCTCTGTCAGCTTGAAGGCTTTCCGTCTGCCTCGCTCCGTTGTTGCAACAGGCGAGTTTCTGCAGCAAGACATAGAAAGCTAGGCGGTTGGTCACACGTGAGCATCGTCAAGGTACGATTTGGCCCAAAGGATGGCCGGCCTGGACGGCGTGAGCACCACAAGTTCGGGGCGGCCGATCGGAAAGGAACGCGCGGCGCTCAGCAAGAAGGCCGATGGCAATGGCACCTTTTGCTGCGTCTCTCTGTGGTGCATATGGGGCAGGTACTACTATCGCTTCCACAAGCTGATAGGAAAGGCAAACTGGCGAAAATACACGGAACGTGCTCCGGCTGCAAAAGTCGCTTCGCCAACATGTGAAGTTGCTCTGCGCCTCACTGGCCCATGCCAGGTTACATCGCCCCGCGGGCGGTGGAGAATCGTCAAAGGCCGTGTAGCCTCATGATTCGGTTGATTGTATCAGATTTGGGTCAGGTGGATTCCAACACCCTGGCCAACCTGGACGCAATCGAAACATGCCCACTCTTGGAACTGGCGCTTGCCCAAGGCCTGCGTAGCGCTTTCATGAAGGCAAGCGAGTCATCTCTTAAAGAAGTACAACAACGAAGAACAGGGCTTGCCTGACTGCCTGGTTCGTGTTACATATACAAATATCGAAAATTCGTTTTGATAGTCGAGTATGAAAGACTATCCAGGCGATGACATTTTATGTCATTTGTACTGTCACTTCATACCATGCGGCTCCCTTGCAAGCTGCCTTAAATCTTACAATAGATCGGTAGATGTGGGTAATACATAGACATAGATCATAGATACGTTTGCATGTATTACTTGTAGGTGTATGTATGTGTATAAGTACACATACAATTTCCTCCCAGAGGGGTCGAGGAAGAAAGTGTATGCCACTCAACCAATCAGCAATTGAACACAGACAGTAGTTCCCGGTATCAACGAAATCATGGTCTGCTGTGGCAATGCATGGGTGCGGCAAGTTTTGGAGGCTTCAGGCCACATGACCTCAAAGCACTGAAACCCCTAGCTACATGAACTTACATCTCGTCAGTAACCTTGTATTCTAGAAGTCTCATAGCCCGGCCCATGAAACTCATTGTGAGTCTTTGCATGTCGGTAGACGGTCGGATTTGTTTTGCAATCGTACGTTTTGTCGAAGCTCCACAGCGGAGGCTTGCGTGCTCGACCTTCGGAAGTAGACTATCGCACTGGCAATCCGGAACTGTGGTTTTTATGCGTATTCACGGACATCAACATCTGCTTGACCCGTGGTTCTTGTCGAGGTCAAAATTCAGAAGCCATCATACAGACAGACAGACAGACAGCAGCTTAGGGTTGGCATGGCGCAGGGGTTAGCAGCTGCCACATCTGCCGACGAAGTGCTGGAGGCGTGATTTCAACGGTCTCGGAGCTTGCCTTCTCCTAGCTAGCGATGCAAAAATAAGCTTCTGAAGTACATGCAATGTGCTCAATACTCCTGAGCCCGCGATTGGAGCACTGTGCAGGTATGGGTACAGTTCCGACACAAGCACCCGAAGAGGACTTGGGCCAAGCGGGTCAGTCCAAAGATATGGCAGACAGGCACAAGGAACAATGTCTGCTGCTTGAGCCTGGGAAACTGTAGCCTTCAATCTTTCGCTGTAGGACGTTTCACTACTTCAAAGTCCTGAAGCGGCTCCTGTGCTGCAAAGCCCCGCAGCATTGTCAGTTGTCACCTCACAGCCTTGGAGGCTGACAGACGTCGGTGGCTGTGAAAGAACGGATTGGCGCTTGCGCTTCATTACGTGGCTGCCTCAATTAGCTTTTCATTTCCAGCTGTGTGAAATCCTTTGATTCTGTGCGAGGTCCAGACTTAGAAAAATCCATCGCAAGGCCCAAGCCCTGGCTCTGGAGATTCGATTTGCATGCTTTTCGCACGCTCTAGCCGAGGTGCTCAACTTGCCTCGCTTAGCAAAGTACTATGCCGAGTTGAAGTGCATTGATGAGATGGAGCATGCGCCCTTCTGCAAGTATTCGCTTCAAAGTAGGGTTTTCGTCGGCGAGCCGCTTGGAGGTATCCCGATTTCTCAGGAAGATGCTGCCTAAGCCAAAGCCTCGCGGCTTGAATGAGTAGCATATGCGGTCTGTAGGTTTCGTGAGTGAGGTACACCTCGCACCAGCTTGTCCTCGTTGCCCATGCTTTCGCCATTGCCAAACTGCAGGACGATCTAGCTTCGACACCCACACAGCTGAATTGCTGGCTGTTGTTTTTGACTGCCATGGGCTGCAGGACAAGCACATGATGGAGGAGGTTGCCAGACTGGTGGAGTGTGCACCACGGATTCGCCCACATACCATTCGGCCACGTCCTTGCATGTCCTTGCCCAAGGCCGCAGCTCAGTGAAATCACTCCACTTGAAATGGTTCGACTGGCTCAGGCAAAGACGCAAAGACACAGCTGTGTTGTTGATGGCTGCAGTTGAGCCCCATCAGAGGCCTATGCCAGCACGGAAGTGTGTCATTACACGCTCCTGGGGCCGGTACCTGAGTCACAGGGCATCCCTTTTCCAGTCCTGGCTGAGACAAAGACGAAGTGCAGGCAGATTTCGGCACAAGTCGGACGCTAATGTCTAATCCCACTACAGACACAGAACTAACAGGGCGCAGACTGCAGTTTGAGGCACAAGTTCGTGTGCAACAAGCCTCGGAGGGGCAGGTGAGACTCTCGGATTCTTTCTCCTCGGTAAACTGTTTCAGAGATCCGTTCCAACGTGCTTTCGCCCAGGGCCTTCCTGGTTCTTGCCCGTCCTTTCTGCAGCTGGCGGAGCTGGCGGAGGCCTTTGCCCAGCTGAAGTTCCAGGCGCGACCGCCGTTCGTGGCGCGACGCGGAAGCTCCGCTCCTCCCCGCCCGCCCCCTTGCACCCTTTGCCCGGAGGACTACTCCTTCCTGGAGATGGCATCCTTCCAGGCGACGGGAAGGTGCAGCCATGCGGCACATGCCACCAGCTTTTCAGGCGGCGGCGCTGCTGAGAGAAGGCCGCGCAGGTCCAACACCGCACATGGCTTGGACTGGCGTGGGCGGACCAACGTTGAGGGGCGGACTGTGCGGGCCGTGAGTTGACCATGTCGACCCTTCGCAGCCAGACTTTCCTGGTGGCCCAGGCCAGCGCTGGCCCTGCTTTGCGGAGCCTGCGCGCGCTTGAAGGCAAGTACGCTGAAGCCCTGAGCCCCCCATGCCCCCCCGCTTCAGCTGCTCCAAGGTGCACGAAGTTCAGCTTTTCGAGGCATCGCATCGGGTTGCGACGCACATCTTTACGTGCTGTTTCTTGGCAGGCCGTCCTCGCTCACGTCGCCGAGCATTGGTGCATCCTGGCCTGAGTGAAAGTTGATGCCATTATGCCCAGAGACAGGTACGATTATCCAGCCTCGTGCCTAGCTGACATCGGCTTGGCTTTGGCGCCTGTGATGCCCACCTCAGAGCCTGTGATGGATGTGCCGGCTGCTCAGCTAACGGTTCCTTCATGCATGGGGCTACACCCGCAAACACAGCTGCCCGAGGTATCGCAGGATGCTCAGCCAGATCCGTCAGGATCGCGATACTTTGAGCTTGAGGCAGGGCACATCCCGCACTTGTATGAAAGTCGATGTTCGTGCATGGGCCTGCATGCAATGCTGTAGGCAGGTTGGCACAGCCGTTCGCTTCATGGCAGAAGTGGATCACAAGGGGGAGTTCATGCCCGGCTTGGCCCAGGTGTGACCCTTAGCCACACTTCTGTGGCCCTTGCCGTGGCTTGGTTGGCCTGCTTCTGCGCAGGTACTTGCACGTCGTCTCATGGACTTGAGAGATGAGACCAAAGAGTGTGCCTCTCTCAACGCCTCGAGTCGGCTACGGCTTTAAAGCATCATCGAATCATCGATGCACAGGCTATGATGTGGCCCGAGTTGCAGAGATCTTCTCGAGACGATGCATCCCGCTGAGAAGAGGAGAGGAAGCCGTCATCCTGGCAGAGCTCTGCTCCGATGAAGTTGATGAAGGGTGTTGCGCACCAAGGTCCAGAGGAACATGCATTGTTCTCCACGCTTTGTCGGGCGCTCCTTGACTGCCCGGAGCGCACTCAAGCCAGACACGTTCAGGCCGGCACTTGCATCGTCACCTCGGTTTCTTCGAACCCGTGGACTTCGTTCGATTTGCTCGAGGCCGCACATGTAGTGAATGTAGTGTCGTACAACCTCGTACGCAAGTCATTGTTGCCATCCAATCTTGTGATCCTTGGGCAGTCGTTGTAGGTCTAGCAGCAGCAGAGTGACTGGGCTGCAATGAGTGAAATTTAGGGTCATCGAAGCAGTGTTGCTTGTCCCGGCGTGATTGATGGATGTTGCGGTTTTAGTGAAACTCGACAGACATGACCTCATCAGACTGACAAAGGTATCGAGATGATCGGGTCGCCCATGCACTTCCCAAGTGGGTCCGCGACTTGCAAACGCAATTTTCAGTACTCGTAGCTGCGACCCCAACTTGATGGCCTGCGCGGTCACAGCTTATGAGGCAGCTCTGTAGCTTCGGTTGGCAGCTGCAAAGCGGGTGCATCGCAGGATTCAGAAAGCTCTCGCGCTGGGAGCTCCGAGGCCGAAAAGCGGCTCCGGGAGTTCTCCCCGCACGACTGGGCGCTGCTGGCATGGTCTCCGCAAGTGCCTTCGTAGATCTTTTGTGGAGGTACATTCATGCACCCATACTGCGTGTTCCTTCTGTGATTGTATGTTCTATGTGCCGCAAATAGACTAAGACAGACATGAATACAAGTTTATCTGAATGCAGCAACAGTATATGTAAATGCATTCGTATGTAAATTTATGTCATACTGTATGTATCTATAATAATAATAATAATATATATATATATGCGTACATGGCTGCCTGAGTAATTACCTACAAACGCACACACAACGGAGACGGACAGAGGCACGCAGACAGAAAGACAGACAGACAGACGGTTATGGCCGAGGTTTACATATAACATATATGACATGTATTTATGCGGGAATTGTGATGATTGCTATTGACATTGTCACTGTTACCGACCAGTCACCTGCCCGTGTGTTCAGGCCGCCGCCTGCGGAAAGTTGCAAAGGCAACATAGCCAGAGTGGCCACTGAAACCAAAAGCCAAAGAAACAGGAATGGTTTTGGTGTCGCGCGCGCATGTGTGTGTGTGCAACTCCTGTCTCCAAGGATTTTGAGTCGTAACATTATTTTTGAAGAAAAGCAGGGGGCCATCCCTCTTGTCATTGGTGGATGGCCAACGAAGAGGCCAATGACAAGAGCTGAAAACGTACCTGCACGTAGCTTGAGCCTTGAGACTCAAACAATCAATTGTAGCGCTCATCTAGTCTTCCGTACCTTTTAAAAACAACCTTCAAAAGCAAAGCTTCCAGAGGCCTCAACATTTACAATTTGAGCTAGTTTAATGGATGCGATTTTGAAGAAGTATCAAGGAAAAGAGACCGAAGAGACTACAAGACAACCGGCAGAGACCGGATTTCCATGTGTGTTGTTCGGCTGGTAGTTCTGACAAAGGCCCAGTCGTGATGGTTGCAGATGCGACCCCTCCAAGCATACCCAGGACATCCGAATTATACCCAAATGAAGAGATTCAATTCTGGTTTGCAACCAGACTACTTTGCAAAGACCCAATGCTCTTTAAAGGCTGACGCAATCCCAGGTATACCCCTGCCAGAAAGCACCCAAGCATCTCTGATATGTCTGTTCGCAGGTGTATCAGACTATTGTGTCATAGCATACCCAAGAAATCCCAGGTATACCGAAGGTCATTCATTGAGAATGATCACCCAAAGCTGATCCATCGTGTTGACAGTTTTCTGCTGAGCAGTTCCCAAGCTGATCCAACGCTCTATGCGATCCGAATTATACCCAAGCTGATGATGACATCCGAATTATACCCAAGCTGAAGATGATGATCCGTCCGTTCGCCACCCCACAAGCACCCAGCGTCCGTAGGCCTTCAAGGCCTGTACGTTTGTAGTGAAGTAGATGTTTTACGAGTAGTTTTAGCTTTCATCATCATCTGAACTTTATAGATGTCGTGACTAGGTTTCGATCGCCACCCAAAGCTGATCCAGCATCCGTACTTTTTCGTCTCGTTTCATCTTATATCCATCAGTAGCATTCGTGCTCAAGAGGACGAAAGGCTGTTCTTCGTTCAGTTGTCGTCGTCGTCGTCGTGTTCCTGCGTTGCTCCTGCTCGTTTGTCACCGTCTTTTTCGTTCGTGTAGATGTTCCAGCCACAGCTATTGTGGTGTTGATTGTTGTGTCGTTCGGTCGTCGTCGTCGTTGTTGGTGCCCTTGTGCTTCCTTCTGTCATTAGCACGTTCGCGTCATTGTTGTTGTTGTTGTTGAAGGTATGATCTTAAGGGCTTGGTTTTTTCGGAGATTCTATCTTTCTTGCTTCAGCTTGTCTAGTTGCTCTGTTGATAGCCGGTTGCAACCGGAATTGTGTGTGTGCAATCCTGTATCAAATGGCTGTAGAGAAGCAGGGGTGCAGTTCAATACGTACTAGTTTATTAAAAGCTCCACGACGACGACAAAAGAAACGACGACAAAACAATGGAAAGAAGAGATGCAGGCACAGATCGAAAGTCTTTGAGCATAAAGACTTGGCCCAGATGTACGAGATCACTACTGGCTTGTCTTTCAGGTTCAGGTTGTGATTTCAATTGTTTGTCTAGTTGTTCTGTTGACAACCTGTCCTACTGGGGTCGTGTGTGTGCAACTCCTGTCTCCAGGGACTTTGAGTCGTAACATTATTTTTGAAGAAAAGCAGGGGGCCATCCCTCTTGTCAGTGATGGATGGCCAACGAAGAGGCCAATGACAAGAGCTGAAAACGTACCTGCACGTAGCTTGAGCCTTGAGACTCAAACAATCAATTGTAGCGCTCATCTAGTCTTCCGTACCTTGTAAAAACAACCTTCAAAAGCAAAGCTTCCAGAGGCCTCAACATTTACAATTTGAGCTAGTTTAATGGATGAGACTTTGAAGAAGTATCAAGGAAAAGAGACCGAAGAGACTACAAGACAACCGGCAGAGACCGGATTTCCATGTGTGTGTGTGTGTGGAAGGGCGGAAGAGGCAAAGGAGAAGGCGAAGGAGGAGGAGAAAAAATCGAGGAATCTTGCAAACCAGGTGAGGCCCAAGGGAGGAGGCGGCAGAGGAGGTGGAGGACGAGGTGCGGGGGGTGCCAAGAAGAACGTCAGTGTCGAGAAAGGGAAGCCAATGCGGCCAGGACCATCGAGGACCAATCGGTTGCGAAGAACGAGGAGCCGGACACAACCAAGAGGAGTGTCCTCGACGCGCCAATCCGACGAAAGGAGTCGGAAGCCAAGGTGTCGGTCCGGTCCCGCCTGCGAACTTGGGACAAGGCGACCAGAAACTTCGTGTCGGAAGGAGTCAAATTGCAAGACCTGGATTTGTTACACCTGCAGCCCTCAAGAGGACAGTGGCTGACTTGTCCCTCCAGAGATATAACAGCGGAAGGCACTGAAACTTGCGGCTTTTTAAGGATGTCAGGTCGAAAGCCGGCCACGGCACGATTGTGGCTCGGGCTTGCGTTTGCCAGGGCGATCGCTGCAAGCGCAAGCAGTGGGAGGCCCGGGTTGCTCCGCTGGCGAGGTCCCGCGCTCCGGGGAATATGAATGCTCGCCTGTTGCTTGTGAGGTGGAGGAGTATGCAGCCTCCCAGGGGTTGCCCCCGAAGGATGATCCGCCTGCATGGGTGACCGGGGCGCTGCTTGCCTATCACACAGGCCTCGCTTTTTGCATGGCCCTGCCGTGACCAGAGGCGCCATACCGGGCGGCTGGGGATGCCATTCATGCCCCCGGCGCATGACCGCTCGGACATCGCTGACGGGTACACAGAGATGCTGGTCCAGCACGCCATGACATGGGGTCCTGCATAAGCCGACGCAGATCGGAGGACCCCCCGCACACCAGAGCACCTGGTGTGGCTGGCGATGGGCGGCAATGGGGCTCACCGGGAAGTTTTGGAGGGGCACCTTGTGCGGGACGTGTTTCCGCACGTGACAACAGTCACGGAGCCGCGACAGTTGCGGACGAATTTCGGTTCGCAGGCAGATGAGGATTCTGGGTCTTTGTTGGGTGTGCCACAACAATCCCGTTCCTAACCGCTTTGCTGGGATTGGCACCGTAAAAGGGGAGGCAGTTGCAGGGTTACCCATTTCCCCCTCGTGCATTAAGGTAGCGAGGATTAGCGAGGAGCGAACGACAAGAATTAGGAGGGGAGGAAAGACAGGTGGGCCACTCGGGAAGGCCCGGGCATCTGGCCCTTCGGTTTTTCGCTTGAATTTTAAATAAAAGGCTGAGCTGTGCCTTCTGAACCCGGCACTCTGAAAGTCCTCAGGGTCTGGCTACCTTCGAGCGAAGCTCGCGACCAGCCGCCTCGTTGATGAAAGAAGAGAGCGTGCCAGGGCGGTAGGGCGGGGGCACGCGAACACACCCCGTTGTTTACTCGAGTTATAGACATGATATACTGAAGTATATGAAGTATACCACACAATGACAAGCATTGTACTGCAAATCAGGGCACAGCAGCGCAAATCAGGGCATGAATGAAAACCCACAGCGAAAGGCTACAATGTGGTATGGCAGTAGAGCATGGCTTACTATCATCGTGCAAAACATGGCCAGTCTAGTAGTCTAGTAGAATGCAGCAAACTTCCGAGAAAGAAATCAGGACCTTCACTAAGAACGACGGCCGTTTCATAGCGAGTTCCATGCGCAATGTAGGATGTCAATGTAGCTCGAAACAGCACGAGATGATGCATTCGATTAGGCCAAGTATCGTAGACATGTCGCGTTACAACTCGCAAGGTAGGTTGACTTCATGATACCGAGATCTGTGCGCAATTTATAGTAAAACGTAATGCGTAACACACGACGGTTTACGAAGCAGTTCACACTGTCTGACTGTACATGCAGAGCATGAAATACGCAGTTTTAGTCCACAGTGCAGGGTCAGTGCGTAATTCGCCACGTCACAAAAAGGGATGTTGCTTTATCACGAGAGGCGAATGACAGAGGGCACATGATGGCACACAGAGCGATGCCAATTCACAACGGTAGAATGTGATAGAATGTCACGATATGTGACGGGACACTGGAGGATGATGTATTGTGAACCCAACACAATCGAACCGACGGCGGTGCAAAATAATTTGTTGGGATGCAGCTCAAACTATGTGCTCGGCTGATGCAACTCAGGATAGACGATTGGACTGTAAAAAACGCCCAGGTGTGCATGTTATACTACATATATACCGTTTGGAGTTTTGATGTGATTGATATATTTGACGGAAAGGGCATCATAGTATCTGATAAGACGTACTTGTATTTATTATACGTATACCGACTGAAAACTGGAATCCTGCTTGATTTCTCAGTTTCTGGTGATAATTTGGAGTCTGACTGTGTAAAAACACGCACCAGCGGAACTTGGGAGAGCAATTTATTCCGGTATTAACGACTCCAACTATCGGCAGTGTCCCAACCGGTCGGTCTTCAGCAAGCACAGACCAAATGTAGAAGCGGCAAACATAAGTGGACGTATGCACAGGCCTAGACAGGTAGACCATGCTTTAGACCATTCCCTGCATGCTACATGCTGGTAGCATGCGATTGGAGTATGGTGGTGTCAAACGTGCATAGAGGCACCGCGTCATGTGGTCGTGCGGTAGAGTTAGGAGGCTGATGCTTGTGTTTCGTAGGGTGGAGCGAAAGATCACTAAAGTATCTGCAAGGTTGTTGTGCGAACAACTCGCACATGTCTCGAGCAGCTCATGGCAGGACTCGTTTCTCACCTCGATGAGCAGACTTGGAACCTCCGCGGAAAAGCTGACTCAATTGCGAGACAGCGGTCCGGAGCTTGGCCGCTCGCTTCGAAGCCCGACGAGTGCCAATTGTGGAAGAAGGGAAGGGCTGCCGGTGTTGAGTGGACTCGCTGTATTGATCTCCAGGCCCCCCACCGCCGACCGAGCCCGCCACCTTTTCAGGAGGTCAGGCGGCACGAGCAGCACTTGCAGTTTCGCACCCAGATGATGTTCTGGCTCCTTGCTGAACATTTGGCTTTGACCCATTTGTCCCATGCCTGGCATCCAAGGCCAGATCGACTCAGGCTGAGCGCGAAGCAATAGCCTCATAGTTGGCGCAAAAAGCGCGAGCGAACCGGCCATTGCATTGGACGTGAGGCGCTTTTCACGGCAGTCATTTCTTGAGCGTATCCGCAGAGCTGAGACTCTGGAGCTTAATTTCCCCCCCGCCACTCGTCAAGAAGAGGTGTTCACACAAGAAGCAGCCCGGACGGAACGCAACACATTTGAAGCAGCAAAGCAAGTTTTGCCTCGATCATGCTGCCGCTGGTTCCGTTTGCTTCAGCTTAAATTAGGAAGGAACCTGGCAACTCTCGGTGCAAGGCCGCGCAACGGGAATGAACCTTCCTGGGTTCGGAGGAAAGCGAAATACGCCCGCAGGCGAAGCGGCGAAGTTCGAAAGACTCATGGCGGACGCTGGCCTGGCGAGCTGCAGGCCACCTGTTTTGCTGGTGGGGCAATTTTTTTGCAAATCTCGCGACTTTTGCCTTGCGCCAGATCTAGAGCCGTACTGCTCATGAAGTTTGTCAGAGCTTATGCTGCTCCGTGAAGGTATGCGTCATTTGTCATGTTTGACTCAGGTTTCGTGCCCCGGCAGAGTGTCAGGCCAGAAGGGACCACAAGAAGAGCTCCCACAGGTTGTCGAGTCGGATCTGATACTAGTAGGATCCATTCGTCCATTCGGGCTGGAATCCTCAGCCCCATCGAAACCCCTGACGATTGCTGGCGGGGGTAGCAGAAACGGCTGTTGAGGAGAAGCTTGCTGAGTTGCACAAGCGATTCGCTTTCAGCGAGGTCGAATTTGAGCCCAGTTCTCGGATGTAGACATGCAAACTTGCTACACTCACGGAAGTTCTCTGTGCACCCCGCTGCCAGGTGCTTCGAAGCCAATGTTGGCTCGCTTACAACCGCCAAGCTGCCACAGTTCGGGCCTTTATGCCACGCCCACAAATGTCCACGACAGCAGCGCATGCGCGAATGTGCTGCTACTGTGTATGCAGTGGGACACACGTCCGACCTTGTGGCCATTTTGCAGCAAGGTTTGAGGCCTACCTGCAGAAGGAGAAAGAGAGAAAAGCGCCAAAGAAGCGCAGCGGACTTGTTGCCCAAATCCGTCCAAGTGTCGGAAGCTCGAGGAGCGTATAGGAAAGTTCAGCCATCTCCCCTACCATAACTGCCAACGGAACATGTTCGTCCGACTTGTCAGATCATCATTTCGGCAACGGTGTGCTTCCGTCCCACGTCCCTTCTGCCAGGTCGGTGGTGCGCCCACAAGCACGGCCTTTGGGAGGCCGCGCCCTGAAAAGGATGAGCCAAAATTCCCTCACCAGTTCGTGCAACAGCCGAGAAGATCCAACAGGATAAGCAGGGCTTGGTGTATTGATATCATATCACGGAAATCTTACAACTTGCTGAGCTCGGCGGGCAGTGCAGTTGTTGCTCCTGTTTTGAAAGTGGCCGACGTGAGTATTCCAGTGTCGTGTGCTTCTTTACACCTCAGGTTGCGACCCACAGAACCTGTGGACGGCAAATCCTTGCAACAAATCATTCCCCGCTGGTCCCTTCGGCACGAAGACGGCCCGCTACACAGCAGGATAAGAGAAGGCCGCCAATCTCCCGAAGAGAGAGAGAGAGAGAGCTGAAGAAGAGACAGAGCACAGCATCACAAGTGGTTGTGAGTGGGTCCGGGCCTCAGAGTGAGTTGCAGTTGTGTGTGAAAGTAATGTAGAGAGACTAGGTGCTGTGAAACCCTGCCTGGTTTGCACAACAGAGCAACTGCAGTAGCACGACAGCTCCGCCCCTAAAACAGGGGAGTACGATGAGGCGCGGGGGTTTAGCTAGTGTACGGGGATGTACGGGGGAATGGTTTCGCGGGTGCCAGCCGTGCCTCATCGGAAAGCGAGCAAAGGGCAGACCTGGATGTTCGGTGCGCCCTGCGCGCGGCGGGGGGTGCGTGCACTTCCCCTGGCTGTATGCAAGCAAGAGGGAGAGAGAGAGAGAGAGAGAGAGTGAGAGTGCATTTCGGAGCCTCTGTCGGAAGCCCTGGGAATCTCACAACAGACCTTCCGACCGGTGCGCGCTTGCACGCGGGCGCCACGGCGCCTTGTCCGAGTGCAAGCAAGAGAGAGAGAGGGAGACCAACCAGTGCGCGGACTCGTGCGAGAGCGGTACCGCTGCCCTTTGGCTGTGTGCAAGCAAGAGAGAGAGAGAAGAAGCAGAAAGAGACACGGTCCTGCATGCTCCTTAGGGGAGCTGACATGGCAACCCTGCAGGGGATGAACACACGGGTGCTTCTGCTGTAGTTACTACTTAAGTCCTTCGTGCTTCTCGCTTCTCTCTCTCTGTGGCTTCATTATCACTCAGGCCTATAAACCTTCAATCCAGCGAGCTCTTTGCTAGTGAGAACTATACTTGTCCGACTTTAGGCGATATCGCCCTGAAACGTCAATGGCCTGGACAGGCAGAGTTGCTCTCATTGCTCTTTGGATCTGGCCGACCTTCACACTGCATAGACTGCGAAGGCATCAACTTCACAGCTCAAACGAGCACGGGAGGCGTTCACGGCATCTGCCGTTCCAATGTGATTCGTCGCTGAATGTCAACTGTGCGATTTTTTCAAGGCTGATGCGAAGGAAGAGCCAAGAGGGGCGCTCCAGAATGCTCCTATGCAGCCAGGCCAAGCGTGTGCTCGCGTCCATTTAGCACAGTTTGTCGATGGCTGAAGGAGCAACGGCGCCTAGGGCACCAATGCAGGCACCAGAGAAGAAGCAGAAGCAGTCAGCTCAGATGGCAACCGTCAGCCGAAGTCCATCGAGGTTTCAACGAAGAGTAGCAATGCTTCCAGCCCGGACAGACCGTCTCAGCCGCATGCCTAGTTTCAGAGAAGCCGTCTTGTCAGATCTCATTGTTGCAGCCAGTCTGAGGTCTCTGCTCCCTGTGAAGGTGCAGGAAGCATCAGGCCTCCCCGCATGACGCGGTTGCACATAGCTTGCCTTAGCAGGATTGCCTGCCTGCCTGTCTGCCTGCCTGCGTGCCTGAGCTGCATCTGCTAAGACGTGCTCAGCGAATGTACTGTCTTGAATCGGATTCCCATGTTGTGGGGGTCCCTACGATCACTCAGGATCCTACTATGTAATCATGTCGAGCCCACAGGCTTAGAGTCGTGCTATTGTGGGACACTCCCATGTGGCAGCGTGGGCCTGCTTGCCTGTATAGGCGATCTCGATTCAGCGCCCTTGCGACCGCACTTTTCCTCATCGGCAGACGCTTGTGCTGGCTAGTTCCAGAAGCAGCGACAAGAAGCTGTTGCAACGACCTTTCCATTGTGCTGGTGACCTCCCCGATTCCTTCCCATCCCTCCACTGAGTTGGTGGATGCTGTCATCCGAAGCTTCGACTTGGTACAAGGCCTGGAGCTATGCCCGCTTATCATTGTGGCAGACGGTGTTCAGGTACGGGCAGGCCGACCTGCATGGAATCGGGGCAGGATTGACGAGAGTACGCAGCAAAGGTATCTTGGCTATGTCGATGCTTTGAGGTCGAAATATGAATCGTCCGGAGCGCCTGACCGGCGTTCGGTGAAGGTGGTGGGCCCACTGGCAAAACGCGTCAACTTCGGACATGCAATCCTTGCAGCACTGGGCGACGTGCATACGGAATTTGTATTGGTCGTGCAGCATGATCGGGTTTTCGCCGAGCCGCTGGACATGAAGAAAGTTCTCAGCATCTTCGACAGGTACAAGACCAATGGCCTCAGATATGTTGGGTTTCAGACTGTTCCGGACTATGTAACGTACGCTGTAAGCAAGTACGGCGGTTGGGCACGGAGCGAAGTTTCGGAAAGCGAAACTGGCTTGATCCCATGCTTCATCTGGTACGATTCAACTCATGTCTGCCGCACAAGGGACTTGGCAAAGCTGATCGTGAAGGAAGTGAAGACGGGAGAGTTTATTGAAAGCTCCTTTGGTTGCAGACTTCTGGCAAAGATTCAGGAGAGCAAAGAGGAATGGAGCTTCACATACCACATGGAAAACTATGGACTCTTTCTGTACTACGAGCCGACGGTGGGCACGCAAAGCCCGGGACTCAGGCAGAAAAGTAGGGCCGTCTATCATTTTCGGAGATAGTGGTACTGAGATCACAAGATGTCCGACAAACTGTCCTTTCAAACTTGATTGATCTGTGGGGTTGACCTACTGCTGGCAGCAGCCTTTCGGGACCGATTGGAGGAGCTTCATGCACAGAAGCGCAGCACTTTTCCTGCAATACCGCTCACCCGCTCACCCCTGGTTTCAGCTCGCACACAGCCATGAAAAATGCACGGTGGAAAAGAAAGCTCTCGGGTCGAAAAACATGACATGACCGGAATAGCTTCCCACCGGAAGCAGGAAAACGCCTGCGGGGCACTACGAAAGTGACAACCGAGCAACCGGGACCAGATTCGCAACTCGTCCCATGCATCCAAAAAACCAAACCCTAACTAACTCCTCCAGCCGCTGAGTTCTCATGACCATCATGATCATGATCATCCCTGCTCCTCCTCGCTGTCCCGCCCCGCCGTCCTGCCACGTGTTGAGGACGTAAGCTTCTCCCGAAGCCCGGCTCAGTCGTGGAGTTCTTACACGAATCTCTTTGCTCCCACTAAGGCCCGCTGGTGAGACATGTAAGTGGCCGGTCCTTCGTGTCACGCGAAGAGCGCATCAAGATGGGCTGGCCGGCAGAGAGACCTTCTGCTGCACGACGTGTTCGCCAACCCGGCGATGCCCGAAGGTTTCTGGATGGGCAGAGGCTAAAAACTGGCTCGCGTGATCTTGCGTGCATATGAAAAGTTTTTGCGACTATCGCTCACCAGTGCTTGAACCTTCGATCCAAAGCTGCACAGGTTCCCAGAAAGTCGGATCCTACAGATGGATCAATGAGGCCAGTGCACGTCTGCCGATGCTACACGAGTGGCATGTCAGAAACTTGTGTTCGTGCTGATCTCGTTGTTTCTGGTGTGTGCCACAGACCATAGCTGCTCGTGCTGCACATCGTGACGAGAGACTGCAGGCCTGGCGGCATCTCATGGCATGTCGGCTTCTGACCTCTGACCATCTCATGTCAAGGAATGGGAACCTTTGGTAGTTTCGGAGTTGCAGATGCGAGCTCCAGAGGCTCCTGCACTTGCGAGTCTTGCGAGGCGAGGGGAGAGCCGAGGTTAATGGTGTTAGCTCGTCGTAGGTCGCTGTGGGTACAGTGGGTGCCCAGAGCCAAGCGAGTGAAAGCAACATGCGGTCCGCCTCGCAGCGTGTTCCGACCCAGGTTCCCTGTCAGAGCGAGAGCATCCTCTTCGGCCGCATCGCGTGTGAGGCCAGGGCCGCAAAGCCTGAACTCGCCTATGCAAAGGCTTCTACCACAATCTGCCCGCGCATGAGCAACGACACCACCTGATGCAGGGCTTTGAGGGCCGCCTGAACGACCGCTCTATCATGCCTTGCTTGCACGTTGGTCCATGCCCGAGTCTTTGCATCGACAGCATGGGCTGGCCGCGAGGCTGGAGGGGCCAAGCTTTGCCAACACCAAGGCTGCAGAATGCTGTAGATGAGCCATACTGCAAATCCAGATGCGTTGACTGCAGCCGAGGAAGGTCGTTCAGTGTTGGAGCAGGTGCGCTTGAACGTTGCGGACTGCAAGCAGATTGCTGCCTTTCCTGGGCAGATAGCCTTGGCCTGAGATCGTAATAGACAACATGTTTTTGCTGGAGCACATTCCAAGGTCGGCGTCGTCGGCCGCAGCGGCATGACCGGCAGCACCTTCCACGTCAAGGACTTTTTGCCAGGCCTCTGCCTTCAGTCTCTTCGCGTGCGCAGTGTGCCCTCCACATGTGCAGGGCTTCCGGTCCAAGGAGAAGCCTTGGCGCCCGAGTCGTCTTTGCATGCCATGGTTGTAGCCGGCCCGCGCAGGGCTTGGAAGGGTCATGAAGGGCAGCCATAATGTTCACTTCATATTAAGAAAGGGGGCCCCCTCCCCACCCCCGCGAGGATGGGAGCCTCAGCCTCCGTAATAAGAGTCCGGGTCCAGCATGAGAGCCATTCATCAGTGTCATAGTGCTTCTGCAGTGTCCGCGAATCTGCTGAGCAGAACCCCCAACAGCCCCAAAGCCTTTTCAGCTCCTGTAGATTCTGCTTACAGTTTTTTAATTTTTCCGCTAGGCCGCTTGGATTCTGCAAATACGGGGGGGGGGGGTTTCTAATTACGTTCTGGGAAGTGGATTTTGCAATTACGCGGGGGATTCTAAATATGAGGTTGACATTACGCTTGTATTCGGACATTGCTTGGAACCCACTAGTCAGTATATACTGTAGCACGCTTCAACATGCCAAGGGGGGGATGCAGGCTTCCAAGGCTCTAGCTTCCATTCGCAATGCGGGGATGTGAAAAAGGTCTGTTGATAGCAGCTGTTCACATGGTCCTGCTGATGTTGTTACGCAGGCAATCACGAGAGGGCGTGAGAGGAAGAAACACCATGGCGATAGGGCGGCGGCGCCGCCGCACTGCCAGCAAAAAGGGTAGTTGTTTCGACGATGTGTCAAGGTTCGTTGTGGTCCTGTGTTGAACAGTCTTGGCGATGTCGGGGCTTGGCTGGGGTAATCCGGGCAATAGCATTGAATGCCTCAGCCACTGCTCGCCGGAGCTGGCTTAGGCGATACCGGAGTTTTGAATGTGCTGCTCACAAGTGCGCAGGATGCTGCGTGGTTGCTGCATGCGAAACGGGACTGAAATGATCATGCATGGGCTGTGCATGCATCCAGAAAAAACACTCAGTCTTGGCCAGGCTGTGTTTGTCTATAGGTGCGCAGCAGATGCGAACGATTCCTCCCATGATCTCCAATGTGTGCTACGAAACAGAGCGGCATGCCGTACACGCAGCACCTGCATACCTTCACTTCCTACATTGTCCTACATCTTGGTGTTCATGCTGCAACGGGGGCCGGACCTTTGAAAACTAAGCCAACCAAAGCCTCCTGAAGCTCGCTTCGGAAGGTGTTCTGAAGTCCAAGTTTGCTGACTCGGGTGCTAGGGGATTCACAGGGAGCGTAGGTGAAGTCCAGAGGAGCACAACACCGAGGTTCAGCCAACGTGATCGACTCGACTTCACAGCTTTGCAGAGTGCCCTGGCTCATGCCCAGATCGAGCGTCCGCAGGTCGGGTTTGCTGTGCTCCTTGCTTTGTCGGAAGAAGATTCGGTTGTCAGCGAGTATCAGAATCGCATTGCGGGTGTCTGTGGCTCAAGCTGCCGTACGGTCTGGTAACCTTGTAACTCGAATTTCGTAGTACATGTTGGTGGAATGGTCTGCATGAAGCTGCTCAGTGTTCGGCGACGAGCAACCACTATCCCAGAACCGAGCAACGGAAGTGCACAGCTCATCCGCTTTCCAAGACTTGACGAGCACCTGTCGTGAGCCACCGCGTTCAAGTGCAAGTCTACATCTCCACGCTATGATATCCGGAAGTCGACTGGCACTCGATGCTGCCAGAAGGCGCATGTTGCCTCCGCCTTGAGCTGCCACTTCCTTCTGCAAAACGGAGGCACCAAGAGGGATTCGGAAGAAATCCGTTTGGACGAAGACACTGATCTTCCAGTACTGCCCTCGAAAAGTCGAACACGACAGTGCGACGATAGGACTTCCAACTTCCAACTTTCTTAAACACAAGGAGCCAGCAAAGATTGCGGCGCCGAAACGAGATGTCTTCGGTTCGCAACAGGCGCTTCGAGTCACAAGGCGGGCCAGCGAAGAACTGACAAAGTGAACCACGCCTCCTCAGGCGCGCATCGGTGTCCTGCGGCTGCCTCAAGAACCAGTTCCAATCTGACTATTGTCAGAAGAAGCGATTAAAGAGATTCGTCAGGTCGCTCTTGAAACTGCGGAACATCTTCGGCTGGACCGGCCACGGAGGTGTCTCGGCGCTGCAATAGGACAAGCTTAGGCTGAAGTTAAAGAAGTCCCACAGGTCATGCCCAGTATTCGGTGGGCGAGCTTGAGAGCAAGATCTATGACAACGTGCATCACAATAGCAAGGCGGATTGAACTCTCTCAGAACAGGCAGCTGAAACATGCCTCAGTTTTAGATGGTTCTGAGGGAGAGCTCTTGATGCCGCTATCCATCTTGTCGCGGGACGCGCCTTCACAGGCGCGCAGGGATGCTAGTTAGGACGCTCCATTACATGTCAAACGGTTCATGGATGTTGCAGTCTCCATCAGTCGCTTGTCATAGGCCACAAGGAAGGGTGAGGAATAGTGACTAAGACATTCACAAGTGCGACTAAAACCATGGAAGCAGTGAGCTGACAGGAGGCCTGGTCCCACCTCTGTTCTGACATATGCAGTCGCCAAACCAAGTGATTCACAGCCAGGGCTGGTGCTGGCTGAAAGTCACTGGCAGGTGCCCAGCAACATCTTGCTCTTCACGGATTGGAAGGCTTGGGATTGCCACAGGTCCTGGAAAGTGCCCTGAAAGTGATTGGTTGAAAGGCCCGGTTGGCTTCGCAGGCGCAGTGCTGGAACTTGCAAAGGTATTGTGTCTCACACTCGCTGTCGCAGCCTTCCCACAAGTACGGCCGTCCGAAGGTTTGCCTCGTGGTTGTACTCGTCTCTTGCATTATATCTCCCATTACCTTCATCTGGGGTGGCAGCTGGGCATGGGCCTCAGATCGACCTGTGGGAGTGCCGCGCAAGTGGCTGCAAGGGTGCAGAGCTCTTTTGAAGCCTCCGTCTTACTCTCCGACTGGTTTGGAAAGGCTGACCCGAAATGGGTGCCAGGAGGAAGGCTCCCAACGGAAGCTTCTGACATCTGAATACGGCTAGACAGAGGGTCGTGATGGAAGGACGACGATAGTTCTGGATCTGTTCTGCGACCTGGGCTACCTCGTCTACCTTCTCTTGGAATTGAAGATGTCTTTCATGTGCGTCACCCAGATGCTAGTCTTCTGTGCCCTTTGTGCCAAGTCGAAAAACCAGAAGGCTTAAGCTTTACCCAGAACCGGCGAATCGTGCTATCAATTGCCAGCCCCGTTGAAACTCTACCAGAAGTAAAGCTGTTGAAGTTGTGCCAAGGAAGCTGTGTCAAGTGTCAAACAGCTCAGATCTCACAAGGCATCCATCCAGAAGGGTGGAAGTCGTTGACCCCTCCAAGATCTTGCAGTTCAGGCGCTTCTGCTGCGAGTGGATGGAGCGTGATGTGGCTTTGCTCGTGTGTCCTAACAGGCTCAAGAGCACCACTTATATTATGCGGGCTTTCAGTGCTGCGGCCTCTGCTTCAGCAACATGACATCCGAGACTTCACAGACTGCTGCCAGGCTACATGCTACTTTTGGATCATTGCCTTCAATGCTAGCTTGCTGCTCAATCTCACCAAGCTTGTTCGGATTTACCACTTTGTGCTGCTCTCAGTCTATTGATCACGCTTGGTCGCGAAGGGGTTGTTGCTACTGGCGCGTAGGTGCGGCTCCCAGATCCACTTTGGCTGATTTGGGACAACGGTGTCCTACGCGAGCTCAGGCGAGTAGTGCACGGAAATTCCGCAAAGACAATCTTCCGTACAAGTTCAGAGTTCAGGCCGCTCCTACTCCTTACCTGGTTAGCACATTGGGCAGGGGACTCGCAGAAGAAAACGAGTGTGTCATTGCACAAAGGGCTCGAAAAGCCAGATTCCAGGTTGGTTGCCTTCTGGCGTGGGGTGGTGGATACCGCGAGGCGGACTGTGTCTCTGCTTCAAGAACTTGCCTGTGCTCATTGTTTGGGGCTGTTGCATCTCGACAGGCGCTGTGGAATTCAGGCGCACTTTGGAGACCGCAGGTCCGTCACGTGCATAGCCATTGCAAGTGCCAGGCGACGGCAGCGCGTTTGAGACCACCTTCAACGGGGCCGTTATTCCGGGCTGGTTCTCCTTGTACTTCATGGCTTTTGCTTGAGGCTCAGGCTTTTGCCGTGAGAAAGCACGCTCGAATTAGGTCAACACAAGTCATTTCGTTCAAGAGAGCTGTGTCATCTCCAAGGGACGAACCCCCCTGGTCTTCACCCCGAACCTTCTGTCTCCAGTCGTGCGGCGTTTTGTCTCGAATCGTGGTGGGCGCGTACCTCTATTTTACTCAGAAAAGAAATGATTTGGTTACGTCCGGCGCGTCCGGTGCGGGCACCGTCATCAGTACAAAGATCCACGACGGCAGAGACACGAGAAGACGCGCATGCCCATGTTGGACTCTGTTTCCCAGGTCGAGGCCCTGTACATGCTGACGGGGGCCTTGGACAACCCGCTGGGCGATGGAGGGCGCAGCCCTCAGATCCTTCCTGTCACGACAAGACACATTCTCGCCAAAGCGCCCACGAAAGGATGCTTTCCAGTAAAATGGCCCTGAGTCTCAGATGATGTCAGCCTCCTTCATTAACATGGAAGGATTCGAGACAAGAACTTCGGATCTTTGCTCATGGTGGCTGCATCTGCCTGAGCAACGAAGTTCATGCAGAGGTGATGTAGGCATCCACTTAGCTTGGAGGTGTTCGGGCCCGTTGGCTGCATTATTGTGGCCCACTTTATTGCAGCCGTCGTCCGAGAACAGGATCTACAGACCCCAACTCCTGCAGTAGCTGTACAATTCCTGCCGTGTTTCAGACAGCGCTAGTGGCTTACGATGACATCATGTCACATTCCTCTTCACAGGAGCGGAAGTTCGCGCTGGATATCCGGCATGAAGAGAACCAGGCGAAGTGCTCCGCTTCACGAGTCTGTCCTTCGTTGCCGGCGGCGTCTCGACAACCGTTCACCTTTGCTGTCCGTTGTGTCGTCGTGTGGCTGTACATATTACCGGTTATTCCCAAGGCGTGCTCTGAAAGCATTCTCCTGAGAGCATCTTCGCATGTCGACATGTTGCTCACGTTGCTCTCTTAGTTGACCCTCTGCGTCCGCGCACAGTTCCGGCACCGGAAAGCCTCATCGGATTGTTGGCTCATGTGGGCCCGAGGTTGCTGAAAACTTGGTCGTAAGCAGAACTGCTCAAGTACTCTGTGCCACCATGAATCCACCATTGCTTCATCTTGTCTGGTGGAACCGTTGCGCGCGTGAAGCCATCCCACATCACGGCCGGCACAAGAAGCCCAGACCTGTGTTCATCGCTGCGAGAGACAATCGCCAGCGGTGATCGTCAACGATCCCTCTGCCAGAAGGCTCTGTGTCCTGTAACAATCAATTCTCAAGCCCGGGAGCTCGAGGGTTGAACCCCTTTCTGGATCGGGCCTCGGGCCTCTAAATCACAGGTGGTTCATGGAGTGTCAGGACAGGGGAAAGGAATTCTCCTGGGAAGTATCCGGCATGCAGGCATTTGTGAAACGAGCTTTGGAGAACCTAAACGTTCCGACGGAGCTCCAGCGCCGGGTGTTCAGTCCGAACCTCGGAGTATTACAGCGAGAAGCTCGCAGAAGAGGGGCCTTGCTACCGCCACTATGACAAGGTCTTCACCACTTTCAGAAGATGAGTCATGATTACGAGGCGCAAACGTGTTTGCAAGACTAGCTCGGCCTGTCACAGTACGTACCGTTCATAAGATTTATGTGTGCTGCTACCTTCCGTGCAAATACAAAGCAGCACCACTTTCAGAAGATGAGCCATGACTACAAGGTGCAAACCTGTGTGCAGCACAAGCTCTGCCTGTTACGCTACCCTTCATACGATGTCAACATGCTGCTACATGTTCATGTGCATGCAGCATGCACAAAACTTTTTACGTGCATGCGCGTGAAAAGTAGCATTCCCATGAGAAAATGAGTCATGACTATCATGTGCAAACCTGTTTGCAACAGTAGCTCAGCCTGTCGCAGTACACTTCATAGGTGTCATTGTGCTGCTACTTTTTATGTGCATGCACAAACCATGGTGCTGCTTCCTACGTGCATGAACGTGACAAGTAGCACTCCTTCGAGAAGATGAGTCACGACAACGAGGTGCAAACCTTTTTTGCAACACTAGCTTAGCCTGTCTCAGTGCACTTCATATGTGTCATTGCGCTGTTGTTTTTTGGTGCATGCACAAACCATGCTGCTGCTGCTGCTTTCTACCTGCGTGCACATGAAAAGTAGCACTCGTCGGAGTTCATGAGTCATGACAACGAGATCCAAACCCTTTTGCAACACTAGCTCAGCCTGTTACAGTATGCTTCATACGATGTCTACGTCCTGCTGCTTGTTCATGTGCATGCACAAAACGTAATGCTGGTACGTTTTATGTGTGTGTGTTTCAAGCAGCACTCTTTTGAGAAGATGAGTCATGACTCTCAGTTGCAAACCTGTTTGCCACACTAGCTCAGCCTGTTGCAGTATACTTCATAGGTTTCATCGTGCTACTACGTTTTAGGTGCATGCCCAAACCATGGTGCTGCTACTTACTTTCTACGCGCGTGCACGTGAAAAGTAGCACTCCTTTGAGTATGAGTCATGACTGACGGTGCACACCTGCTCGCAAGACTAGCTCAGCCTGTTGCAATACGCTTCATTTAGTCTTAGCAAGGTAAGTTAAGCTGCGACAACTCCAGGCTTTTGAGCAGCTCTTCAAGAACCACACACTGTCATCACCCCTGGAGGCAGGAGCTAGACTTAGAGTGGGACACGGAATGAAGTCCTGCATTCCTCGACCTGTGGAGGATGCCATTCGAGTCTACTTGTGCGACCCTCACACAGCTCAGTGTTCACAGCGAGTTCATAGCCTTTTTGATCAACTTCGGTCAGTCCTTGCATGGCCGGGATGTGGCAGGTACCAGTCAGTGTTACGTGCAGGCTTCTTCAAAAACAAGGACCCTTGCATTGCCGGGTGTGCTGCGATAGCTCTCACTTTGATGTTAAAGGAACACAGCTACATCTTGGCAGCCAGCCGCCGATCATGGCAGTAGAAGCCGCATGATGCGCAGATTCTCGCAGTTTCTTGGTTTGCACGAGGTCGTCCGGGTTCTTGAAGACAAAGCCTTCCTTCCTGGTGATTATGTGGTTCGCGTTGGCGAGGTTCGGGCGGAAGTCCGTGCCTCAATTGAACATAGCGCTGCCATCTTCAAGGTCGCTGATGAGATGTACTTCATCAGCAAGGGAGAGGTCTCTGTGCTTGTTGCACAAGGAAAGCCAAGAACTCATTCAGCATCAGTGGTGCTTCAAGTCTGCAGTCCGATTGTCAGAGTATCCCAGTCCTGTTCAGGTCCAAGGATGTCGAGGATGCGATTCAGCTACCCATGAGGCCAGAAGTAGCCGCATGATGCCGCATGCCCTTCGCTGCAAGATGCTTTGGATGACTCAGGAAGAGGGAAGGAGATTACTTTGGTGAAGTCGCCCTCATCAAGGTGCGCATTCCTGAACACCTGTCAAGGTCGCTAGAGCGGAAAACAGCACGAAGCAGAACGTGTGGCAGCTTGGATATGGAGTTTCGGTGCAGAACTGTGCGATCACATCCGCTGCCGATGATAATCCTTCGGAGAAGCTTGTCTGTTTCCGTGCAAGTACACTCCGTTGTGCAGTCTTCAGGCCAAGGCGGAAAAGTCGGAGAACCTTCAGTGATTATCAGTCATCCCTCACAAAGTGCGCCTGAAAGTGTGCCTTTTCTAGGTCGAGTCTTAGGCGCTGCTGCTGAGGAGATGTGATCGGAGGCTTAACAAATCAAGAACCTACCACCTTTGCAAGGATCTGTTCCGGCCGGGGGGGGAACTAGGACAGACATGAGGGCCTAATGAGGGGTAACCCGGCATCTATTCTATACCCTGGAAGATCACGAAGGAAGAGTAGAAGCACAAGCTTGACGGAACTGGCAGGGAAGTCTGCGGACAGCTTGGATCAAGGCAGAGACCTACGTCGTGGCGTAGGGAGCTCACATGAAGGAAGAGACATGGGGCTTCCCGCTTGCCAGTTGAAATCTCTCAGGTCCTGCTTGAGGCGATCCAGCATCGAACAGATCTGGAAGCGGCGGCCTCACACGGATCACCCTGGGCCTGTCAGGGCGGTGCCTCGATTGGAGGTATTTCCCACAAGAGCGCGAGTCTCTTCAAAAGCAAGTGCTGCAGACTGTCGGGACCCAGCTTCTGCTGGACTCGACCGATGCAGTGTGCTCACTGGACCAGCCGCGAGATCCCACGAGGTCATGCGCGATGCCGCGAGACAGGCAACCAGCATTCGCGAGAGCATAGGAGGACACGATGTTTTCCTTGGTTTTTCGTAGGCATCGACACGATCATGCTTCCGGTTTTTTGTCTTTTCGTCTAGGATCTGCCGCTTCTCAAGAGCGAAGCCTCCCTCCGTCTACAGGAAGCGGAACCCTGTCTGAGTTTGTTTGGCGACTGTACCTGTGCGCCTGCCAAGGACTAGGAGCTGCACCTGCTACTGCGGCAGATGATGCCCCGGTCCGAACCTTGTCCGGCTGAGCACAGTTCCGTTCCTGCATGCAGCCCCTACTTTGACGCAGGCTGCAGGCCCGCTTGATGCTTCAAGCCTGGCCCGCCAACCACTTAAGTTTCTGCTGTTGGCCAAAGTTTGTCAATACCTGCCTGTGGCCATCTGTGGCCTGCGTAATATTGCGTAATGTGGAATCGCGGAGTGGAGGCATCGAAAGACTTTGCGAGTCTCTGCAAGCCACGCAAGCACAAGTACTCAGCAGATTGGAGGCCAGCATTCTCACTGCATTGCCTGCAAATTGATAGAGGAGCCTTGTGGCAAAGTTCTCAGGATCTGGAGCTGCATTTCGAAAGCAAACTGGACCTCAAGGTTCGACAGCTTTGCTCTCGCGATGCTTTGTCACCTGCGGCATTGTTGAGGCAGCGAAAAAGCCAAAGCTGTTGGAGGGTGAGCCTGCAGAAGCAGAGGAGATTGTCTTAGACAGTCCAGTCGTGCCTGCTCGTTGAGACACGAAAATGAACTGTCCGAGGCTCCAGCCCCTCGAAAGGTTGCAAAAGCCGCCGCGAAGAAGAAGACCAGGCTTGTTCCTCGCGCTTCGGCGAGGGAGCGAAAGCTGACAAATTGTCGATGCCTGTGCAGACCTGACCAGCCAGCTGCTCCTACCGATCTTCCAGGCCCATCGCCCGCTCCGGACGGAGCCTTTGTTGGCGAAGATCCAGTAGATGTCAAAATGCAGGACATAGTCAAGGGGGAGCGGCTGCCAGCGAAATTGGAAGGCGACTCCCCTTGATGATGTAAGACTGCACTGTACTTTGCTGGCCTCATGAAGCCGCATGCCAGGTCGCTTCTGCAGCGCTAAGCGAATTCTGATCAAGTGCGTCTTGGCGCTGTGAAGACAGCGTTGAACAAGCACTCAAGAGCGTCTTGCTTGGACTTGGCGAAGCCAGTCCCATTGACGCTTAGTCTTGTTGTGGCCGGCATGCTCTGAGTATCAACTTCGATCTGCATGGTCAGATACTTAGTACAGCCGTATAGCCCGTTGTTAATGAGCACGTGCGGCCACGCGCAACCATTTCACGACCCAGGGCTGCTTGCAGCAGGAAATGAAGCTCAAAGGATGAGGCAATTCAGCTCAACAGTCGAGTTGTGAGGCTACCTAGAAGAACTGTACATCTGTCCTCGTGCTAGCATCAATGGCAGCACTCGTGCTACTTGTAATGGTGGTGGTGGCGGTGGTGGTGGTGGAGGCAGAAGCAGTAGCAGCAGTAGCAGCGGCGGTAGCAGAAGTAGCAGTAGTAGTAGTAGTAGCAGCAGCAGCAGGAGTAGTAGTAGTAGTAGTAGTAGTAGTAGTAGTAGTAGATGTAGTAGTAGATGTAGTGGCAGTGGCATTGGCAGTGGCAGTAGAAGGAGAAGGAGAAGCAGCAGCAGCAGCAGCAGGAGGAGCAGTAGCAGTAGCAGTAGCAGTAGCAGTAGTAGTAGTAGTAGTAGTAGTAGTAGCAGCAGCAGCAGTAGTAGTAGTAGTAGTAGTAGTATTGGTAGTGGTAGCAGTGGTAGTAGTAGTAGATGAAGTAGTAGTAGTAGTAGTAGTAGTAGTAGTAGTAGTAGTAGTAGTAGCAGCAGTAGCAGTAGCGGGAAGCTGGAGCAGCAAAAGTAGTTAGTTGCCATTGATCGCAATACCTGGCAGACCTGGAACATCAATTTAGCTAGCTTCTGGATATCACTGGATATCCTTTTCCGCGAGTCTGTGCCAAGCACATTCTCTCGACATTCGAAAGTTGATCGTGGAAGAAGCGTTTTCACCTGCTCCAATTGAAGATTACTGGCAGTCTTGCACAAGGAGCTGTTCGGTGAGGGCACGGAGAGCCCATGCATGGCCAGGTGTTGATCCTTCTCGGGCCCTTTGTGGATGCAAACAACACGAAGGCAGCACGTTGTGGCGATGTGCTTCTTTCCTTGCAGCTTGCTCTCAGTGTCAAGAGGTCATGGAAGGGGAAGCCTGCCTTTCAGGCAGCGAGGACGCGGGTGTGACGCAAGGCTGTGCCTGCGGTTCTAGTACATTCTTGCACCGGCAGGAGCCGGCCTGTCTCGAGGAGGAGCCGCCAGCCGTGTCAACCTGTTGTCAACTTGAAATTCGGATAAGAAAGCGAGACACGTGAAAACGGTCGCCTCCGTGAACAGGTCTATGTCCGCTTCTTTGCAGAGCTGCGAAAGGGATTGGAGCCGCTTCGAGCTGCCAGACTAGCGACACAGGTGACACGGCTCGCATCGAAGGAACAAGAAGCTGCACATGGCTTGGGGCCTGCAGGTCTTCATCCTCCCTTCTCTGGATGAGGCAAGGCTGTACGCATGAGATGACAGAGGTGAGGATGCAAGCCAAAACCGACAAGGCTGTCAATTTTCACCCACTCCCGCAGCCACCGATGGACATCATGCACTGCCCTTAATAGAAAGGTCAGACACTTCTGCAGGAAGTATGGAATAAGCAGCTGCAGGCTTGCACAATGGTTGGAAGAAGAAGCCACTGATCTACTGCAGTTGCAGCAGATGGGAGAGTTGCCAGCATGCATTTCGTTTGTGTTACCGTTCACCCTTTTGCCCAGCAGACAAGACTGAGTGCAGCTTCTTTGAACTGGCGAGCCCTTGATGCCAGGTGCGCTTCTTATCTAACCCTGCCCATATTGAGCTCAATGGCATCAAGGCCTGTGGTTACAGGATAGCCAGGAAAGTATACGCAGAAAACTCGACGAGCACTGCTGCAACACCGAAATGGTAGTCTGCAGTGGAGCCTGCTTGCAGGTGAGCATCACCTCCGCGGACGCCCTCAGCCCAATACTCCGTGAAATGGTACTGCGCCCCGAGGGCCGAAAAGTCGAGGAGGCCAGCCCGCAAGCTCCACGAAGGCGTTAGAAGTCCAAGAACCTCCTGTGTTGGGCCAATTGTAGCACTTTTCGCAGGGACATGAAATCTGCGAATCGACGAGGGCAACAGGAAAGGGAAATCTACGTCCAGTGTGGCAGGCATTGCGGCTTCTACTCAAGCAGAGATGCTTGTTCCCTGCTGTGCCTCGCGACCCAGCTCAGGTGCGTTTCTCAGCTGTGGTGTCTTGCATTTCGTTTGGACTTATCCAATCGGTTCTGGCACGTCCAGGTGTACGAGGCCAAAGCGCAAGCTTTGGACTTCCCCTGGGATGGCATTTCGCCGCAGATCTGCATCTTTCCTTCGCCCTTGGCTGTCATGAACGGGTTCCGCTGGCATGGAACTTGAGACCAGACAGAACTTGCGAGAATGGCGGAAGCACTTCAGCCCCAGCTCGTTCAGGGCCGTGGTCGAGAACACATTCTTCGTAAATCCTGGAGCTTTGTGTCGACAGGCTCGGTCGGTGGTTGCAGAGCTTGTGACCTCGCAAGAAGCCTTCCGCAACAAGGCTGCTTCGGGCTCCTTTGCCGAGCTGTGGATCCAGCCTGCAGAAGGTGCATCAGCGTAGCCTGCAGCGCACAGCCCAAGTCGAGACTGCTTGAAAGCCAGGTGTTTCAACAATGAAGGATCGGGTGCGGGTGGATCTCAAGAAACTAGGTGGCCGTTGCATTCCGATGGCGCCTGCAAGGGGGAGCCGTGCTTTTGGCAGGTTAGCGGACAGAGAGCCTCAGAGGGATTGACGTGCTTGGCCTGCACGTGCAGATTTCCAATCAACCACGACGGGCCAACTGCTCGGCGTTAGTTCAGGTCGAGATTTCATTTGTTCAGCACGGGGCTGAGGCTAGCTGCTGGGTTACTTCAAGTCGAGGTTTCATGTTTTCAGCACGGGGGCTGGGGCTAGCGGCTAGGTTACTTCAAGTCGAGATTTCATGTTTTCAGCACGGGGCTAGGGCACTCTTCAATGAGAGCTGCAATTGCGCTGGCTGATGTGCGGGAGGGGTGCCCGCCATGGTATGCTACATCAGCTGGGGAGCGCCTGCGAAAAAGTCTGCTGATAGCAAATCTGAAGCATCTTGGTGTTGCGTGTGATAAAGGGAAGCAGCACCAAGCCATATCCACTACGTCAACACATGTTGACACGGTCCCTTCGCAGCATTGCAGCTTGTATTGTTTCACAGGCAGTGACAGTCAAGAGTGGAGTAGGCCACCACAGTGCAGTCGCCTCGAGTGTTTGCATGTCGTGAAGTGCAGATTGTGAATCTGGGACTGGCCCGCCATGGGGCTGCCAAAGCACAATGTCGTCACCTGTGCTCCAACCCCTCCGCCACGCAAAAGGCAAAGACCGGCACATGGCATTGTGTGTAGGCTTACAGCTTGGCACGACTTCCTTTGGATGCAGGCTGAGACTTATGAAAGGCCTTGACCAGCTGCAAGAGTCTGCACTCCTGCCACAGTTCATGCACCAACGTCGCTGCCCGAAACGAATCATCCCCGTTGACTGTCGCAGCCAGGCAACCCCTGAGAAGACCGCACAGCCACCCAGGTGCCTTTCCATCCCCTGCTGTTTCGTGGTGCTGTTGCATGCTTCCAAGTCATGTAATGGATGTAGCGTTCGCGGGGCTGCTGATTACGGGGCAACAGCAGTCGAAGTGGTTTTGAGGCCAAAAGCTCTTCCGATTGGCTCTTTCAGCAGTGCCTCTGACTTCCCGTCGCCTGGTATTTGTCATCCTTGGGCTTATTTTTCCTTCGCAGCTTTGGCTCTGCGAAGAGGTGTAGACCAACCACCGAGGGTAATGCAAGGCTGAGGTCCTAGCAAGGCCACTTTGGAGACAGCGTAGACGTAGTACGCAGGTTTCACAAGCCTGCTGTAGAATCGACAAGACGAGGCAAGTTCCATGTCTGAAGAAGCATGTCACGGCAGCCCAGAGGCCTCTGTGTCACTTCAGTTTTCAGACGGCCGATTTCTTCGGCAGGTCCTGCTGGAGGCGCAAAAGAATGGGAGCGATCCAGAGAGTATTTCGAAGCTTTCGCAGCTGCAAAGCATGGGCTTTGGACCAGAAGTCGCCAGAGTTGCCCTCCATGTCGCACAAGGCGATGAGTGTAAAGCGCTTCAACTCTGCATGTCTGGCTTATCCTTCGTGGATCCGGAAGCGGCCCTGGAGAAGTGCGCACCCCCAGCCCCACTGCGGTGCTACATCTGTGGTCAGAAGTACTTGACGCAAAAATCACTGGACATGCACCTCCGAGCATGCAGGCGCCGCTTTGAAATGCAGGAGTCCAAGCGACCGTCACAAGAGCGGTGTCAGCTTCTGGAAGAGTGGGAGCTCCCCGCTGGCGTAGATTGCCTGCAGAGGTATTGCGAGAATGTCCGCGCCATGGGATCTCACGCCGTTGCAACCAACTTCGAAGATTGGGTGGAAACCCGGCAGCCCATGCCGGATCCCTCGAAACTATTGCCTTGTGAGTTTTGCAAGCGAACTTTCCTTCCCTGTAGGCTTGAAACTCATCAGAAGGTATGTTTGCAGCGCCCCAAACAGGAACCAAGGCGGCCTGCGCGGAGGCAGACAATGCCTGCCAGACCTCCACCGGCAGCAACCAACTCCTTCAACGCCTTTTGCAACCAGCTGCAGCGCTGTCCGGCGTGCCAGCGGCAGTTCAGGCCCGAGGTGCTTGCTGCACACCAGAAACGTTGTGTCCAAGAGCCAAGCATACCAGCTCCACTTCGACGAACAGCAAAGTCCCCTCCCAGCAGCCCAAGCACTAAGCGGAGGAGTCATTCTGGCCAGCCACCCGCGCTTTCCTTCACCCCTCCTAGTCGCGGCTTGCCATCGCAAGCCTCGTTCCGCTTGAGATGGTCACCGGAAGAAGGCCTTTCCGAAACTTCGTGTCTGCTAGACTCGGGTCTGATAGCACGTGCTACCTCGGAAGTTGAAGGGAGGATCTGCAAAGAACTGGCAGAGCGTTTCCATCGCCGAGTGGCAGGGGCATACACCGCATCTCTGGTTCAACAAAGCGTCTACGATGCCCTGAAAGCCACGATGACGCATGAGGATCAGATTCCGGAAGAGCGAGATCTTTGGCACGGGACATCATGGAGCTTTGTGCCCAAGATCCTCAAGCATCTCACTTGGTTTCATCGCGATGCATGCATTCTTGTTTGGACTCTTGTCTAAGCACATGTCACAGAAAATCCTATAAAGCCGATGAAAAGCACGTGAGCAACGCAAACAAGAGAATATTAGGCTCGTCAGCGTTGGTAGCTGGCTACCCGTCGCTAGTGGTCTGACCAAAAGTGATTGTAGCATTTGCCTTTGCTGCACTGACTCCAACCGTCTTCCGGCGAAGAAGAAGATGACGATGATTTCGATGCCGCAGGCATTAAGACAGTTGTCTCTCCTTGGCACTGGCGATGTTGGCTGCCACATACACTCCGATGCTGTTGCTTCCATCTTCTATGCGTAATAATACCACTGTTACGACAATTGAGCTCCACTGACGATCACAACACCACCGCCGCCACCACCAACACCACCACTGCCACGGCTACGGCTGCTGCAACGACGACGGCGACGAACAACCGACAATCTGATGCAGTAGTGGTAGCAGTAGCAGCAGCAGTAGCAGTAGCAGTAGTAGTAGCAGAAGTAGTAGTAGCAGTAGCAGTAGCAGTAGCAGTAGAAGCAGAAGTAGTAGTAGCAGGAGCAGTAGCAGTAGCAGTAGCAGTAGTAGTAGCAGAAGTAGTAGTAGCAGTAGCAGTAGCAGTAGCAGTAGCAGCAGCAGCAGCAGCAGCAGCAGCAGCAGCAGTAGTAGTAGTAGTAGTAGTAGTAGTAGTAGTAGTAGTAGTGGTGATTGCACTAGTAGTAGTAGTAGTAGCAGTAGTAGTAGTAGTAGTAGTAGTAGTAGTAGTAGTAGTAGTAGTAGTAGTAGTACTAGTAGTAGTAGTGATAGAAGTAGTAGCAGTAGCAGTAGCAGTAGCAGTAGCAGTAGCAGTAGCAGTAGCAGTAGCAGTAGCAGTAGCAGTAGTAGTAGTAGTAGTAGTAGTAGTAGTAGTAGTAGTGGTAGCAGTAGTAGTAGCAGGAGTAGTAGTAGTAGTAGTAGTAGTAGTAGTAGTAGTTGTAGTAGTAGTACTAGTAGTGGTAGTAGTTGTGGTAGTAGTAGCAGCAGTAGTAAGTAGTAGTAGGCGCTCTGCAGTTACTTGACGCCGTGTTTTTTGTCCATTGGGACCTAGAAACACACGACAGGCGCGGCATTTCAGCAGTGGAGCAGTCTCTGGACCCGGGCGCTCTGAAACGCTGTGTCTTATGCCTCGAGGTCAAGACTTTAGGATGCCTCAAGCGAAGCATCCATGCAGGCGTGGACGTTAACATGGTTGGCACATGGATGCTCCGTGGGAGCAGAAGGAGTCTGCGTGGAACGGAAGGAGTCTGTTTGGACGTCAACATGGTTGGCACATGGATGCTTCGTGGGAACCTATGGAGTCTGTGCTGACGTCAACATGCTTGGCACATGGATTCGTCGTGGGAACGGACGGAGTCTGTGCGGACGTTGACATGGTTGGTGTCACGAGGGCGCTTTCTTCAGAAACTCTTGACAAGGAGCCCTATGGTTCTCGCCCTCGTTGAAATTCTGAGGTGCAGTCGAATCCGTTCGGGCTTGATTCCCCAAAGCCAGCAATCTGCAACCTTGCATGCAGGCAGTTCCCGAGTCTGAGCCAACATCCGTCAATATCCCAGGGATTTAGCATTTTAGGGTTTGGGATTTAATGGCCTGCTGAAATACTTCTTCAATACACAACCATAAAACAAGCCCGGGTCATGCTGGGCCCAGCACTGCTCCTGTTGACTTCGCATCTCTTGCAACTGTAACCTGGGATGTTAAGGATTGTTAAGGGCTGCCCTGCGCCCCTAGCGGCGCATCTGACTAGCTCAAGTGAACCGCTTCTCTTGCCGAAACCGTTTACAGTGCCGCACGTGGTAGAATCGTGAGAAACAGCCAGTTGCATCGCTAAGGCGAGACACATCACAAGATATGTGCGACCGATGTGCAATCTATAGCACAATCTCTGAGCTGAAACCCTTTTGCAACAGGCTTCCCACTTCGCCCGGAGTTTGAACTGAAACCCTAAACTCCTAAACCCTAAACCCTGAGCAACGAACCCTGAGTCTCAAACCTGAAGCCTAAATCGTACTAGTGTTTGCTCCTTGCAAGTGAACTACATAAGTGCGGAGCTTCGGGCGATTTGAACATCAGTACACATAAGGCAGTGCGCTGTGGGAACGGAAGGAGTCTGTGGGAACGGAAGGAGTCTGTGTGGACACTAACATGGTTGGCACATGGATGCTTTGTGGGAACCGACGGAGTCTGTGTGCTTGGCACATGGCTTCTTTGTCAGAACGGATGGAGTCTGTGCGGACGTTAATAGGGTTGGCACATGGATGCTCTGTCGGAACGGATGGAGTCTGTGTGGACGCTAACATGGTTTGGCACATGGACGCTTTGTGGGAACCTACGGAGTCTGTGTGGGCGTTAACATGCTTGGCACATGGCCGCTTTGTGGAGTCTGTGTGGACGTTGACAGGGTTGGCACATGGAGGCGAATGGATGGAGTCCGTATCGACACTAATATGGTTGGCACATGGATGCCTTGTGGGAACCTACGGAGTCCGTGCGGAATTTAACATGTTTGGCACCTGGCTGCTTTGTGGGCACGGGTAGAGTCTGTGAGGACGTTAACATGTTTGGCACATGGATGTTCTGTGGGAACGGATGGACACTAACATGGTTGGCACATGGATGCTTGGCAGATGGAAGCTCTGTGGGAACGGGTGGAGTCTGTGTGGACGTTGACATGTTTGGGAGTAGTAGGAGAAGCAAAAAGTAGTAGTAGTAGTAAGGGTAGGGGTAGGGGTAGGGTTAGGAATAGTAGGAGCAGGAGTAGGAGTAGTAGGAGTAGCAACTCTAGCAGCTTTAGCTGCTTCAATAACAGCTGCAGCAGTAATTGTAGAAGCACAAGTTGAAGTGGACGTGGAGGTGGAGGTGGTAGTAGTAGTAGTAGTAGGAGTAGCAGTAGATGTGGTAGTAGTAGCTTTTCAGCTTCACTCGCAGCGAGGAGAGTCCTGTCGCCAAGCGTCGGGAAAGAGCAGGCATATTCAAATGCCCGGAGCTATAAGCTCATGATACGATTGATCATCTCAGAAAATACAGGTATCAACACACACCGTTCCGTGGAACATTATGTGCTAGCATGTGTGTCGCCAGTGTGTGCCAAACCTTCATCGGAAGATGTGGCAAGAGCAGCGTCGAGACTGTAGAAAAGAGCATAGCCAGTTTTAGTGGGATGTCGCTCACCCCGCATGGTTTTCACTTTGGCTGCTCTGCCATCGTCACAGCTCCATGAGCCCTCATCGTTGACCAGGTTGGCCGTATAATGTCCTGAAGTGGGTGTGGCTCCATGGTGTTCAATGAATGCTTTGAGCTTGTATGAACGATGCGACAGATTGTGCCTGTCCCCAGAAAAGAAAGGCATTTGGATCACGTGGTCCAGCTGCACCTTGAGGTGATTTTTGAGAACACGATCACGCTGTTTGGTGAAGCGATGAAGCTGAAGTAGGATCACCGGGGGCGCGACTGTCAGACCATGTATCCTGTCAATTCCCCTGCACCAAGTGTCCACCAAGGATTGAATCGTAAGTGAATTGGCCGATGTCGTAGGGTAGGTTGAAGGCATGTGAAGAACAATGGATTGAGTGCACTGCCCTGTATCCACAAGCTGCATCTCCCCTGCCATGGTAGGCGACCTTGCCTGCCATGTGCCTTGGAACAAACCATAGTCATTCTTTTGCAGTATGTGTTCAAGAAATTCACACACATCATGTTGACGATGGACCTCACCCCAATCATCGATCAGCGTTAGCCACCGAGGATCATCTGTCAACCTGTGGGGTATAGGGAGACATCTCGCGAATACATCGTGGAACAAAGATGCACCTGTACCACAAAGGAGTGTTTGCGGTAGCCGAAGTTGCTCCGTAAGCCATGCCAGGACCTGAAAGGAGGAATTCATGTAGCATATAGAGCTGTTGTTACGCAGGATAAGCTGGGTCGCAAACCGCTGGGCAGCAGTTACCTCCTGCCATACACCATCTCCGCGATCTTCTGCTCCACTGGCCCTCTGGCCAGGCTTTCCGTCTTGTAGGCCATTCCAGCAAGTTGGAAAACCGCATTCCCTTGCAACATCTTCAGAGTGTCCCACATCGTCAGAGCACTGTGGCTTCGAACTGACATGTCTAGTTTGAAGGTTGCTGGGCTGGACATTGTTTCTGTTAATCTTCTCGTGCATCGAAAGCGGTTGACGATGGGCTGACGAAGGCATTGAAGGATGGTGGCGAAGTGGTCGAGAAGTTTGTCTTCCGGAATCGGTGGTCGACTGGCATCGACCTGGAGTTGTTTGGTTTTGTGGTTCCAAACTTGGTATCTCCAGCCCGCTTGTGGATCTCGCCATCCTTGATCCACCGCTCTCTTCAGCTTTTCCTGCGAAGCAATGGTCTGGTTCAGGCGGTCCGTGACTTCCTTGAAGAGTGCTATGGCCAAGACCATGCGAAGAGGATTCTGTCCCAGTTGCCATGTGGCGTCCTGCTCCTGCTTGGCTTTGAAGTGCGCCGCCACTTTGTAGAGGTGGTGTAGCACGTTGTCCTCCCCTGGGCGAAGAAAGAGCACCAGGGCCGTGTCCTGTTTGAGAACCTTGAGCTCCTCCTGTTGTTGTAAGACCGTTTTTGCTAAAGAATAGAGCAATGGGTCTCTGACTGGAGTCCGTGGTGGTGGTCCTTGAAACGGGTGCCGTCGCATGTTGTGCGGTACCGGTTGTTGCTCTCCAAAAGGGTTCCGCCGCCTTTTGTTGCCTGTGAACGTGAAGGGGTTGTCCGTTGTCGGTTGGGTCCATGGAGCAGCATTCGTCATCGGCAAGTCCTCCCCGTGGAGTTCGCCAAAGAACTCGTCCCAGTCCGGGTCCCCGTAGGCCATATTCCTCGTGCAACACGCATAGAAAGGCACATTGCCAGAGTGTGGTGCATTTGAGCAAATGGGCCTTCCAGTCTTTGGTCTTGCGGTGGCAGAAGTGGCACTGTACACACGGAGTGGCTTTCTGCTCGATGAGCTTGATTGCTTTGTGTGCAAGTTGTTGATAGAGGAATTTATGTGTATGCTGGTAGTGTGTCTTGACGACCTTTTGTGAGGCTATCCACTGCCCACATAAAGCACAGGACTGCTGCATGGAGGCTGTGAGGCTTGATTCGGCAATGAAAGCGTTCAGTCCGCGCTGCACAACAAGATGAACACGTTCTTGAAAAAGCACTGGTGCATGTGTAGGTAGAGCAAGAGCAGTCTGCTTCTCAGGAGGTAAAGTAGGCTGTGAGGAGGTACCGCAAGAAGGCACGGCTTCAACTTCGTTAGTATGGTTTGAACCCAACTCGCACTGCAGCTCGAAAATGTTCTTGGGCTGAACGGCTTGCTGTTGCAAGCCCTCGACCGATTCCGCAATCATGGTCTCAGAGCACTGGACCCCTGCTGGTGATGCAGTTACCTCGGTTGGGGTACTTGTCGGCTTTCTCGGCATGGATATTTGCTCAGGAGCTGACTGCAAGGTTGGTGAAGCTGCGGTTTCATGCGGATTGGATTGATCCGCAGTGGGGTCCTGGGTCCATGCAGTTTGGACCGTGCAAGCATCAGTATTGATGTGGGTTTCGAGCGACTGCCATTTGCTGAAGCGCTTGAAGCAACTAGCACACTGAGGTAGCCCACCGACTGAGTGCACGAGGCGGTTGAAGATGTTCTTCCGCTGGGCCACAATTTTGTGCGCTCGTCTGGCATGGATTTTGAGGGCTGCCTGTGTGATAAATTGTTCAGAACATAGCGGACAGGCCCAAATGGCCTTCTCGGTGTCGGATTCGGGCTCCTTGGTTTGTGCCGCCTCGAGCAGAGCCTTGGAGATAGATCGGTTCCAGTCTGAATCCACTATCCAATCACTCGAGTCCGCATTGAGCTGTTCGCGCTCATGTGCTCGTTCAAGAAGTTCCTGCGCAGTTTGAATGTGATACTTTGTCATGATGTCCTCGTGTGTATGTCCTGTGAGAAAAGCCTGGTCCGAGACGATAGCCCTGATGTGTCGCATGAGGGCTCGTTGTAGCAAGCAGATCTGTCCTGCGCCAAGACACAGGCTGTGGAGGGCGTACAACATAGTGGAAAGCACGCAACTGCGCCAGAGGTTGAGCTTGTAGGAAATCGAGACCTTCTTGGTGTGGAGAATCGAGGCCAGGGACCATCGACGGTTATGAGCCTTATTGATTCTATGCTTGACAGATTGCAGCTCAAAGTTGTCATAAGAGATGATCAGACCTAGGTATTCCACCTGGTCCACCAGTTGGATCCATCCTGAAGGGTCACCTGGGGAAAGAAGCTGTCTACGTTCTTTACCGTGAGATCGAATGTAATGTTTCCGGATGTGGTGCTTCATGTGTCCCGTAACTCGGAGGATAGCCTTGGTCTTGTTGATGTTCACCTTCATTCCCAGTCTCCTGAAGACAGCTATCACTCTATTGAGCTCATGAATGGCTTGTTCGAAGCCTTGAAGATTGTGAAAAGTCCATTGTAAGTGCGTGTCGTCAGCGTACATCGTGGAGTGGTCAGAACTCCACGTTTCCTCTAGGCGTTTGTCAATTGCTTGGCTCAGCAGAGCGGTAAAAGCAGCCCACAGGACAGGACTCGCGATGCATCCCTGCCTCAATCCCCATGAGGGCCAGATGTCTTTCTCCATTCCCTTGTGCTGGAATGTGTAGCGAAGCTGACAGAGCCACTGCAGTAGAAGCTCCTGGATGCTGGGGTTGATCTGTGCCATTTCCATGGCTTCTTTGATAGATGCCCATGATACAAGATCGAAAGCTGCAGATAGATCCATGCAAATTTGGAGTCCTCCATAGTTCCGGATGGGGTGTTCGCCATCCTTGAGCTGGTGTAAGTTCAGACGACTTTGATTGCATGCTTGACGTACCTTGGCACAGTGCTTGAAGACCCTTTTGAGCGCCGTGGTAGTGCTCCTGTTGGGCACATATGCGCACTGCGGCCATTGTCGGACCATTGCATGTATTTGGTCCTTTGCCTGTGCTATGATGATCTTCATGATGCCCTTTCCAACCGGATGCTGCAGACCAATTGGCCTCCAACTGAGGGGTGTGTCGTTTTTACTCGTAGGTTTCGGTAAGAGAGCAACTGTGGCGTCGGCCCATTCTTGTTGTACCTGTAGAACCGGGGAGCTCCATTGATGACAGACCTGCTGAGATATGAAAGACGAGACTTCGGAGGCACAAGCTTTCCAAAGCACAGAAGGAGTTGGTACCACACCTCCGCAGGTCCGATCAGAACTGGCTCATGTTGCCGTATGTGAGGTAGAGTGGGTGGGGCGCGTGCCCCATACCGGTCGCCAAACTCCTCGATGATCCAGTCGAGCTCAGCTTCGGGAGTCATCATGTGTCCGTTCCTGTAGAGTTGTAACTTCTTGCGCTTGGATTTCGGTGCTAAACTCTTAACCACCTCCCAGATCTGGAACATATTGTGGTTTTCAGCTGCTTGTTGTGCCTTCAGAATAAGATCACGTCTCCATGCTTTGCTACGCTCTTTGGCACGATGTTTATGTTCTTTGTGTGCTTTGGTGAACTGAGCCCATTGCTTCCAGGAGTGGAAGACGCCGTGCATGTTGAAGGGGTGTGTCCGCATCTCGCGAAAAAGTGCCCACATGCGACGGGCACAATGTGATAATTTCAAGTCCGCCTCTTGATTCGGGTCGTTGGGAGCGTGCTTGGGATAGAGCTCCTGGGCAGCCTTGATCAAACCTACCTCCAGCCGCGGAAGGGTGTCCCAGGTCTCTTCACGAAGTCCTTGGCTAATGCAGTCTCTGAGAGTGAGCAGGGCCTGCGGGGGCTCTTTCGCCTTGAGGTCCTCGATAATGCCGTTGATGTCAATCCTGGGTGGTTTGGAGATCGGTGGAGTCGTTCTAGTGTGGTGTGGTATGCGGAGTTGTGCCTGCACAGGATGATGGTTTGCTCCTTCTCGCCAGCTTGCCACAGGAAAGTGTTGTACGACAGCTGCCTGTTTGGCTTGATTGTTTGCGTCAGCCTGTCTGCATATGATGTAATCGATCTGAGAAGCAAGCGTGCCGAACGTGAAGGTGGCCAACTGATGGTGTGATGGCCTGTTCCAGGTATTCAAAGCTGTGAGATGGTATGAGGTAAGGATGGACATAAAGTCGTTGTTGTCCTTGTTGTGGGCTTCACTGGCAGCAAGTACCCACTTGCCACAGACCTTGGGGGTAGTGACGCATGTAGTGTTGAAATCCCCGGCCAAGATCAGAGTGTGGCGGTTAGGGATACCACTGAGGGCGTGTCGAAGTCGTAGGAGATATTTGTGCCTGCGCGCAGGAGTAAGTGGATTGTCGTTGGCTGTGTATTGGTATACATTCAAGATGTCAACTGGCTGAGGTTTGTTCACTCGCACATGTAGTAGTCGACCCGGCCAGAGCACGTGGTACTGCAGTTCCAAGTTGGTCGCCACCTTGGTCGATATGATGGTTAAGACGCCTCCATGTTTGTCTTCCTTTTCGTGTCCTGAGGAATGCACAAAGTGAAAGTCCGGGGTGCTCCAGTTGGCATCGTAGTTCCAATGTGTCTCCTGTACAACACAGACTTCAATGCCCTCATCCGCAAGGTAAGTAGTGAGTTCGCGGAAGATGGATGCATGTAGGCCTCCTGCGTTCCAAGTGATCATCCTGAGGAAGCGTCCTTTGGGTTGCCTGGGTTGCATCCTGGGCAGAGGTTGTGTGCGCAGGGGTGTTGGCTGGAACCACTGATGATGTCTCCATGTGCCTCCATAAAAAGCGCCGCCTTCGCGGCAGGACCTTGCGTATGCGCGCTTGTAGCTGCGTTTTACACATCTGGAAATACCTGATTGTAAGACCGGGTTCATGGCCTCCCCTAGTCCCACGTGCTTCGCCGGAACGGCTTCAGACGTCCTTGTGGGATGAACGTCAACCCTCGCATCTGTACTTGCAGCTGCAGCTGTTGGAGCTAAGAGAAAGAAAAGAAGTAAGGCATAAATCAGAAAACATGAGCTCCTGCAAGCACGACTGGACTTGGGACCAGTCCAGCTGTCGTGGTGGTTGTAGCGGTACTTCGTGCCTTCGGATGAAAACTGCTTGTCATTGTAAATGAAGTTCGTCAAGGTTATGAACATGCCAGCCTGTCGTGTTGTTGAAGAGCGTGTCCTTGAGTAGTACCACATGAGCTGTGCCATCCTGCCCAGGACGACAATGAAGGATATAATGCAGAAACTCAAGGTATGCATCCGCTGATGTAGATATGAGTCACCGGCCCCGTTCTTTGTCATCGAACTGATAGAGTACCTGGCCGGCCAAGAGGTAGGAAATCTCCATATGTGACGCTCCAGTGCATATTCGAGCAGTGATAGCATATGTGCAAACATGTACTCGGCAAAGCGTATCGTCTTTTTGCTCTGCTGCAGCTGGCGTCCAGGTTGTGCAACGAAAGACAGATTCGCTTGCATGGTGCACTGCAAGAGACGCGAATCCAAACTGCAGCTAGCAGCTTGTGCCCTTTGCACTGTCCTACCTCTACTCAGGTCTATCCTCGCGAGGTCGCCTGACGTATTACGACAGGGGGTGTTAACGAGAGATAGTAAAGCGAACATTTGCTGAAGTTTTCGAGACACCGATTGAGCCCCGCACTTCCTGGTCTGCTTGGGCTTGGGTTTTGCCGTGGCCTCCATGCTCCATGGGCCCCTGGGAGCAGCTCGAAGAGCATCCGTCGACACCCAATCCGAAGAAGATCTGGCCCTGGAGAGGTCCTCCTCGCTCGAAGTCTCTTCCTCTGGCAGCCCTGTCATCAATGCTGTCAGTCGTTCGGTTTCCGTAGAAGTCATAAGAGTCCGACCTTCAGCGTTCATGGCCGCCCTAATCTCCCTGGTTGTTCTGGCCTCCGTGTCGCCACCCGGGTCGCGGTCGGGATGGTCATGGTCGGTGTCCTCGTTGGCCCGCTCCTCCTCCTGACCTTCGGTGTCAGTGAGGTCCCCCGTATGTAGAATATTGGGGTGCTCTGAGTAGCTTGCTGGAAGCTCGTCGATCTGGACTCGAAGATTCCGTAGCAACCACCACGCATCTGGCATCATCGTGAGCACTTGGGTGATTGGCACCCCGCTTTCAGCGAATGCCTGAGCGATGTGTCCTGATAGGTGATGGGCCATTTGCTGCTGCTCCTGAACTGGCCGTGGGGGCGGCGGTCCACGCGGCAGGGGTGTGCCCCCTGGGGTCGCTGGCGAAGGTCCCAGCATCGCTGGGTGTCCTCGATCATCCCGAGCTGCCTCCGCCAAGTCGATGGCTTCGCTATCAGACCCGTGGTCCGCCATGCTGCACCTGTAGCAGTAGAGCTGCCCGCTGTGAGCCATTCGGATCAGAAGTGCACACATGTGAGGCACACTCGCAATGGTCTTTACATGCATGAGCTGTGTGCCATCCTGCAAAGAGACTGTTCGTAACATGAACAGGGCACTTGATCCAGAAGGATTTGCAGGTGTTCCACAAGCGTCTGAGCAGCCGTGACTGTCGCACTAATAAGCATGCTCTGCGGGGTCGCCGGTACCTGCGCCGGCGTCGAAGTGAAGACATTCTGAGTCTCCATTGTCGACTGGTCTTCCCTGGACAGCGATGTTGGGTATTTAAGGCATGAGGTTGAGAGTCAGTGTCGCCTGGCTTAATCCATGGTTTCCAGGTCCAGCCGTGGTTGGTGACTGCTGGAGGTCGTAGTTGTACCCAGGTCGAGTTCAGGAAGAAGGTCGGGGTAGTGTAGGCTACACCAGTTACGAAGATTTGCTTCGTCCGGTGGGAATTGTGAGGCCCGAGCAGCTTGCAGGGCACGGAGTGGATGTTGGTTGTCATTCCACTTGATGGACCACGCGTTGAAGAATCCCATGTTGGGGACATAGCCGTTGGTGCCTGCCAGCATAGCTCCCTCAATTGCCCGTAAGAAGTGTCCTCGATGAGCCGGCATTCCAAACAGAAGTCGAGCGTACTCTCGTGAGGGGTCAGCAGGCATCTTGTGAAAATTTGGTCGCCACAGTTCGCCTCTATCTTCAGCTTGCTTAGCGCTCCCTTTGTCAAGCCAAGCAGACATGTGATCAATGTATACAGTGAAGCAGCGTAAGCCATGAACCCCTAGCGCCGGAAATTCGTGTATTTGCCGTGATCACGGCGGGGTCATGACTATTCGGCACGTGTGCCCCTTCGGCACCTGGACAGCCGAGATGCTTGTGGTAGTAGTAGTAGTAGGAGTAGGAGTAGGAGTAGGAGTAGGAGTAGTAGGAGTAGGAGGAGTAGGTGGAGTAGGTGGAGTAGGGGTAGGAGGAGGAGGAGGAGGAGGAGCAGGAGCAGGAGCAGGAGCAGGAGCAGGAGCAGGAGCAGAGGAGGAGGAGGAGCAGGAGCAGGAGCAGGAGCAGGAGCAGGAGCAGGAGCAGGAGTAGTAGGAGTAGCAACTCTAGCAGCTTTGGCTGGATCAATAGCAGCTGCAGCAGTAGTGGTAGAATCACAAGTTGAAGTGGCCGTGGAGGTGGTAGTAGTAGTAGTTGTTGTATAGGAGTAGCAGTAGCAGGCGCAGTAGCAGTAGCAGGAGCAGGAGCAGTAGTGGTGGTAATTGGAGCAAGCAGTAGGTGCTCGCGCTGCTGGTTACCGCTAATGCTGCTTCTAGCTTTTTCGCCCTACAATATGCCAGTACATCACTAGGAAGGCACCTGCCTGGTGGGACTGGGCCGCCGAGTCGGTTTCGGTGTCATTATCGAAGTTGAAGAGTTGGTCAGTACAGGCATGATTTTTGCATGTGCATAGGAACGGCAATGGTATGCAACGGCCAGCGACCAACTAAGGCAAGGCTTCAACCGAAGCTTTGCAGGACGACACGGCACACTTTTGGGCCACGCTACCTATTTCTCTTCCGACCCACGCTACTCCCTGCGGTTTTGCGACAAAGGGGGTGGCCAGCATGGAACCAAGGCACTGATTCTGTCAAGAGTTCTCGTTGGGCGCTACTGCAAAGGCTCCCCAAGCGATGTCGAGCCACCAGTGTGCAATGACGACGGAGACAGATTCGACACCACGGTGGATTCGATGGAGTCTCCGTCGATATTTGCTGTCTTCAGAGATTTTCAGGCAGTTCCGCTGCTTCTGGTTGAAATTGCGTGTGAATAGCAGCTTGATGAGTATACTGGAGTTACTTGCACTGGCGATCGGCATGCAAAAGACATGCTTTGGTCGCTCCAGTCTTCGACAATGCCAGAATGTCAACCACTGACATCCTGTCCATCACCCTGAGTTTGGGGTGGCGGACAACTCCTGTTTCACCGGGTCTCTGGCGTAGTGCACTCAAGACATTGCAGAATGACCCGACGGTGCCAAACTTGCAACCTTTGTTTGCAGATGTGCTCCTAGCTGCAGTGCTTGTCGGCATGAATGATCAACATGCGGCTCCAACTCTCAAAGGGTCCTTGCGATCCTTGCTCTCGTGGGGTTGGCCCCTTGCGGCCTACAACCTTGACAAGAGGCAGGCTCCTGAAACGTTACCCGGCTTCTTGCATTTACCGACTGCAGGTGGAGGCAGGATGGCAGTGACACGGAGGTGCCTTGCACTGGAAAGTTGAACATGTCAGCCACCCGCATTTGAAGTGAGGCCACCGCCGCCGAGCTGTCCCCCACCACCTGCACCTCCCGACGTGTCTTCTCGGGCAAAACAGGTTCGAACTGACCAGCCGTGACATATAGTATAGGCATAGTCCCACAGCACTTAAAGCAGCCAAAGCACAGGCCCTTGCAGCTGCAGCTGCACGTCAGAAACTTTCTCCCGGTGAATCAAGCTCAATGCCGCCGAGCAGACGCGTGCTTTCAGACAGGCCAGGATCCCGGAGCCCGCCCGCCGTCTCCCTTTGTGTGCCTTGCGCTTGCAGAACCCAAAGTCTGTTCTGGCAGGACCACCCCTGGGCCAGAGCTTTTCAAGAAAGAATTGGAGGCACAAGCTACGTCTGATAGCAGCAGGGCAAGCTCTCAACAGTGCACAGGAGCAGGGACAAAAAGGCAACGAGATGTCGCACAAGATTGCTGAGGCAACATGGAGCTGTGGTTTAAGTTACATCACGTTAGTTGGTATGATTCAAGTCCTTCTACGTTGGGTCGTTTTGAGATTTGTAGCATCCTGGTGCAGCAAAACACACACAAACACACACCCACACCACCCACCCACACACACACACACACACGCACCCACCCCACCCGAAAAAACACAAATAATTCCCAAGCGAGCCCCCGACCAACAAGCACTTCCGCGGCAGGCGCAGCACAAAAGCAAGCATGCCAAGCGAACCGTGAGTCCCAGGGTGGTTGGTGCAAGATGAAAGCAACGCCTAAGGTTTTGGCAGCTGCGCGCCAGCGCAGAGCCTGTGAGCTCCACAGCAGCAGAGAGGAAGGTGGACAAGAAAAGCAGTTGGGCTCCACATGGTAGAGTGGCTTCCTTGTTCAGGCCGGCAGGAGAGCAGGGTGCAGGTAGTCAGATACAGTGTGTGCTTAGACAGTTCCTTATAGGCGATGTTTGTCGTTGCATGGGTGTTTTTGCATGTGCAGCTACCAGCTTAGGCCACTGAGTCCACGTCGGTTCCCGAGCCGTGCCTGTTGTAGAGACGAGCCGAATCTGGTAAGTATGCTTGCCTACCCCTACCTCATCTACCCTGCAAGACGTTTGAGGTGAAGAGCTGAAGCGACGTGCTGAGCAGGCCGTTCCCTCAACATGGCCTCCCGAAAACGCATCGGTAGAAACTAGAAAAACTACATATGAAGACTCCAACCTTGTCCATACCAGTAAGCACCAGAATCGCAGAAAGACACAGGTCTTTGTGTCTGTAGGTGCGACTGTCTCGTATGCCGCAAAAACAGCGGCTCATTTTCAACAAGAAGGATTCTTGTCAGACAATGGTTGGGTCAAAATCGATGGCACAGTGCATATTGAAATTGGTATCAGGAAGAGTCGTTAATCAACACCCAAATGTGGAAGCACGAACCTCGAAACTAGCAATTGCAGCAAGACGACTCATACATCTCTGCAAAATCATGTCCCTTGATGGACTGCGCAGCAATATTTGTGTCGACACTGAACAGCACAAAGCAAGAGCCGACTGTCCTGCCTACTCCCCCTCATTGCGCAACGCATGCTCGCAGACATTGCCAGCTCATAGACTGAATCGCAGTGTCGCAGCGAACATGCAACCACAATTCGGCAAACGAGGTCCGCAAGGCTCCGAAGTCCAATGAAACACAGGTAACGAAATCCCAGCCGGCCGCCTGCCATTGCAATTCCACAGTAATGTTCTTGAAGGCGATATGCAGGGGTGCTGATAGCTGCTAGCTGCTAGCTGTACGAAGGCATCGAAGGTAACTGCGTCCAGGCCCCCAACGTGTCAGGTCGGCGGGTTTGGATCTCGTGGTATGCATTGAATTGCATGCATGCGGTATGGTGCGGTCCTCGCTTTGGGGTTGGGCCGTAGACTCGAGCTTTGCAGCTGCAGTCTGCAATCTCGGTAGATGCACGAGGAAATTCTTGGTGCAGTGTTCCCTGTTCTTTCGCCTCCCAAGGCTTCAGAGCTCGGGTGGGATCCGAAGAAACGCATCAGTGCAAAGCATGTGTTGGGTAAAGACCTAACAGAAGAGTTGACTGGCAGCCACACTTCGTGCCTGTCCGGGTTTGGAGGAAGCAAGGCTCAGGGAGCCCCGAGTCAGACCCGGAACGACTACAGTCCGGCTCGATTGCTGAGATGCGTCAGCAGCATCTGCCTGCTTCTCATGAGGCCTTAAAGGCTGCAAAGTACCGCGGTGCATCACCAGAAACCAGAAAGAGGTCCGGGAAGTCTGTTACACTCCAGGACTTCATGCGCGCCTGCAGCGGAGGTATGAGGTTGAACAGGCCTTCGGGGATCGAGCGAGCAAAGCTCTCTCAGAGGCGTGGGGTTTCCCACCATGCAGACTCCCCAATCCGCTCTGCCACTCCAGCCAGGCACTGGCACGACAATCGGGCGATCCTGCGGCTGAACGAGTACTCGTGGGATCGCCTTTGTGAGCTTCAACTCATATCTTTGAAATGCCCTGTGCTACTTCTCGCAGGAGCACCAGTTGAACAAGAACTCACAGCCTGGGATTCTGCCGAATATCACATGCCTGAGGCTATCATTTCTGTGGGAAGTGAGTTGTCAAAGCGCGCCTTCCTAAAGTCGACCAACTTCATCTAACTTTCTTCCACGATCCTTTCCGGGCATCAGGACATCGGGATGTGGGACGAGGTGCAGTCTGTGTTCCAAGGCAACTTGCGGGGTGATGCTGTTAAGATCAGGCACACTATGCAGATCCTGAGTTCGGACATTGGATGGGCGAGATGATGGAGGCACCATGCGATACTGAGCCCCTTACGTCTGGCCCTCGGCCGTCTGGCTGCCTGCTAACGGTGCGCAGGTGGGTTATGCTGTTGATCCTGACTCAGCCGAAACGCTCCCAGAGGCGCTGGGCTGAGCCGACACCCCAATCCAGAGCCAGAAACAAGATGTGGTGACCTTCTGGAGGAGTGCTACGACTCTGTTGCTTGGGTGCAGGACGTGAAGCATTGCCATTCATTTGGCTAAGATGTGATGGGAGTTCGTGGAAATGTGGAATTTGCCAAGCAAATTGGTGTGCTAGGATGCAACATCTTCTGGTGGCTGCCCTAGTTCGAAGCCTCCTGCCGCATCCTGCCCTGCACACGAGCTGTGATCGTTCGAGGTTACACCAGAGCTTGGGGCATGGCACCGGTCTTAAACTGCGCCGCCGGGCGGGCCGCGGGGTTGTCCTCTGTCCGCAGTTTCGGCTGAGCCTCAGCTGAGGGATCCGAAGAATGCGCAGAAGGCCAGCCTCGGCCCTCCTGACGGACTCCGCCCCAGGATGCTTCTGCTCAGGTCCCTCCTCGGGGAGCAGTCTGAGAGGTGCGAACCATTCTCAGCACCTTGGATCAGGTCCATGCTATGACAGTGATTATGCTTTGACTTTTGACTTACGCAGTGCCGTTGAAGCACGCGAGGTGGGCATCTAAGCGGCATGGCGGCCATGCACGGACAGAGGACTCGAAGCGAAGGGCTGATTTTCATTGCAGTGGTTTGGGTTCTCCTGCGACAGCGCAGGAGTCCGAAGTGCGAGCTTGGGCAGAGGCTGGCTACGTTCTCGGAAGCCAAGTCTAAGTGTCGAAGGATTCGCCGTGGCGCATTTGTCCGTGCAGGAGCTCAGCTAACTCCTAGTAAGGTGTCCGCAGTGATGCCGATGAACCGAACCTCTTGAGCAGACTCGTCACAAGTGTCTCAGCTTTATGCGCATTGTCAGTCCCCCTGTGCAGACGACAACGGCTGCCTCAAGCAATCGTTCCGTGGCGTCGGCCGCTGACTCCAACTCCGCAGCAGGGCAGCATAATCCCAGCCATGGTCCCACAGTGGTCGCACAAGCATCTCACCATTCACAGAGGCACTCCATTGTTTGGATTATATATCTGCAGTCAGCATTGCTCAGCAACCTCAGGAAAACGGACAAGTTCACGAAGATGCAGACGATGACGCAGACGAGCTGCCTAAGCCTCACCAACACCTTCCACGCATATAGGTCTGTGTTGCTTGCTTGGTCTTTTACTTACGCGGCACATGGGTGGAGACATGAGAGCGGTGTCAAGGCTGGCCAGCTGCTTCAGGTCTGTCACAGGAGCGACGTGAGGGCTGTCGCCTTGGAACCCATTTCGCTGGCCCAGCAGTTGTTGTTGCAGTGCTGCTGTTCCCCGATGAGTGCCAAGGTGTTGCTGCTGTGATACCCAGTACCTGCTGATGCATGAACGTCCCCGACTTTGACGTTTTAGTCCGATTGAGCAGCTGACAGCGCCCAAGATCTCAGGTGAGCTCTTTCCCAGATGCCAGGGAACCTTCCGGCTTCAGAATCGGCTGGAGACTGCCGAAGTTCAAAGGAATCGGCTCCCTGGCGTAAGCACAGGGCCACAATCTGCCCCACCACGTTTTTTAGTGGGCGACAGCACTCTATATTGAAGGGAGGCGGCATGCCAGCGCTTGCCAAGCTTTCTTTCCATCAGTTCGATTTGCAGCAGCCCTGTATTGAGTATATTGTGAAAGTTTTCCCTTGGCAGGAATGTTGCAACACTGTGAGTCATTTGCCCGCTTTTCAGGTGGCCTAGGTTTACCAAAGAATTGGATCTGCATTGACCCCTGCCCCACATCAAGAACATTCAAGAACTCCGACTTTAAAGCTTCTCTAAACTGGCTGGTAGAGCACAGAGGGCTAAGCGGGCTCTGTCTCAAGTCAAGAAACGACAAAGCTGGTTTCAAAGCAACGAGTCAGGCGTAGAAGTGATGGGCTTCTGTGCGAAAGTAGCCTACGGTTGTTCACACGAGTATTTTCTGGTTTGCCGAAGAGTGCTGTCAGTCCCAGTCTCGAAATTTGCTTTGCACAGCTGCAAGTGTCGGAGTCCGTATGGGATGAAAGAAAGATATCCCGAACAGCAGGCAATGGCGGTGCCGGATTCTCGACATGTGCAGCACTGCCAGCCAAAGTGCTCAGATGTGAGAAGCCGGGAAGTAGCTCTCAGAGGCAATGCAGATGGCAATGCTGTCCACAGCAGTGTGGCCATAGCTGATAGATTTCAGTGACAGCCATGCTCGGAGTACACTGCTGAGACGGTCACCATCGGCATGCCTGTGTTTCGCAGACTCGAGGCCCTAGTAAAGCAGGTCCATCCAAGCCGGCCGACCGCTGGATGGTTCGCTGGAAGCCGGGGAAGGCGCCGCCTCTCTGCCCGTTTGGCGTCGATCTTCAAGTCCTGGCGGCAGGCTGCCTCAAGTGGCGGCAGGCTCGGCTCCGTAGTCCGCTTGCGCCGCTTGCGCCCTGGGACATCCTGCACAGGTTCGCCTCGCTGGAACCCTGTCGAAGCTGCCGATGTTCATACGACTTCCGCGTCTGGGTCACATGGTGGCCTGCACACGTCACCAAATTGGCAGCTACTCCGAGCCTGATACAGTTATAAGTTATAGTAGCACCGTCACGGGCAAGCTGCACATCAGAAAGCTGCAACAAGACCATGTCAGCATTCGTTTGTTGAGCAATCGGACGCTGTCAATGTTGAGCACTGTTCGCTCCCAGTTCTTTTAACCTAGGTTGTCGGAGCGACAACTCCAGTCTTCGCTGTTCGTGCTAATCAGCTGTATATACGGTCACCGCTTCCACGGCTGCAAACTCTTCGCACTGCAAGTGGCAGCAAGATGCGGTTGCGCCAAGACTTCTTCAGCCGTCGGGGCGGTGACGCGCGAGCTCCGAACACACCAAGAATGTATTTCTACCAGGCAGAAGGTGCCGAGTGCGAGCGCCTCGCTGTCTCAGCACCAATTTTACAATGCAAAGAAAACAACTTTTCGTGCGGTACTTGGCCCAGCTTTGACCTTCCAGCGGACAAAGGAAGGCTCAAGGCAGCTGTCCACAGTCCACAGGCCAACTACTACCGGGGTGGTGACTTGACGGGCACGTCATATGCCGTAACCAGGCCCAGAAGGGCCCATGCGGCACAATTGCAGCAAACATGCGTCCTCTCCTCTTTGCCAAAGTCCCCACTGCGGAGCACGTCGTGTGGTTTGAAGGTGCCCAGGGGGAGCGCTGATCGCGAGGCCTTTTGTTGAGTCAGGTTCGCTTCTTCGCAGTCCAAGTCACTTGGGTGCGATGGAGCCGGCAATGGGGTTTCTGAACAGAGGTTCCCCCAAGTAATCTGGAAGCAGGATGATGGGGGAACCCCAACTGCAGAAACCTCAGAACCATAAGCCTGGGCCTACCGAAGTATGGTGGCCCGAATGCAGCATAGTGCCCTTTGCACAGCAAACGCACAGGCTGCTCTAAGAATCTCGCCGAAAATGCCGAATTCCAGTCGACTGACGGCTACACCATTGCTCTGCCTCGGGGGGGGCCTTCAGGGCATGTGCCAACCCTCCAGGCCGAATTCCAATTCAGTGCCAGTGAAAATGCACGTCTCGAAACCACAGGACATGGGAAGAAGCGGAATTTGAGTTGTCGGGCACCATGTTGTATGGCATGGTCATCAGGAGCTCAAGCGTTCTTTCGAACCAGGACCAAGGAAGGACGAGGCAAGATCCTCAGGTGCAAGTGCTTTTTTTGTATATGGCGCCGTTTGAGAGGTGCGTGCTGACCTCTGCATGGCAAGGGTGTGGGGCGATGGCTACGGTAGGCAGTGCCCGAGGTCGGCGCATCCGGGCTACGCATGTCGAACTGTGGCTGCATGCTGCCCGATGCTTGCTCGTGACATCAACGAGAGGCATCCCCGCTGCGGAACCCAGCTCTGTGGTCTCCACAAGGCCGTAAATCGGAAGTCGGCTTCAAAGGAGCCTGAGCCAAGCTGCGAGTGTCTTGTCACAGGAGGGCTTGCTGGCACATGGACGGGTGGATGAGCCGGTGCCTCCTGCGTGCCCGGCATCCCTTGACAATGATGAATCGCTTGCCTTCATCACTCGGCATTGCGATGAGTCTAGGCGAAGCTCAAGCAAATGGAAGAAGCTGTCATGAAGAGCCGAGGCCGTGCTTAATGTCTGCAGACGCAGCTCAGATGCCAAGGGCTTTGTACAAGAGCCCGGCTCGTTTTAATTCCGAGCCAGGACAGCCGACAGTGGCCGAAAGTCGAAGTCCTCCTGTTGCATCTTCAACAACGGTAACACGAGGTCGAGAAGCCGGCACGACTGCTAGAATGGAAGAATGCTTCCAAGCACGATATGCCGTTTGGGCAGGCGGAACGACCGTGCAGGAGAGTGAGATCGACTTGTCAGCTTCAAAGTACACTTGGCTCAGTGATGGGGAGGAGGAGCTTCTCGTCAGGCAGCACACAAAGCCCTCCGCTGCATGTGTTGCATGCTTTACAGGAGCCAACAATTCGTCCGTTCATGCGCACGGTCGGAAAAAGGACCATGCAGCCCCTGTATGGACCTTTCTTGGTGTTTGCCAGCTTCGAGGAGTCGGCGTCGGCACCATCGAGTCGAGTATCTGTCAGGAGGGCCTTAGGGCGTTTGCCTGTCAGTCTCTGCAAAGATCTGCAAAGCACCCGAAGACCAAAAGCTCGCCGCATCCAGGATCAAGCTGCAACGAAACAGTTGCTCTGTACGAAGCCAGGAGTGCCTTTCAAGCCTTTGAGGCCATGGCCAGGTGTGGTCGATTTTGGCGGCTCTTTGTCTTCCTCGTGGCCACCGCACTTCCACCAGGCGTGATGCAACACAGTTTCTCACTGTCGGCCTTCCGCATTGCCTGTGCCACAGGTGCATGTGCCACTTCGGGCGCCGATGCAGTGACAGAGTCGACAGAAGTGCGAAGTAGTCAGGGCGACACTCAGACACAGGTGCCGCTGTTCTGACGTCTGGTGTTGGAGAACACGAACTGTAATTCTTCTACTTGTAGCAGCTAAGACCCTGCAAGAAGCCGTACACACAGCGCGGCTTCTGGCGAGGTGACAGATGCTGACAGGTTGTGCACCGACGTCAACGGAATGTGCTGGATTGATGCTGAATGCTGCACCGGCAGGCAACCGCGTCAGCCAGAGGAACGACTGCATCATGCTCATGAGAATTGGCCCATTGCCTTGAGGTGTCAGAAGAACACTAGACGCTGCCGACCGATTCGGTGACACTTCCTTTCAAAAAAGGCAGGACAGAGTCGGACAGAGTATGTCAAGCCTGTTTGGGTTCTTTGCTGTGGATGCTGCAAGCGAGCAGGCACCCACGGACTGGAATGAGGGACCGCCATAGAGATGACAGAGCATGGAGGGGGATCGAAAAGCCGTCGCCCTCTTGTGCAACGTTTCTTGAGTAATTCAAAAAAGCTTGCCGGCACGACGGTCGCCTCGCCTTTACTCTGTCCAACGGGGTTTCACAGAAAAGCATGCGACGTGAAAGATTCGGGACAACAGGAGGCCTTGCTGCCGTCGAGCGCCTGTCACTGTACAGGATGTGCCGTCAGCTTCGTCCTGGAGGCCAGTGTTCCTCCTTTCCTTATCTGGCGTCGTGCAGATCTTTCGGCAGGTCGGTGATGTGGTCCGTGCCAGAGGCGTTGCTCGCAACCTGTGGGCAACTGTCTCGGCGAACCGTGACAAGGCAAGGGGAGCTTTGTTTGTGGCGAGATCTGTGAGCTCGTCGAGGACGGACCGTCGAAGTAGGTCTCGCACGGCCAACAGGGACAACATGTGCCAATACTACGTAGCGTTCTAGGACGGACAGAGCAAATTCGTGGTGCTGAGGCTGGAAGCCTGTGTTTCATTGCCTTGCTCTCTCAGACTGTTCCAGGCGCATGTACGAAGCCGCAGAGCTCAGAAAGGGATCGGCGAGACCAAGCTTGTCGGAGAAGGAGCTAGTTGCCTCTGAGAAGGTTCGATTCATCGACGCATGGCAGAGCACCCCCCGAAACCGCTTTGTGCCAGTGCGAAGAGCTACCTTTGTCCATGGTGGCTGGCCGGCCTCTCCGAGTTCTCTCACAGAAGGCCAGGAGTGATGGTTCGTGGATCTTGCCACAGCTTTGGGCTGGGAACGAGCAATTATGTCCGAAAAGTTTCGTAAGATCTTCTGAGAACATAGAGTAGCTAAACAGTGCAGAGGCTTATACCAAGGAGGCAGACGAGGAGGACATCAGCATCCAAGCTACAGGCACCTTCATCGCCCACCGGCTTGTCATTGGTGATGGGTCGTTTTTTGTCGATGCCTCCGAGAAAACATTGCAGGCTGCATGTTTTGCCGTCGTTTGCTGGGAGAAGGTGATGTGCTGCGAATTGCTCAGGTTTTTCAATTCTGGCATTCTTACCTTCCAAACTCATTGTTCCTCGACATTGCACTGAGGTGGGAGCTGGACTGGGACAAGGATCGCGAAAAGAAGCGGGAGGTGCACCCTTGCACGTTTGAATCTCAAAAGCGCTTAGATTGCAACTTCCCGCGAGGAGTGTTTGCGAGGTTACCGTGGACTTGAAAAAAAGGAGTGCGCAAATGAAATTGCGGTGGCAGCAGCTCGAAATTCTGACCTGTTAGGAGACTCCGGGGAAACTGCCAGATGGGCCTCAGGCAGGTGGCCGGCTCTTGCAGTGCATTGCGGCCTTGTGCGGCGCAATATGAATACTTCTCGTCCCGACTAAGGGCATTTTTTTCATGGCGCTTTCAGCCTGGTTCTCAGCTGGCCCGCAGGCCACAAGGACTCGAGTCATCCGAATGCCGCCTGCGAAGCGTAGAAGCAACCCGAATTCTTGAAAGCTAAGGCTTTGCGACCGTTCGCTTCAGAGGGCATGCTCCCGTGCCGTGAGTCGGAGCAAGAAAGTGCAGTGTTCCCAGAGATGGTGCTCTTTGCTAAAGTCTATGTGTGATGGGACTGAGACTTGGATGTCGCATGCTCAGGTCATGGAATTCCTCAAATCCTCATTGCGCGTCCACATCAAGAAAGAGGCCACGTGGGAAACCTGAGGGCCCAAGAAGTCACGCCATTTAGATGTCAGGTCCTCTACGTTTCAGGCATGCCTGGCACTGGAAAGACCGCTTCGGTCCTCGACGCTGCGAAGCGTCTGGAGAAAGCCAGGCAGGTTAGCCGTGATGTTGTTTCGCGACGGACAAGGGTCCATGCGGGTCGTTTAAAGACCTTTGCTAAGCGCAGATTTTGAGGACTTCAAGCTCCAGTTCGAATACTCCGATCAAGTTCGCATACGTGAATGCCATGCCGAATCCTGAGAAGTCGATAGTTTCCTTGTGGAGCCGAGCTTTTGCGGCAAGCGGCAGGTGCTTGTCTACCCCTTCCGCAGTTTTCGCCGAGATTCAACGCAAGGCGTCTTCTCGGCATCACGACATGGCATTGAACCGAACCCAAAGCCTGACTGGTCCTACGGAATGCCGGAATGCAGGTTCTCGGACAAGCGCAGAAAAGAAAGCGCGGTCCAGGCCCAGGAGGTGATGGAGAGGCACATCTCAAACGAAATGCTCCAGCGAGTTGAAGAAGTCGTTCCGTGTGGTTCACGCGAGCACTCGCAATGCAATGACTGTGACAGGAAGCTTTGCGCCAAGCCTTGACCCAAGCAGGCGGCGAGGCGAGCTGACGGTGTGCATCAAGCGTTTACTTATGATCGAGCATGTGAAGTTTGAGTCGGTGAAGGTCGTTATTCTTGTCATTGACGAGGTCGATGCACTCCTGACACAGGTTGCGGACACAGCTGACCCATCTGACCCGAATCAGGACAGGACACATGACTTATATACATGGACCACCTTGAGGGCCAGACCGTCCTCTACCGACTGTTCGACTGGATGTCACAACCGGCTGCGCGGCTGGTCGTGGTGGTGCGCTGCAGTAGCTGCGCCTTTGAGAGTCACCGCAGTAACGCAAAGAGAAGTGGCTGTGGCTGTAGCAACTGCGGCACAGTTCTGATTTCACAGTCGGAGGCCATTGCCAACACGATGGACCTGCCGGAGCGCTTGCTCCCTCGTGTCTCAAGGCTCAACCGATTCTCACTCACCCCGTGCCCCGTTATGGAGATGTTTCTTGCAGTCGTTTGGGCATCCGGCGCGTCAACTTCGAAGCCTACAACAGAGACCAACTTCATACCATCCTGGCCTGCGACCCAGCATACGTTGAATGGCAGCTCATTTCCTGTCACTGCATTGGGTTTTGTTGAGATGAAAAGTGTGTCACCCCAGTTTTCAGACTGACCTGTTGAAAGCCCCGGTCAGCTGCGAATGAAAAAGAAGGAAAGTCGTGCTTGCAGTCCTCCACTGAGTCTTCACGGGCCTGCAGAACTTGCGTACCAATTGTTCCATGTTGGTTGTACAGAAGATGTGCTTCGCTCATGAGAGAACAAAGGGGATGAGCAGAGTCGGAAATCTGACCTATGAGAGAATGGGCAGCGGCTTCGACCAGTGGCGGAGGCAACGTCTAAAGAGCCTGAGACCCCCGAGGAGAAACGTGCGAGCTGAGCTTTCAACAATGCGCTTCACGGTGCGCACCGTGAAATGTAGACTTCGGGTGTAATGTTTGCTGTCTGACAGAAGCACAAGGTGAGGAATCACATATCAAGAGGCAGGTTCCTGCTTTATGAGACAAGCAAAAGTGTGCCGTGCACAACGGCAGCCGCGTAGCAAGGCAGCCTTACATGTCTAGACATGGTTTAGATTTGTCAGTGAAGTGGGCTACAGGACGCAGCTCACGGGACAGATGCCTGTGCTGCACGCTGAACCGCCAGACTCGTAAGGATTCGAAGCCCTGCAAAAGTTGCATCTTTGTTCGAGTCGATGCGGATTGAAGAACGGAACACTCCCAATCTTGTGGCGCAATCCGCCATCTTGCCAAGCATGAGCGAATTCAGGCGCACACGCATGCACACGCACTCAACCTTGAACTAAATATGCAGAATCGCACCACGACGTGACATGCTTGGCAAGACTCGTGATTACAAACTTGAACTGGGGCACCTGAAAGGCAGATCGCCTACGAGCCGGCGGAGCAGAAGCGGCGATTCGAGACGACGCCGCGCTCTTGTTCCCTGCGCTTGCTCCTTTGCATGGCTCTTGTCTTGCATGCTGTCTCTTTCTCCTATCCGCTGGGCCTGCTTCACTAGTTGCAGGCGTTGAAGCTCTGTGCAGCTCGAGTGGCAGCTGCTGGAGGGGACGCTCGAAAGGCACTGCAGGCGCCTTGAGCGGAGCCTTGAAGTGGAAGCACGGGTTGGAAAGTTTACTTGTGGGATCGCGAGTGTGCCAGGCAGGAGTCCAGGAGTCACAACGACACACGAAACAGCGTATAGGGTGGCGTCGAAACGAATGGGCGAACGGGAGCCCAAGTGTTGCTCCTTTGGCTGATGAGAGTTAAATTAAGCCCTGAAACCTGCAAGTTTTGGTATGCAAGCGCGTTGGCAGCTATGCCCTGGTTCGTTGAAAGTCTCGGGCACCGCCACCGCGACCACCAATGACACACAACGGCAACGAGAACGACAACAACGTCAGCGCAAGCATCATCATCCACAAACACCGACTCCAACGACGGTGTCGACAAACTCCGCATGGTTGGAAAGCTTGTTTCGTTCCTAAATCAAAGTGGCGCGTCCAAAGACTGCTGCGCTGCTGGTGCTGCTGCTGCCGCCGCCGCTCCTGCTCTTGCTATTCCTGCTCTACTGCTGTCGTTGTGGTTGTTGTTCTGGTTGCGGATTGTTGTTGTTGGATGCGCTTTTGGCCAGAGTTGGGGAAGTCACAACGGGAAGTCACAACGTTCATGCGCATGCCGTGTTACCGTCTTGAGTTTGCTTCAGTGCAGGGGCGGGGGGCTGAGGACGTCCATGGCAATGAGGCTTAATTGTGTTGACCTGGTTGCTTCAGGCATTTTGTGGGATCACGTTGTTGCTTCGAGCGTTGATGGTTGGTGCACGCGTAAAGTATATTGCTCTAAACTCAGAGATGTGTTGAAATCTATTCGTCTTCCCTGTCTTTCCATTGAAAGTTGCCCTTCATATGTTCAATGACATGCCATACTGTAGCTCAAGCCTCGACCTTTTTGTCCTCTGGAAAGTGCTGTGAGAACTTTCAGGATTACTTGCTTCAAAGTTGAACGAGCCGTGCACCTTACTTCAGAGAGAGTAGTTTATTGGGGTCCCCAGCGTACTATTGCAGTTGCTGATGGTGCTGGTGCTTTTGCTGTTGTTGTTGTGGTTGTTGCTGCTGTTGCTGTTGCGGTTGTTGGCGCGGCTGTCAAAGTGGCTGTGGTTGTGGATGTGATGGTCCTGGATCTTTTTTTCGTGGTGGTAGCGGTAGGGACGGCTGCGGAGGTGGTGGTGGTAGTGGTGGTGGTGGTGGTGGTGGTGTGCAGTTGCCGCCGCAAGTTCACCGAGAAGATCTCCAAAGGTTTTGGCGAGTGTCCGGACAGGTCTGTCAGGCTGCTGTTCAGCGTGCAATCGATGCCGTGGACTTCACGAGGGGTCGGGAAAGCCTTGTTCAACGCGCACCAAGTCTTTTGCAAGTCGGAAGGAGTCGTCATTTTGGAGCAAGCCCTGAGGCGACCGCAACCAACGGCAAAGAGCCTGAAGCGGCCGAGCCCTGATTTACTATCTTTGATTTCCTCCCTTTCCAACCGCGGCAGATCGCTGAATGCAAGCAGATACAGATAAGGTCACTGCTGCCCAAATGGACAAAGCTGAGGCTGCTTTTTTGGCAGCATGATGAGGAAATGTGCCACCTGTGATGACAGGCGGAGCTCTTGCAGCGGAACCCAGTTGCCGTCGGGATAATGAATCTTAACCTCCAGGCATCGTCGGCGCCGAGTAACAGAACTGATCACCATGTCTGCAGTGGCTTCGCCAGCCCCGCTGTTTCCTGCTTGGCATGGTCTTGGAGCTCCGAAAACAGCACGGGTCTCAGCTACCCGATGCCAGCCTCGCATGTAAAGGCATGCACACGACTCAGGAACGCGTATGCTCTCCCTCTGAAAACAGTCACGCGGCGCTACGAGGCATCATCTAAGTCGAGCTTGTAGAAACAGACTGCGACGCAGTGTTGTGTTTCTTTGTGTAGGCAATCATGCGGATTCTCCAACAGCGTGAGGAGGCTCTCCGCAAGAGGACCTTCTTTGCTAGTCCTGCTCGCATTTCGCGCAGGGCGCTGGAAAAGCCACGCAGCCCGTCTCGTCGGAGAGGCAGGGCTCAAAATCTTCTGGGCCGCGGGCAGATAAAGTCAACAACTTCCAGGTGTGCCTGGGAATCCTTGGAATACCAAAGGCGTCTAGAGGCCCGATTGCCTTGCCCAGCGCATGTTCATACAGCCAACGGTCTGGCAGGACTGCTGCATTCTTGCACAGTACGCCCTTGAGCTGAGAGCTTGGACAGGGGTGCACAGACAGTGGGAATGTATTGCAGCAGCGGCATGCCTAAGGCAGAAGGACGATGGTGAAGGCCGGCTGATTCTGCAGCTTAGCATGGCTTTACAATCCCGGTCTGGTATGCGGCATGTTTGGACAGGTGCTGCAATGGGGCTTGGATTCGTATCCAGCATTGATGCCAGGTTCACAGTCCGTCCGAAAATGCCTAGGAGCACTGTTACAATTTGGTCTGATTTTGGAGGTCACCAAAGATCATTGCAGTTTTTTCGGGCTTGTTTTCCTGTCAGATTTTCTATGCGGTCCGGCTTATGTCTGAAGTTCGGCGCTTAAGTCTTGCGCATTCTTGCACACTGTCCTCGCTTATTCACTTGTGTCTTTTGGATGAGTTCCCTGACTTACTCTGCCTGGCAAGCTTTTGTCGCTGAAGCTGGGACAACTGGATTTCTCTTTTTTCTGGCACGTTCGAGCCCCGCAAGCAATCATGTTGGCTGTCCTTGCTTCGCCAGATGCCGTCCTCCGACGTTCCTTCTTTCTCCGCCCGGCCGGCACCATGGTCATATCTCGACCGGCGTCATTGCTGTGAGGTGCTCCTGCTCTGAAGTAGCTGACTCCCCTACCGAACTGACTACCTGCATGTTTCCATCGTACCAACCAGTGTTGTTTGGGGTGGGAAGCTGTATGGAATGACCGGTCCAGCCGAGTCTATCCGCCGTCTTCATCGAGCCCTGTATGGATTCAAGTCACCTCTCCCTCAAAGCATGACTGGCCACCTGCTGTCCATCAAAGTTTGGGAGCTCCGATCCTTCGGCTCCCTTGTCCACGGTTGCCTTTCTCGTTCAACTTTGAGGTCGAGTCCGGCTACGACACAACATGGAAGCGTGCGAACAACAAAGAGCTTGGTCAGACTTCGTGGCCGCCGGAAGCGTATGTAATGTGAACATGACTGTGAAAGATAGGAAGCAGGATCGACGATGACTCGAAGACAACGACCGGCATAGTCACAATTATCACCATCATCAGCATCAGTGGTGATGGTCATGGTAGTATTGACTAGGTACGTCGGTACGTACCATACCATCCATTCATAGCTATGCATGGACAGATAGTTATGGATACCTACCCGTATGTGCATGTTACAATAGGTATACATATCTAACTGTATATACATATATACATATATATATATATATATATACATGTATATATATATATATATATATATATATATATTACCCCCAAAAAAAGATCCACGCTTTTTGGCTCTGTCTGGATCTCTTCGTGTGCGTGCAATCCCTGCTCGTTTGTTCGTCATGTCGTTTGTATGTCTGTCTTCCCGCGTGAATAACCGTTTAACAGACACACACACACACACACACGCACACAGAGACACATACACAAGGTCCGTTAGTACTGTGGCCTGGATTGAAACTGGATTCAATGATTGAATTTCAATCCGGGCCCGGATCCAAGATCCAAAATCCCCTAGGACTCTCCGGGCGGTATCTTGGATCTTGGATCTTGGATCCGGGCCGGTATTGAAATTCAATCCTTCAATCCAGTTTCAATCCGGATCCAACATTCTGCCCAAAGACTCCCGGGAGAATCCAGTTTCAATCCTGCGCCAGTGTCAGTGTGTATGATTGCACTGTGAGCCGACCCGCAGCGCCTGATACTTAAGACCACGTCCCCAAGTCTTGGCTAGCCTGGTCTGTGATCGCCATGAGCGACTGGAGCAGCGCAGTTTCCGGGACGGTGATGATTCGTGATGGCGAGACCTTTCTACGCCTGAGTCCCGGTGCAGCCGCATCTTCGGTGCCTACCTCATCGGCTTCGACGACTGCAGATGCAGCCACCGCGGCTTTACCATGGGGAATCGTTTGCGACGACACGGCCATGATTAACGCAATCGGCAAGAATGAAGTGCAGGTTCATTCTTCGCGGCTGCCTATGTCCGCCACGGACTTGGTTGGGCAGGCACGATGCTCAATACCGTGCAAAGGGCCCTAAAGCTGACGATCGGGAAGAACGGCGAGTGGTCTTCGGAGGCCAACAATCTTTTCCTCAAGCAGCTCACCAAGCGCAAGCGCATCGCCAAGACGGTCCCCCAGGCTATCTTGGATGCCCCGCTCACCATCGAGGACGCGAATGAGGTGAACAATCAAAGTCAGGTCATGGATCCCGGTAACACGGCCGAGCACAACCACAACGACGATGACAAGGCGGTGGAGCAAAAACCAAGACGAGGATGACGACACTGACGAGTCCGATTCCGATGACGGCTCGTCGACATCAAGCTCCAGTGAGGCTTCCGTTGAGTGGAAGAAGCAGCTTATCAGGCAAGAGGACAGGACAACAGGTTGGCACGATGATAGGCGCAGACGCATTCTGAAGACGCACTGGGTGAAGACGCAGACGCATTGGCAGGCGCAGACGCATGGTGAAGACGCATTGGGTGGCGCAAACGCATTGTCAAGACGCATTGGGTTGCGCAGAAATGCGGGATATTGCGAAGACACATTGGATAGCCGTGCTGTCGTGTTCCACATGCACTACCGTATGGCGATTGCAAGCCACACTGCCAACTCCACACAGAAGCTCGGGTGAGGGTGAGCCAACAACCTCATCGGTTACCGAACCTCAGCCACTCAAGGTGAGGAGAGCAACATATCGAGACCAAGTCCTCAAGCATGGAGTCTCAGAGAACCACCGGACTTCATCCACATGCCACAATGACTGACATGGGTCTGTGGCACGCGCCCTTAAAACTCACCGTCATCCTCATGACCGACATCACCATCGACATCTTCGTCCTCAACACCATCATAGTCATCGTCTTCGCGGCATCGTCATCTCCGTCACGACCATTGTGCCATCGTTTGTCTCCATCCCCGATCACCCGATGTCAAGGCACCACATTGTTGTTGTCTTTTTCGTTTCAGAAGTGTAGTCGTGCTTGATTGGTTTCATATATTCCTACCTCTGTATGTTTTTGCTTCGTGTCCATCACCCGTGTACCAGATGCATAGAGACATACATGAGGGTTCACACATATTGCATATACATGGTATTGTAGGTGATGTGGGAACAGAGGGTTTTCAGGCAATGCTGTGGAATGGAAGTGCTCTTTCGGATTATTTGGGTCTCATTTGAGGGGGTTCTTTCCGAATAACACCAAAAAGCGCGGATCTTTGGGGGGAAGCATATGTATGTATATATGTATATATATGTATATCTCTTTCTCTCTTTCTTCGGAGCGATTGAGTCGATCACGACGCACGCCTAGCACAAACGAAATCTGAGAGGTGAGACAGTGACAAGGTCAGCAGGAAGGCGAGCGGAGCCCATCTGGACAACGCTCAAAGCCCCCCAAAACCAGCCAAGACGTGACGGGCTCAGGGCAGGCAATTGCTACCGAGCTGGCCACAAGTTTGACTGGTGCGACCTGCGCCTGCTGAAGCAGCGCCCCAACTGTATCACATGCAGCTTTAAATCACAGTGCATGTCTTTCGGCCACAGCAAGTGGGACACTACAGTGAAAAGGGTACCGGAACTCAGGCAAGGGAGGCAAGTCCGGCCTCAGAGTGAAGATTGGACCTGATAGAGTGAAAGGGAAGGAGATCGCTGCCGGGGTGTCAAGGATCGGTAGGAAATCCAAACCTTTGGAAGCCCCTTTCCGCTGGCGGAAGACATCACAGCAGAGCTCCGGGTCAAGGAGCAGCACGACATAGGAGGCAAGTTCGTGCGCATCCGGGTGTGCTTGCTCATGGGCTGCCCAAGCCCAAACGGCAGCTCGCAGGTGAGCCAACGGTGCAATGAAGTCCACAACAGTGTCCCAGACCGAAGTCTCATCGGGCGCGTCCAGCAGAAGCAAAGCCGTAAGAAGCCCAGGGTGTACATCGGGCGCAGACGATGCGCCCACAGGCCCAGCAGCAGCCATCGAGCTGGACGGGTGGGGCAGACGGATTCGGGGTCACCAAATCAGCGCCGTCTGGCGCCTGAAAACTCCCCCACTGGTCTTGACAGAGAATGGAAAATGCAACATGACGCCGCAGACGCCCTGAGCTGGCGTAAGCCTCACGGCACCAGAAGCCACGGACGCCGGAAGTGAGGACAGTCGCACGTGTCCTATAACCGTGGAGCTTACTTGCATGACATGCCCACGCTGTCCGCGAGCCAAAAGCCATCCGACACGGAAGGCAAGCCTCCGTAAAGGGCACTTCCTTTCCATCCGGTGCGTCCAGGGCCCGGGCTGACCCAAGCTCACGCACACATCTGGCAAGGGCAAAAAGAGCAGCACCACACGTGAGGCGGAGGACAGCAAGGCGCTTGGCGCGTTTTGCCCAACCCTGAAATCTCCCAGGCCGATCAGTCATAAGCCGCCGCCAGGGCTCCGAGTCGGACAGCGGGTCAGGGAGGGGGATGGCGGGCAAAAAGCCAGCGGAAAGCATCCCGGTAAGCCTCCAAAAGCTCGGAATCCAGGCGAGTCAAAGCCCACAAGGCATCCGGTGCCGCAGAAACTGATTGACGAACATACCTCAACCGTTCAACACGCAAAGTGGTGAGCGGGTCAGCCACGACAAGAAGGGCACAAGTTTCTGCGCGACAGACGTGCTGATCACCATCGTAGGGGACACACAGGGCTTGACGCAAGATCCCCAACATGGCGCCATTGAGGGCTTGCTCTTCTCCGACCCGAAGAGTGGGCCACGACCCGGCGCCATAAAAGAGACGCGTAAAAGCAGCAGATCCTAAAAGGATACCGCTGCGTGCGAGCGAGAGCTTCTTGTTGCGGTAAACTGTCTTGCTGGAAGGCTTGGCAAGCGCTTCCACATCGGTGACGAATTTCCGGCAACAGTGAGCTCGTAGGAGTTTGCATCATGAGGTCACAGTTGGCAGGTGTGCAGTGGGGGCAGCCTCCAGGAGGACAGGCAGTGAAGCATCCTTCTTGAAGAGATTGGAACGAGCCTTGCGAGATCCAGCTCCGGTGACCCGAACCAAAGCCGTTGTCTTTGTGGCTCCAAAAGTCAGGGTGTATCCAAAGCTGGCAAAGGCTTCCGCAAAGTTGAAAGTAGTGGTGGCAATCTGTACCGGAGCGGTATCAGCACCATCGAAAATCACACACTCTGCGACATCGTCAGCCCACGCCACATCCCCGAGGGAAACAGACATGGCAGGGGCCATCGGTGGGCTGAGATCACGACAGCCGTCCCATGGTATACACGGTCGGGAGGTGCATGGTCCCAGGCGTGGCGGCACGAAGTGCATTTTGGAGCTGAAGAATGGCCGAAACGCCCGCTCCGAACATCAAATCAGCAAACGTCGATCCTGGACGCGAGCCGCGCCGAGTCTGGACCGGCTGTACATCTCCAGCAATCGTGAACCAGGTTCTACGATGCGTTTCAGCCACCACAGCCTCAAGCCACGCACTTGCACCGCCTTGTTTCAGCACACTCGGCCGGTCCAACTGCTGCTGCAGGCCTTCATGTTCAGTGAGCAAGAAGTCGGGGCGATGGGACTCGTGCGCATGACCGGGGTGGCGAGCTGTGAGTTCTCGGATAGAACTATAATAGGCAGCTGCCACATCGGCAAAGACTACTGCAGATGAGGTCTTGGCTTGGGTTTGCCATCTGCAGAAGCCACGGACCAAATGCCCCCGAACACCACTGATGCACCTCTCCTGCCACCCAAAAGGGTGGGTGGCGCACTCTGGTCGATGTGCCGGTACAGCTTCGGTCGCAAGGAACGGTGGATCGCTTTCGCGATGGTCGGCAGGAGCATAATTGCTCGATATGATCCGCATTCGTCACGAGCACCTCGCTGTTTATACAGCGTACTGAGCGTCGCGCTCTGGAAACCGACCGCTTCGGTGCCTCGAAGGCACAACTTAAGGAGCAGGGGTAGCACGTGAGCGGCTGAAAGAGCTTCACCTGGGATCATGTCAGGTCCAGGCGCCTTACCGGCTTTAGACCCCGCCAGGGCTCGCATGAGAGCTCCCCAGGAGCATCCACAGAGCCGATGCCAGCGAGGTTGTCAGGACTACAGAGTTGTCCAGCTTCCATGTCACCGAAATGCTGACGCCACCTGTCAACAATTTCTGCACCCGATTGGCAAAGGGAGCGGAGCCATCTGGCTTCTTGATCGTGGCATTGATATTGGTCTTCTTCCGTGGCATTCCGACGCCCACAATGCCTTGGGGTGGTGGACTTGTGACGGCGTCGTCTGCCGAGTTGCGTTAGGATGTGTCTCGCTGCCTCAACCTCTTCCCGGAAACTCTGACCGTGCGGTCGACGCCAATGAGCTCTCTCCTGCTGAGCAAGTTAGCCCCTTTTTGCCAGCGACAACGGAGCAGCCGCTTCTTGCTGTTCGAGTCCTCTCCTACAATGTCCTCTCCCTGAATGGCGAGGCTTTCGCGGATGGGTCGAGCCAGGGAATTGCCTACGCCGCTGGCCGTCCAGCCATGCTCGCTCAAACTTTAAGGGAACATGATATAGGCATTGCTTTCGTTCAGGAAGCTCGTACCCAAGAGGGATTTGTTCAGACAGCCGAGTACCTCCGCTTTTGCTCAGGCACAGAGCGCGGACACCTAGGGGTTGAGGTCTGGTTGCGAAGCAATTTGCCTGTGGTCACAAGAGGTCAGGACAAACTTGTCTGTCTCTGTAGAGAAGCCTGTTCCGTGTTGCTCAACGACCCCCGTCGTTTGGTCATCCAGTTTCAGCAAGGAGACTTGAGACTGCATCTTGTTTGCCTTCATGCACCACACCGGGGACACCCGACACCCGGAGGATGTTTTGCGTGCCTGGTGGCATGACACCATCCGTGCTTGTGGCCGATATGCACGTATTGCACCTGTGCTCTTGGGTGGGCGGAGCCGCAGGATTTTGCGGGCGCATTCGTTCACGATTCACGACGTTGCGGCCTCTGGCCAAATTTGGTTTCCTGCCACCTGGGAGACCACCCAACAGGGCACAGGTTGGACCTTTTTCCAAAAGCGCAATTCTGCGACCACTCGGCCGGATTTCGTCGCACTACCCACTATGTGGCGAGACGCCTATGTTTCTGCCTGGGTCGCACCGGGCGTGCATGCTGGTCAGGCTTGCCTCGATCATTTGGCTACGGTCGTCAGTGTTGCTGCAACCCTAACCCATTTCGGAGGGGCTACCCACCAACAAAAACAGCGCATTGACACTGCTGCCCTCCGGTTACCAGCCAACAAGGTTCTCGCCAAACTGCCCACGATTCCCTGGCAAGTCTCTGCTGACACGCATGCAGCAACACTGGTTCGATTCGATGCTTCCAGGAGACGCTTGTCGAGGAATTCCCCATGCCCAAAGCTGCCTCCCGGCGCAGCTATCTCACGCCTGAGACCTGGCAGCTGCACCAGCATGTGGCTTTCCTTCGCCACCGATGTGCCCGCCTTCGGGAAGCGGTTCGTCGTCACACCCTGTCTGCCTTTTTTTTTTTTTTTCAGGGCTCTGCATGTGTTTTCCCCTCGTCCTTCCTCTGGGCCAAGCAGGCTGGTTTTGTTGGCACCGTTTGTAGCGAGCAACTCCGAGCGGCCTCTGTTGCGCTGCGACAGCGATGCAGGGACGATCGGACAGCGCATTTGGCTACCCTTGCCGATGCTGTGCAGGCTAACCAGGTTGATGGCGCCGAGGCTTTACAGCAGCTTCTTAAGCAAAAGCAGAAAAAGCCATAGCAAGCCTTGCAGCTGCGTCGGCAAGCTCGTTGCCAAAACTTCCAGCATGCCCCGCGACGTGCTCAAAGATGGGCGGGTGAAGGGCTAAAGCATTAGCGAAAACCCTGACTGAGCGGAGAGCACTGGCAGCAGCGCCATCAGACCAGACGTCCCTTGCCCTTCATCAGCAACAGAAAGAGCCAGTCAGACTTGTAGACGACCTGGTAACCGCGAAAGGCAGTGGTCCCAGTCCACACCGAAGCAATCAGAGCACAGCATTCGGCGACAAAGGCTGACGGGGTATCTCCATCCGCCAGGAGACATTCCGGCACACGCCCAGCTACAATACTGAAGCATCAAGTGTGCAAAGGTAAGCTCTATCTGCTGCCGGAAGCATACTGCACAGCTCACGGAGTGTGACAAAGGAGACCTTAGCCAATGGCGGGGGGATGCTTCCCCAGCCGATGAATGGCCCGGAATGAATCCCGCTCCCATGGGTGTGGAGTGCCCGGATCGGGATCCCACTTAGAGAGGGGTACCAGAGTCTGCAAAGAGAGACACCAACGATTGCGGGTCTCCTGGCCAAGTCGGGTCACAAGGCTGTCCGACGCAGTTCCCGCTGCCGGAAGACCGGCGTCGCCCGGGTTAGGAGTTGGGGCCGTGCGGCTGGCAAAGTGATCTGGAGGCAGTGGCATCCGCCGTCTGAACTGGTCGCCGAGGGGACCTGCCTCGGACAGGTGTAGGCACAGGTCGGCCATGCGCAAGCAGGGCAAAACATTGGGGCACTCCGTGCATCTCCCCCCGATTGGGAGTTGTAGCCCGGCTTGGGCGCACACCTGGAATAGGTGGCTCCCGCAGCGGTAACTCCCCCGCCCCGGGGCTTTAGTTTCACAGACAGTGATGCAGCACACAGCAGCAGCGCCAGAAGCAGGCAGGGCGGAACAGTGCAGGCACCCGGGCGAGGCCAGCCCCTGACAGCCCTCGCCTAACCAGCGCGGATAGAAAGAAGAGGCCTTCGTACCCTGAAAGAACCGGCCGAAGTACTAACAGGCATAAGAAACCCGCAATCAGGAGGACAGAGGTGAGGGAAAGGTTGCTCACAGCAAGAGCATCAAGGTTTCACACCTTCCCCCACATGGCTACTCGACTGAAAGCCCTGCCAATCCCGTTGGAAAACCAAAAAGGCGAATGTGCTGCATGGCCACAAGAGTGGGACAAAGTAGATGGTTGACTACTGAGAGTCCCCCCGGTACCTGCATCGGTAGATGAAACACCTCCTTAGGCGAGACTAGGCGGGGTATCACCGGTATCCGGAGCCGGTGGCGGCCGATGCGGGGGAGGGCCAGCCTGCGGCAGAAGGATTCCGTGGGACGAAGTCCACCGCGACAACTTATCCATCACTGACAGGGAGACCGTCCGGTCTCGGTGCCGGAACCTGCCCGTCAGTAGAACAGCCCACAGTGTATCCTGGCGGACAGCGCTGCATGAAACAAGTCAGTAGAATCGAATAGTCAAGCCACGGCTCGGCCAGGAGAAACCAACTGAAATGAAGCAGGATAGGGCGGAAATCGAGAAAACAGATGATGCCTCGTGATGCAGCAGCACTAGCAGTCGAACGCAGGGCAGCCAATATATGTATAAAAAAGATAATAAAGTACACACACCTGACCATGTACATACATGTATGCTGAGTGGCTACGTAGGTATGCGTAGTTCCCTCGCCGCCCAGGTCTCCGAGGCAGCAACTGCTCTGTCCGTCGCTCCAGGAGATGAAATCGCCAAAGAGGCAGGTCGTAAAAAGCTCCGGAGCAATCGATGAATGCCAAATATGCTCAGCTGCTGGACCTACAACCACCTTGTCCACATCGGCGGCTGAGCTGAAATGACGAGGGCCATTTAGATGACATGCGCATAGATGTTTTTTCTCTGTTTTCTGACGGGCGCTGGCAGACGTGAATATGTTTTTTGCTGACGGGGAAACTTGGATGAACTCGGCGACCTTCTCGCCTGAGTCTCGGGGCCAATGAGCATCACATACTTGCACTCAGACTTGTGCCGATATGTGCATGCGGAGTGGGGAGAAAGACATCAAGCTTCGTTCTCAGGAGTACATGGTTTGCGAACACTCGGCCGCTTGTCCCGTGCCCTTCCAGTGGCCATCTGGCTCGCCAAAACAGAGGTTGGAGTAGGTTCGTACAGCTGCTCATGGCAGCGTGTACAAGAAGGCTGTGCCCAAATGCAACATCTTCCGTGGAAACTGTCCGGCAGCAGCCACCCTTAGGCGTGGACCCTGCTCGGTTGACGAAGTCTTGGGTTCTGAACTCATGATTCGTACAGTTGAGATGTCGTTCTTGAGCAGCCTCGGCTGTGGGCTGTCATGGGGAAGGTTCCAGGAAATTATAGGATGTGTGACCAAGAACTAGCACAACACCACCGTCATAGGCTTGAGAGCAGTATAGTGTATAGTCGTTTCTCCTTTGATTCAGCTTGATCGTGTCTTTGTTCTTTGCAGTGGCTATCACAAATAAACCCGTCTCTAAATGGAACTCGTCGCAACTGTGATTCAAGGTCCTCCGTAAGTTACCCACCAGGTTTCAGGGTCGAATTTGCAGTGATCAATGGTTGCCTGAATCTGCCGGACAACGGAAGCACCTGTTCGTAGAGAGCCTATGTGCGCCGCTCGCGACGGCATGGGGTAGAAGAAGGTTTCGTTAGTTTCGTCCGTTGGGTGATGTTTGCAGCTGTCTAGAGGAAGTCGGAACAAGTTGGGAGGGTTAAGTCACTGCTTCCGGAAGAGTAGCAACTTGCGCGCTACGTTTCAGAGATCTCTCTTGTGCCCTCGCGGTGAGACGCATCATGGTTGCAAAGTCGCAGAGGCTCTGCACAATTTGGACAGGAGCGGTGGTGGCGATGGCCTTGCAGAAGGCATGGCGCAGTGGTTCTGCTGGCTTCTTCGCCGGGACCATGCAGGCTCCGTGCTTCCAGCGTTTCTGCGATTAAGCGGTGTAGAAGTGGTGATGAAAGAGTCACGCCACACTTCCAGCTCTTGATTTTGAAGGTGCTTGCTTTCATGTGGCTGCGGACCGCCATGAACTACCAGAAACACTTCTGCACATACATTGCCGAAGTGAGATGGTACGAGCCGATCCTTTGTTGTGCTTGCGATGCTGGCTACAGGTACAAGTTCGGGGGAACGTTGCCTGATGTACTCCGGAAGCTGTACCGTGAGGGTGGCCACTTTGTTGCATCAGTCACGAGCTCACGGCCCATGTCCTTCCGCCTTTCGCGCCTTCTTTTTGCTTACCCGGGACTCAGGAATCGCCAGACTGTATCAAGGCCTCTTGCCCTGGGCAATATTTCAAGCACCACTTTCTCGATTTGGTGATGTCGCCGCGAATGACATGGTTCTGGCACTGATGGGCGCATTGTTCCCTCAGGCTCCCGGGCTTACACAGTGGAATAACACTCTACTGCCGAGCGCTGTCACCTCCCCGGACCTCCCCACAGAGTGCTAGAGGTGCCAGTTGGTGTGACGACCTTTGTGGGCTCGGTTTCGAGTGCTGCTTGGCGGGTCATCATCACGCCGGTGGATACTTGCAAGACGATGTTGCAGACAGATGGCACAAAAGGCTGGATCATGCTGAAAGAAAAAATGTCTAAAGGTGGCCTGCTGATTTTATGGGCGGGTTGGGAGGGTAATTACATGGCGAACGTCATTGGAAACTATCCCTGGTTCGTGACCAGCAACGTTCTCCAGAAGCGTGCGGCTCGGCCGGACTGTTCGACACTGTGGAAGGTTCCGCTGCTTTCATTTAGACTCTCCACGTGCAATTCGGGCAGCTCGCTGACCTTCTTTGAGGTACCAGTGCCTGCCGGAAACTTTATGAAGCTGGTCAGGAGAGTGTCACTGCTTGCGGGGTGAGAGTTATCCGAAAGCTGTGGAGCAATGGCAAGCTGCCGCCCACACGAGGAGTGCCTTCATTGGTGCACTTGCTTCTTCTATCAGCGATGTTGACGCTTGGCTTGTCTAGTCATGTCTAGTCGTGAGTAAGACACGGCAGCACATGGCATACATGCCGAGGTTGCCAATTCTATCCGCGTCATAAAGACGAAGAAGCAAACGAGCGAAGATGTCAACTGCGGGTATATATCTGCAGCGCAACAGATTATTGCCTCGGACTGGCTGGGGATAAGGGAAGTAGCCAATGCTGGGCAGCATGGATTATCGTGACTCTCAGTAGCTCTCCGAAGCAAGCAGCAAGAGAAGTACGGAAGTCAAAGTAGGCCGCTGTCTCCGCCCTGAAGCTTGAAATGGCTCAGGGCAAGGATTACTCAAGTATTTGCAGGATTGTTCCGTGAGTGCGGTTGCCTGGGCTGCACAACATTCATTGACTCATGTTGTTTCTCTTTGGCAGGACGGCATCCGTGGCATCTTCTTCCGTGGACTGAGCACGCGAGTGTTCACAAACATTTTGCAAAGCGCCTTTTTTACCGTCCTGTGGAAGTCCTTGTCTTCCAGATAGCATCCATCGCGACTTGCACCTGCACTGGTGGGCGGCCACCAGCTGTTGAAAGCACGCTAACTCGGCAATTGGTCGAACTTCAGCGTGCTGATTTGCTCCAAATTCTAGAGCACCGGATTTCGTCTCGTTTCTACCGACACATGAGTTCCAAGCGTCACTCTGGCAGAAACAAGGACCCTTGTGTGCTCCGGTTGTGTGTAGCGCAATGTGTTTGTTTATGATGGTAAACAGGCTCGAAGCAGTTTGGGAGTAGTTCGGCTGTCCGTGCGAGGTCTTGAGTCATGTGCCCCTCGGCCGAGTGTGGCAAAGACGGCTACCAGCCTCGGTCCGCTAGTGCCGCTAGTGTCACACTGAGGCCGCTCCAGCCCCTGCAAAACTTGTGGAAAGACCACATGGGTTGGCCCAATCCTCAGTCTCTTTACGAGAGCAGAGGCTGGCAAGTGGAGCTGGCAGGCTGAGGACTCCACATCGACGCCGCACTGCAGCATGTTCCTTTGGCGGACCGCTGCCCCGGTTGGGAAACTGGTCAGTGTAACGTCAAGGCACTGAGCTCCGCACGTCGTGCGAACAATAGCGGCACCACGCGAAGGTTGTGGGGCAGGGCACTTGCAGTGCAGGCGCCGAAAGCTGCTGAAATCACTACATCTTCCAAGGACCCAGCGTCACATTGGCTCTGTGAGTTGAGGGCCGTTCTTGGAGACCCAAAGCGATAATTTGCCTGCTGCCCTTGACGCAAAGTCCCACGACTACGGTGTCGACCTAGCTTTTGCTACTTGCAGTGCATGGAACACCGGCTCAGCATTTGGCCACATTTTGCAGTTTTCCGTGTGTAAACTCGGAGTGGAGGGTTGCGGGGTGGAGCGGTTCCCAAGGGCTGATATTGAGGAGTTGACTTCTTCTGCCATGCCAAGTAGACTTCTGGTTTAGTCAGGTTTGTCCAGCCCTGTTGTCATGTCTTACATGCTCTATAACCATGTCCAGATGAAGATGAATAGAAGATGTTGGTGGTGATGGCGATGATGGTAGTGATGATGCGCTTGATTTTGTAGGCGACGTTGTGCGCAGTGCACTAATAACAATGGTGATGGGGTCATGGTTGTTGGACTTGTTGGTCTCTCGTATTCTTCGTTTGAAACTGAACTACCAAGCCGCTTCGCCTGCCTCGTCAGTCCGAGGCCCTAAAACCTTGAACACAAGCACCGCAAAAAAAAATCATGAAGCCCAACACCCTCGAGCCAGAAACCCCCCCCCCAAAAGAAAGCTTCGAAGCTCCGAGTCTGGTGCTTGGGACCTCAGGATAAATGCATTGACTGTCCTCTCATAGCAAGAATCAAGAAGCATCCTAAACACAAGATTTCTCATTGTTTTGGGGGCTGCTACATTCATTGCCGCCGCCTCGGCATGTCGTGCTCTGGAGCCCGCCTCGGGCATTGGCCTTGGCAGCTGGCATATCAACTTCCGCGTTCAAAGCCACGAGATCGGATGTCCCGCCGAGTTGGGCTTGTTGTTCTGTATGCACAGATCTCGATGCGACGTGTATCGGCCGGGGCATTGCGATACGCTACGGAAGCTTTCGGGCCAATTACGAACCACACGCGTCCCACTATGCAGCTCTGGAAGGAGCATTCCTCTGAGTTGCAGGGCTATCGTCCTATTATGTCCTAGTTGCGTCTTGACCCTGTGTACTCTCGTGACGTTAAAGCTGGGCTCCAAACTGTGGTGTCGGCCGATAGTGCAGGAAGCCATTGGGTCCGGCAAGACGCAGACAGACTTGGCGAAGCCAACGAAGCCTGCAGCTTGGAGGCCTTCCGAAACAGGACAGCGAACCTCGCAGACGCCCCCCCGCCCGCCGAGCGCCAGGAGCTACATGGCCCACATGAGCCTGGTGCTGGCTTTGGGCATCGTGGGGCTGGTCACATTTTCCTTGCCAAGAGCTTTGCGCGGGCTGAAAGCCAGCTAGGACCAGCTAGCGGTAGGAGAATGTAAAATCGCTGTGCCAACCCCTGCTAATGACTGGACAAGAGTCCAGGACAGCAGAGGCTGGAGCACGGCGATTGCCGAAAGGAGAAATCCAAAACGGCGCTGCCACTTGCGACGGGCACTGTGATTGGCAGACAAGTCTCGCCTGCTTGCTTGCTTTCTTGGCTACGACTACGAACGAGTCAGAGGTCAGACTGTCGTAGTTCGAAGTTCGGAGACGGCAGGCTTGAAGACTTTGCAAATGTTGCCGATGTTTGACAGGACCGTAGCATGTACAGTAGCGCCTGCACGGCATGAGCCGACACTCTCTAAAAAGGCGATTTTCGCCTGTGCGACGTGTCGAAATCGATGCCACCATGCGCAGCACAGACTAACGTGCATCAAACGCCGAACGCTCGAACATGGAACTCCATTCTTGAGGGCCAAGTCTTTTGCGACATTGCCTTCCATTCAGGTCCCGTCAAAGACGGGATCCTGAAAGGACATTATTCAACGGCATGAAACTTGATTTCTTCAAGTGTCCAGAAAGCATCAATTAAATGGATGCCATTTTCAACCAGCTGGCCAAGCATGTTCCGGGTTATGTTCCAGTCTAGTCAAAAAACTGCGGCCGAGCATCCTGCATGCCACCTGGCTTCACCGATGGACCCGAAGAGCAGGACGATGCGGCGATCCCAGGGTCACTGCACGCACGGTCACTCTTTCCCTGAGTGCTGCAAGTCCCAGAACCCAGTGGCTAAGGCCGGCCAAGCTGACAGAGTCGTTGTCTGCCCCTTCGCTACGGTCGTTGCCACGCTTGCACAGCAGCCAGATCCCTCAAGTCCTTCGGCGTGGATAGCCGTCACCAAGCCTGCCATAAGGCAGTGAACAGCCCAGCTCAGAGCGCGTGGTGAAGGCAGAGGAGTACATGTACCTCCAGGCGCTTACTGTCGGACTCGCAAGGATCCGAGAAGAAAACCTGCGATTCTGCTGGAGGTGAAGCGCAGCCACTGGCCTGAACTCAGCCCGGACTGTGACTTGGCTTCGAAGTCGCTGCCAGGAGAGCAGACTTTTCTGGTCTGCGCTGCCCAGGTAGGCTTTGGACTCTTCGGGATTTTGCTCTGCAGAATTCCAACTGGGAGTCCTTCACCGACAAGGGCAAGCTCCGGGCCTCTTGACGAAAGTTAGATGGTTCGTCTCAGAGGCTCGGCTCATCACCGAATCACACCCTTTTTGCCATTATGAGGTCATATATGAGCTCGGAGCTTTGCTTTGTGAATCTGGCCATCGCCTGAAAGAGGTGTGAAGCGCTGTCTTTGAGCTTTCAAGTTGGGGAAGATCACTCACCCGCAGGACATGATGCTGAAAGCCCGGAATGAGCTCCAGAGGGCCGTCACAGACGCATGGCCCTTAGATTCCTGCGCCACCCAACAAGGGCTTCTTGGGTCGGAAGTCGCACTCCTGGCATATCCTCATTGCCACAAAGCGCCACTTTCGCTTGCGCTCGGCTCCCGTGGGATGTGCGAAAGTCGTTGCTCTCGTCTTGGTCTCTCAGGCACGCCAGCTTCCCCGGGTTGTCCGCAGAGACCTTGGATTCAGCACCTTTGACTCGGTATCTCGAATCTTATTTGTATCCGGTGTACGCAGGCTCTGACAAGCTGCGGGCTTTGGCGGTGGCCAGCTTGTGTGAAGATAACCTCAATTTGCCTGGCGCCGCACGGCGAATCAAGGAGGCTTGGTCAGCGACAGTGGCACCCACAGCCAAGTACGACTTGTTGCGTCCCGCCTTCAGGCCCTGGGCGAAAGGAAACGCGAGGAGTGAGCGACTTCCTTGTTTTTGACTTCCCAATCTTCCTGGTAGCTATGGTGTTGCAACCGCTTCACCCTTCAGGAGTATGACACGGGCCACATCCAAAACCTGTCAAGGAAGAGACTCATCTGCAGTCGTGGCATGTGCGCGCAAGTTGGGTTGGAAGTATGTCGTCTGCTGTCACAGAACTGCAGTGCAGGTTCCGATTCAGGGGATACATCGAGAAGGTGCAAGACAGGCAGCTTGTGTGTGAAGAGTGTGGTACGCCTAAGGGCCTTTAGCGCCTCTCGTGTTGTGAAACATGGAGGTCAATGACACTTGCCCAGCTGCGGAAGGTCCTTAAGCACCTTCATTGCAGTGCAAGGTCTTGCACAGACGTGTGCATGTGGTGCAGACCGAAAACAGAACAACAGTTCACGCCGGGCAAGGTACTGTCATGAGTCCTGCCATCATTGGCGCGACATCGCGGACGAGGAAGCCCCAAGAAGCGCCAGCTCCGACGTGGCAGAGCCTCAGACACCAAGCAGGACCAGCCCTCTCCACGGCCGGGCAATGGTCTGACCATGGAGGTTCCGAGCTGGTTTAGTAGCAGATCAGACCGGGATCCCCAGCGTTGGCCCACGACTCAAGGTACTCAACTTGCACCATGTCGACTCCTGGTTGATCTGGCCTGCGACAGAGGCACACAGGGGAACGCTACTAAGCCAGTTTTGCTTACCTCGATGACAGGCATACAGAAGCTCCTTTGTGGAGCTGATGGCAGATCAGGTTGGACAACAATGGACATGCAGACTTGTACGAGAGAGAGTTTTATGGCAGAGCTGTATGTGTTTCAAAGATGACCCCTCCGTGTTGGATCTTAGCATCTCTTTCGGCCAGCGGTAAGCATCGAAAGTCAAAACTCGGTACGCGGATTTCGGATGTGTCGCGAGTGTCGTGCTTTCGAAAATCAACGCTTGGTACGCGGCTTGTGGAGTTACATATGGCGTTTTGTCGGCCAACCGTGGGAAATACAGAATCGAACAGGTTTTCTACCATTTCACCGCGTTTAGATGGTGATTAACGGGTTTGTGGTGCATGTTTGGTCAGAGAATTACAGAGCTGAATAGGTTTTCCAGGGAAATACAGAATCGAATAGGTTTTCTACAATTTCACTGCGTTTAGATGGTGTTTGACGGGTTTGTGGTGCATGTTTGGTCAGAGAAACACAGAGCAGAATAGGTTTCTCAGGAAAATGGAGCATCGAATCGGTTTTCTACCATTTCTCTGCGTTTAGATAGTGTTTGACGAGTTTGTGGTGCATGTTTGCTGAGTTCGTTGAAACATGCGATAGATGCAGCAATTCAGTGCGTTTAGATTGCGTTTGACATGTTTGGTTTGCATATCCGCATCATGGGCGCGACTTGCGTTTACTGATCATGGCGCAATTACACGCATGCCATTTCGCGTGGCGTTTAAGGAAAGTCTTGAGCAGGACTTTATGGGGTCATGGGCGGGTGGCGCTAGTTGCGGAAAGCATCTTGCAGGCCAAATGGGTGCGACTATAGGGTGTTGCGCTGTATGCTTTGAAGGGTGTACTGCGCGGTACAAATGTTCTGGAGATGACGCCCGGTGCGTGATCTTGGCTCGGCTTTTTACCTGCTCCCAACGGTAAGCTTCGAAAGTCGAGATTGGGTATCACGCAGTATAAGTGCTTCCGAGATGATCGAAGAGTATTTGCAGCTGCAGTAATGCAACAACAGGAACCACACACAGCATCACCTTCG